CTTAATCACATGCTATGAGAGAGAGAACCAGCTCAAACCAAGCAACCATGAAATTTTAATACACGAGGTGTCCATCGGATTCCCAAACAAACCCGCCATTACAATACATACACGCCAGCACACACTTGACATCTACAAGATGTCAAATGGATTTGTTTTATCGAGCTGTTTGTAGCACCTATAATTCTACTCTCTTTTAATATTTAAAACATTGTTCATACTCTAGAACACCACCCATAATATCACCATCATCGTCATTGGTCCACCTCACTGCTCTGGACCGTTGAGATGGGTTTATATTCATTAACAGGTAAGAGAAAAATGGCTCTCTTCCCCCAGGAATATGCAGTCTGCTCTGAATCTGTCAGCTGCACCACACACTTAACCTCTGCGCAAAAAAAAAGCTAACTGTGCTTCTTCAAGGACCTATTATTGGCATAAATGTCCACAATGAGCAACAAAAAACTGTAAGCCCACTGGTTTTTACAACCTCTTAAAACAACTGAAACTGAGACAAACGAAAAGTTATTTACAGGAGCTTTAAATGTGACTTAGTGAAATCATATTTAGATTAAATTTCTATTTATAACCACTAAGTGCTAAAATAGTGCTACTGATTTCCACATTGTGAGGGAAATTGTCATCCCTAAGATTAATCTGCTGAAGAATTGACAAATCAAGTCTCTTTAATACATGCAGCACTGAGAGAGGACCGAAGTATTCGCTGTCACAGACACAGGCCAACAATACTTAACCCAACACCCCATGACACCACCCAACATGTGCACTCATAAAGGAAACTGTCCCCCATATAGCAATTACACTCAAACATGCTGTTTGATTGGGGTCACAGCATAAATCATGGAAATTTGCAGGAAAATTTTAAGACAAGCCACAAAAAAGGAGTAATTATTGTCGTTTTTCAAATGTCTACAACTCTGGCTCATTTTTTTTTTCTTTTAAACATAAATACTTGCAAAAGGGACGTTTGTTGCAGGTGTGCTTCTTTTCTATAATACCACAGTAGTGCAAGTAATAACTACTTGAAATCTCTGAAGAGTCTCATCATATTGTACTCACCCCTATGGCCCATTCATATTATTTCAACCCTGACATAGAATCATTTTATGTTTTTTAATGCATATTAAAATTCCAAAATACTTAATAGTTTAATTGTCCTTAAAAACACACAAAAAACATTTTTTGCTAGATTCTAACAAAGTTCAACATTTGACTTATCTTTTTCCATTATCAAGTACTGTGCTTTTACAATGTCCTTGTCTTGAAAGCACTCAAGTTTAAGTTTCCAGAGTATCCCTGATGGCCAATGTCAAGTCGGTCCCCTGTAATAAATACTTAAAGGAGCCATAAACGCCTGCCAGAGCCATTGTATTTAAATAATGTACTCTCCCATGGGCTCCTCCAGAGTACCAAAGGCCTTAACATTGGACCACTGAGGTCATCCCTGAATAAAACTGTAATTTTAACCATTTCCTCACATGATCATAAAAAGGCCAGCATGCCTGAGTAGAATCAGTGTAACATCCACATTGTGTATCCCAGGGGTTTCCAGAACCTAACAGGATCTGCCCCTGGAACTTTCTTACTAGTAGTTAGTAACCATAACTCTAGCTAACCCAGAGGTCATACAGAGGCTGCCTGAAACCTGCCTGAATTAAATTGATGAACTATAAGAAAGGGGTTGTTCTGAGGGTAGAGGTCTTCATTATCCAGGGACAGGCTGGTATAAATTTGGGGCCATGGGGTTTGAGGGAATTGTGGGGATTTCCCTGTATGTCAACAATCATAAAGGGGGACTTCTGCACCCTAGGCCCTAGGCCACTAGACCAGCTGCGCTCCGCCTGTGCTGAAAGCTGACTAGGTTTGAATCGGCGAGCTTTTAGCGCACTTTCTATGACGCCGGCAAGCAGGAAATGTCACTGCACCAGCTGATTCTGTCGACACGTCCCCCTGTCGCGCCACCACGTCCAGCTTGGCGGAGCTTGGTACACCTCAGTCTACGAAAATACCAAACTGGCTGTGTGCCGGGCTCCGCCAGACGAAAATACCACTGCGCGGGGTCCCCACCCTCTGCCACACCGCTGGCATATTGTTATAAAGACCAGAAAGCACAATGTGATTATGTATATAGCCTAACTGTCATTACAAACAAAGCTATTTATTTGCATGATGAATGATAATCACTGAAACCAACAGAAAGGGGGCAGATGGAAACAGCTGATTACAGTTGTGCCTCTCTTGTACTCTCTCTCTCTCTCTCTGAGTGTCTTTTTCTTGCCTGTGGGACTTACAGCCACCACAGGCGCCCCGGTCTCATCTTTCCTCCTTACTGTGCAGGTGACCAGTGACTCCCTGGCAGGTGCACTGGCTGGTGCATCAGTGTCCTGACTGCTGCTGGTGACTTCTGGGTCACAGCTGCTCTTATCTTTGGCCTTGAAATATTTTTGTATATCCATTTTTTAGCTGAATGAAACTCGAACTAGCTTTAACTTTCAAAGAAGCCCTCGATCCTCTATGAGTAGTGGTATATTGACTGATAAGAAGCTTTGTGGCAAAGTTATAATGTGGACACAGTTCGATGATGATGTTGTGCAATTGCTCAACTTCCTTTTAGCTTGTTACGTGGCTGCTGGCTGCTCAGTTTTTCTCAATACTGGGCCACTTTCAGAAATTGTTCTTCACATCAAACACTCACAAACACATGGGAAAATAGGGCCCAGGTTGAAAAATACCAAAGTTCTTCTTTTAGTTCCTTGAAGGATCTTGCCAGGTTAAAATTAATGTAGCATCTTATAAAAGTGTGGAGTAAGAGCAGAAAAGGGAAAGAAAGAAGTATGCACAGAAAAGGTCATAATACTTTTCCACTTTTTTACTCCTCCCTGTTCTCATCAGCTAAAGGTCTGCTTCCAAGGGAGTCATAGGTTCAGAGATCAGATTTTTATAGGCAGAGAGATCAACTTTTTATTATCAGCAGCATTCAGACTATTAATATTGACTCACGTTTTCACTGTAATCTATCATTGATAGAATGGGGGGAATCATGGGCCTGCCCTCATTAGCAAGCTAAGGAGATTCACAGGGACAGGAAAGATAGGTGTGGAAGGGCAGGGCAGGCGAAAGGAGAGTGCGTGGAGATTAAGATAGAAAAATCATAAAAGGGAGCAAAACATAAATTCATAATGAGAAACAGTGCAGAGTGAATTTTCTGTTTGGTGAATTAGTTTTTACATGATTAAGTATGCTTGATTAAAGTGGTTTGAGGCTCTATCTAAAGACACAGGCATGATTCCACCTGGATTCACAATTTTAGCCATCTTAAATCAGTAACTTTGTAAAGAAAACCAATATAATCACATCTACAACTGAAGAACAGACATTAAAACTGAGCAGAAAACTGTTTTGTTAACACTGGATGCAGACACGGGACAGATATATACATGTGTGAATTGCCATATCCATGTACATACAGTGTCTCCTGCCTTAACATTTAAACATAAGTTATACATGACTGCCATCTTATGGAGAAACCTGACATCACAGCTGAAAAAATGCAATTCTTTGTGCAATACAACATCCCAAATTCATTGGAATTATGGTTCGTAGTAGTATCGTTTCAATCTTTGCAGCCTTGTTCACTCAATCACTTTTCAGGTGATGTTTGTTAAGTTCTTATGGCTCAAGGCTCAGGTTTAAGGGAGGAAATTGAGATTCAGCCATTGAGACTGACACAGAAAGATTCAGATCACTCATTGAAATTGTAAGACTGACATTACGGAAACAGCTGTAAAACCTAATGTATAACCTAGATTGTTTTCACCCATTGATCTTTTTCCTCAGCCAAGCCATCAACTTGTCACTTCGACTTGATTCCTACCAAGTTGCTGAGAGATATCGTTCCCTTAATCAGCTTATCTTTATGTAGCATGATCAATATTTCTGTGGTGACAGGATAAATTCTACAGTCTTTTTAAGAAGTCATAATCAAACCTTAAACTTTCCCTTTATTTCAAAATTACTTGACAAAGTAGTTGCTTGTCAGCTCTGTGACTTTCTCAACATTTATTGTTCTGTAGTCTTTTGTGTGCATCTCCATTTGAAGAAAACAGTGCCAGCTCAACTTTAAACCACAAGAGGGAGCAGCTCAACTGTGATTACTTCAACTCTGTCTGCAAGTCAAGTCAAAACCATGAGGGAAATGATTGTGTTACTCACGTCAGTGAGCTGTAATTTAAAAAACGTTTTAAAATAGTCTAAACTGAATTACAACTTACAAACCATAAACAGGTTGTTTATTGTCTATGTTTTTATTGTCTTCAGGGGAAAGTCTTATGTTTAGACTTTGAACACAATTTCACACATTAACGATAACAGAACTTGCTTTAAGCTACATTTCAGAGTTTTTAATACCTTATGAGCCAACTCGCAGCCTCAGATCCTCTGGCGAAGGCCTCCTGTTTGTTCCAAAGTTCCAAAGACTCAAAACTAAAGGTGATAGAGCTTTCTCCATCAGAGCTCCTTGACTTTGGAACGACCTGACGGAGGAGATAGGGCATGCAGAGACAGTCACTTCTCTTAAGTCAAATTTAAAAACTCACTTTTACAGACTTGCTTTTGTGTGATGCCATCTTTTATCTTTTATCTGTCATCTCTCATCTCTTTTACCTCTGTCTTATTTTGGCTTTACTGTCTTTTTAGCTTTTGTTATACTTGTCCTCTTTTCTTAATTAATCTTTAAGGCCTTTTATTGTTTTATCTCTTGCTCATTTCTGTTGCTCTATTTTATCATTACTATCATTATCAGTATTACCTGCTATTATTTTATTAGCATTGTTGATATTGCCTTTTATATTTACTTTACTGTTTCTGCTTTCGACCCTCCTTTTAATTGCGTTTTCTTTTTTCTTAACTATTTTATGTTTTTATTTTGGCCCTCATGGTCTCATTTTATGTTGCATGGTTCTTGTATTGCCTGGGTTCCTTATGACATGAAAATGGACTTCAGTTCCGTTTCAACTGAGCTTTTTGTTTTAATCTGTCTTTTTCCATGAGCTCTATGACTATATGTCAAAGCACTTTGTAAACTTCTGTTTTTAAAAGTGCTATATAAATTCAAATTCAACTTTATTTTTATGGCACTTTTCAGACAAGAAATGCAGTTCAAAGTGCCTCACAGAGGCTTAAAACAACAATTAACAACAATAAAAACCCGACCCTCCCACCCATGGACCCACACGCACAAAGACACACACTCTCACTCACTCACTCACCCACACATACTCACACAAGCACACATAGTGTGAGAATTTAAGATATATTGTTAAAGAGACATGGCCTGACACCAAGACACTACGTGAGGAAATAGCTACCTTTGGGAAACACTGGAGATAAAAGATAAAAAATAGAAAGTGGTAAATGGAAAGAGTAAAACCTGATGGACTAAAACAAGAAAATAATCTTAAATGAACAGATAAGTAAGAGCTCTTTACCATGTTAAAGGTGTAAAAGAAGTAAAAACCTCAAAGGCAGGAGTTAAGGAAAAGACTAAGAACAGAGAAAATTAATAAAATGACATAAAATGACCTATAAGAACTTTGATCAAGATGAACATTTGCAATAAGAGAAACAGAAAAAGGCAGTTAATAAAAGCCTGGTTAAAAAGGTGAAGTTATAAAGTTGTTATTCTTATTATTGTATTATTATAACGTGTTAAAATTTAAGTGCATAAACTTTGTGCAGGAAATTTTTTGCAAATCATTTTATTCAAAATAAGACTGATCATTGAGTAATTGTGTCTGATTATTTTACTTTACCAGCAGTTAGCAGTAAAGACTTTAAGTGAGGATTTTTTAAATTGTTTTTTATTTAAAAAAAAAAAAAGCATGTAAAATATTCAATACTTTTATCAAATAAATCTTAAATCCCCTCCAAAAAAAACTTTGAATGACCCCATCAAGTGTAGAAAGACACCGGTATGTAGACTAAGCCACGCCCTTATGTGCATGTGAAACACGTGGTTCCACCCCCTTCTGCAGGCACCGATATTATTGATGGGCGTTGATTTCCGGTATTTGGCATCTGGATTTTCAGGTTCCACAGACCGTGGGTTGCATGTATATGTGTTGTTTGTCGGTGCGTGTGTGTGCGTGTGTGAGAGAGAGGGACTTTGTTGTGTGGTTGTACCATTCACAGCGTGGATATTGTCACCGCCTTGCACCGTAGGCAGGCACCGTGTTTCTTCATGCAAGATCCCGCCGCGGCTCCACAATCTTTGGCCAGCAATGACCGAAAGCCCCACGAACAAGCCAGGCAACGGGGATGTATGTCAACGCGTGAGGAATGGACTCAAGCCGGAGCGCAACGGTTTGTTGAAGACCCTCTACTGCTGCCATGAGCGGCAACCCAAACACCAGTACCACCCGGAGGAAGAGGAGGAGGAGGAGGAGGTAAGGCCCGGGATGGGGGAAGAGGCTACTGAAGCCTGGGAAGCGTCCGTTGTGCGGACCCGGAAACATCCCAACAATGTTGGGGTTTTTCTTGCACCAGTAAGTCTTCATAGATTTCTGCGTTATTTGAAATAGTAATATTTGTTGACAGTGTCAGTTTGGTCGTGCTCAGATTGTCTGGATCACTCAAAGTGGACGCCCATACCCAGAGGAAATATCACCAAAAGTTTTTTTTAGTTATTCCCCCTGAAACTGTTTGTCTTTAGTTGAATCTAAGTCATTCAGTTTGGCAAAATCGATACATCAGACAGTCTAATAACTCAATGGAGTCCAATGTTTTTTCTTCGAAGTTAGTAGCCCGCTTCACCACCCCCTGTCGTCAAGTTGGAAAGAGGGTTGAAACAGGTGTTAAAACTCCAAAACCTTCACTTGTCATACTTAAAACAATAAGCATATGGCATTTGTCCTGCTTTTGGTCAAAGGCACAAACTTGGGATAGACTACTCTATCTCATTCCACATGAGGCTGACAGAGCCAGTTCAACAGCTTACAAACTGTTTATGTTTCTTCACTTGATGACCGCAACAGGTTTCATCCTTATCTCATCAGTTTTAGTTTCTTGGGACAAGTTTTAAGCTGGTTGTGAATAATTCTTTAAAAGCAGAGTAAATTCTCATTCTCAGCATTTGCTGTCTTATTGCTTTTGTCGATGTAACATGGATTGTCAGTGTTTTGCACATCATTTTGTACTGTTTCTATCAACAGTTTGCTGTGCTCTAACTTTTGTAAATGTTGTATATGTATTAATTATTTACTTTCTCATCTTCTGAGGGGTAGTCTTTGTTTTAAGAGGCCAGTTTCCCACTTTTTAAGATTTTAAATTAGATTTTACAGGTTAGGACTGAAACAGTAATAAGTTAGTAATGAGGGACAATTGAACCAGAACTCCTGTTCAAGTGAGAGATAGGGATGGCACACCTCAATGGATTGAAATGGCTTTTCCTAAGAGGTTTATTAAGTTTCCACCTTTCCCTAACCCTAACCCCTCTTTCTGCCCCAAATTACTGATCCTTTCGGACTGTGTGACTATGACATGCAGTTGCACTTAAGAGTTGCCTGTTTAGCATCATTTGTGAATTTTCAAAAGAAGTGTTTGCGTAGTAAAATAACTATAGTCAAGCATCCTTTGCCTCTCCTTTTTGCTGTCAGACAGTATTAACCGGCTGTGGAATAAACAGTGGCAAAAGATGTTAATTTTCCTAGTTTAGTTCAAACGGACTGGAAGAGCAGATGTGTACGGCTGACAGGCTTCCCCTTTCGTCTGGCATCTTAGGGCAATAGCATTTCCCTCCACTGATTTTTCATTTTTTACTTGGTCAGTTGGCTGGCTGAGAAAAGTGAAAGCCTGATGACTGAACCTCAGCTGATTACAGTTCATGTGGATGTCAGCATTGCTGCTCTGTAAGGTATTTGAGAGAGGGGCATGACTGGTCACATGTGGTGCCTAATAGCCATAAGCATGGCGATGAGTGTACCGGTGGGGTGAATTGCATAAATTTCTCCGATCACTGACTTTCTGCCCATCCGCTCTTGACAACAAAGAAACAAAAATAGGTTAAACAATTTTTAATATAGGACATGTAGAATTGTAGTTCAAAAGCGTGTCATTGCAATATAGATCTCTGTGTTTCGAGTGTGCAAATTTACATAAAAAACACCAAGTTTTCCCATATTTGGCTGTCAAATTGTCCCTCTCTGCTCTGCCAGTGTCACAGTGTTTTCTTTCCTGTATAATAGTGTACAACTCAAGAAAGGTACAGTGTCAGCTTTCTTATAATCCTCCCATGAAATTTAGCAGAAATCACAGGTGTAAATGTACATGAATATCAGATGATTTTCTAATGAGAGGCTTTCAGCCAATGTGTTAATGCATGAGAAGTTAAAAAATAAGATGGCTAGACCATTACCATAACTCCCTGCACTGAAGGAAAGTATTGGGTAATACTTGTACTTAATTGGGATTTGTCTAACTGATGGCACCATGAACTTTAGCACCAGCATTTAAATCTTACACCTTTAGTTAGTTCAATCTTTTTTTTTTCATTTGTCACAAAAATGTCACCACTGTCACTGATTATCACAGCCCATCTACAAAAAGTATTTATGTGCCCTGCAAGATAATATTTGAAGCCAGTAAAACTTCATTAATTTTACTAAGAATATTTCTCAAAAATGAAGTCTGAAAACTGGCTTTTTTTCTTTCAGTAAAGCCTCAGCTAAAGAGTTATATTTGTTTTTTGCAAGTAATAAGCAATGCAGTGATTTTCTGTTTCTCATGTCACTCAGGCCAATGCAGAACCATGTCATGGTGGCTTGTACAGGCGACCGTTCATTGAGTCTTTTGAGGAGACTCCCATGTTGGTGGCTGTACTTACCTACATGGGCTACGGTATCCTGACCATCTTCGGCTACCTACGGGACTTTCTCCGTCACTGGAAGATAGAGCGGTGTCACATAGCCAGGGAAAAAGAGGAGCAAAAGGTGAGGAAAACCACATACACATTATGGTGCAATTTTCATTGTCTGTCTTTTAAGGAAGAAAGAAAAGTTTTCAACAAGTTTACCAGTGATCCTTGTAGTGTTTTCTGTTTCTCAGTAAATAAACCCTTAATCGCTGCTGAACCAGAAGCTCAAATATGTCTCCATAAAAACTACAACCCTGAGGCTGCTGAAGTATTTGAGATATTTCCCCGCTTTAGTATCTTTTTTTTTTCTTCACAATTAGTGCAGTGTCCTCATGAGACTGCATTTTTGTGGAAAACTACAGCTACTAGAGAAGTTATCTGCACCCTCTGATTGTGTCCTTCATCACTGAGATTGTTTTCATCCTGTTATGTAACATTTGATAGTGAAGTCCATTCTTTTAGGGTTTTGGTTATGTCAAAAAATAGGAAGTTAGAAGAATGGCTGTGGGGAAAGTGATTAATTCGACCTTGGGAAACCTGACGGATGTATCCTTCAAGAGTCAAGACAGTGGCTCTCCACTCCTCATGCCTTTATTATATAAGACTGACCTTATTCTAGCTAAGCTTTCCTAAAGTATGACTGGCATTTCTTTGAGGTGGTATTTTTACAATAACAGAGTGACATTCCCGAATTCTCTCCTCCCTTTACAATTCCTTGTAATTGTCTTCCTCTTTATCCTTGTGTAGGACTTTGTCCCCCTGTACCAGGACTTTGAAAACTTCTACACCAGAAACCTCTACATGCGTATAAGAGACAACTGGAACAGGCCACTATGCAGCGTCCCAGGGGCCAAAATGGACTTGATGGAACGAACCTCCCTTGACTACAACTGGACCTTTGAGTAAGCAAGACATTTTATTAATGACAGTTAACACTGATATCTTCTTAGTAATCACTAACAGCGAAGAGCTGAACAATCCTTTGGGATAATAGCAAGTGGATGAAGTGAACTGTAGTGAATGCCCTCACCTCACCTCGTGGTTGATGACTTACAGTCTCATGTTGTTAATCGTGTGAAAAGAGAGACAGACAAGACAAACAATGGTCATTAAGCCTTAGATTTATTAGAAAGAAAGAAAGAAAGCCCCTTTAAAGTGTTGGTGTTTTGGGAGGTTTTATTGTAAAATTAGCGGCCAATTTGATTGACCAAAAAAAGGAGGCTCACAGTAAACTCTGATGGAGACCTATTTGCAGTATAAGCAAATAAAATTCCAACCAAAGACCCAGATGTTAAGGAGTAATCAGATGAATGACATGCTTTGCAGTATGGGGTGCTTTTATCAACTGGGATTATTGGTCTTTGTAAGCAGTCAATCAACATCTCTGACGACTGATCATAGTGAGGAAAATGTCTGAAGTTGAGCTCAGTACACACTGTATGTTGCATTGTAGCTTATATAATTTATGTGACATGAAGTTATTACATTTTTACAGTATATCTGAAAAGTTTTTTCATGAGCTGTCCATTAAAAAGAAGAAAAGAGGGAGTCAGAATGTGGAGTCTATTTCATTTCATCATTCTTCAGCAGGCTGTAGCTAGGTTAACAAAGATTATGCTGCCCTCAGAACCAGAGTAGATGACGAACAGCTCCTCAGCATTCTCATTTCAAATACATCTGTCATGATTTACAGACATTTGATTTAGTCTGTCAATCTTTTTAAGGCAGTAGTGTGGTGAAAGTAACCTGTTAATATATTGGAAGTAATTTTTCGAAGACACTTTGCTTTCTTATTTCAAGCAGCATCATACATTTGAGTGAAACTGGACTGTGTTTCAACAGATACAAACAAGTGAATGAAAGTTAGAGTAGGAAAAGTCAAACTCGTAGTGACTCCTTAATGAGTTTGGCAGAGCAGCTGTAGTTTGAGTACGCAGTGGAGGGGCTGTGGGGTTGTGTGATGTCAGACATCACACACTGCATAGAAGACGGCTGAGAGCAAAATCAGAGTATACCGAGTGCCAGGCAGGTAATGCATCCAACAAAATGGCAGATTTGGCTCCTTAGTAAAAAGATTATGGGAAGTAGGCTTTAGTTCTGCCTGTCTTTAGTTAGATCGAGTTTTGGAGTATGACAATAAGCTTGTTAAACCTTCCTGTCTTTCCTCCTTGCCTTTGGCTGATGGTCTCCTTTTGTCTTTGGTACCCAGGTACACAGGGCGGGTAGTGCATGATGTGATTAACTTGGGCTCATATAATTACCTCGGCTTCGCTGAGAACACAGGCCCGTGTGCTGACTCTGCAGCCGAGCTCACTGTGAAGTACGGTGTTGGAGTTGCAAGCACCAGGCAGGAGATTGGTACAAACACACACCCAAACACAAGCACAAACCCTGTATTCATATTTTTAAAAGCTTAACACCAGGATTTGCCTGTAGCAAATGAAGGTATTATTAGGTCGGTATTATTGGTAAGAGAGCTGTTGGGTTGATTTTTGATGTGTCAACAGTTTACTTTTCTCTGATTGGAGGAAACCAGTTAACCCAAACTTTGATTAAAACTGAAGACTAAATGAATGAAGATATTCCCAGAAACAATAGCTATTACTTTTAATTTAGTAGTAATTGATGTTAGGACAATCGAGAAGATATGTGTATTCACAGATCTGGATTAACTTGGAGAATCTGTGGCATATCAAAGTCTCCCAAATAAGTCTGATGTGACCCAGATTTCTGTGGAGGAAGTTAAGCACACCATATGGCAAGCAGATTGTTTTTACTGATGACGTAAAATTATTGCTGCTTCAAGGAGAAAGTCAAATAAACTATAAACATTAGGGGTGGGAGAAAAAATCGATACAGTATGGTATCACAATATTTTGTCTGGTGATATATCGTATCGTCTCATTTACCAAGTGTTGAGTTTTCAAATTAATTGCTAATATGAAGTCAAATCCATAATGATGGAAAAATAGAATCAACTTTTTCTCCAGTGAGGTTGGCAGAGGTGACATTGTGGAGCGGGAGAAAGTTAGTACTACAAATATATAAAAAGTTTGCGAGATGAGCTACATGAAAATAAAACACAGCGTATATAAGCCAAACATAAAGGAAAACTAAATGCTCAATTAGCTAAACAATTGAAAAAAGTGTATAGATTGCAATATGTTGTATTGCTATACTCATTGTATTGCAAAATGTTAAAAATCGCAATGATATCATATTGTGGCCCAAGTATCGTGGTAATATCGTATCGTGGGGCCACTGGTGGTTCCCACCCCAAATAATCATATACACTATACAGTCTAAGTTACCTAAGGACGAACTGACTCAACAAGTGTTGTTTTTAGACAAGACACACTACAATTAAATTTGCTATAGCATTATTCAGCTATAAAAGGTTTAATCTATTAAGAACATTGAGGGAAATACACTAGCTTGCTTTCTCACCAGGAGTCAGACAAAAGATTTGGAGCCACTGTCATGTCTCAAAACAGAATATAAAACTAAACTCCAGCTACAGCCAGTTGATATAGGTCACTATAAAGACTGGTAGCAGCAAGAGAAATAAGCGAGCTCTACTCCTCCAAATCAAACACCTCCATCTTTTAATTTTTTTACTTTAAAATTAAGTATGGATAAAACCTAAAATATTGTATTATGTAAACTACTAAGTCAGTGACAGCCTTTTAAACATTTGAGTGACCTTTTAAAAAAATATTCAAAGAGTAGAAAATTAAAGCTAACTATACACATCTTAGTTGTAAATGGACAGGTGTGAGGGTAGTGTCCATCCTTATGCCCTTCAACTTTTACAGGCAATCCCTGTGGGCACATAATTTTGAGGTTTGATTTGAGAAACCTCTATGCCGATCTCCTGGATTTGTGCTTTTCAGGTAACCTAGACCGACACGAGGAGCTGGAAAAACTGGTGGCTGAGTTTCTTGGTGTAGACTCAGCCATGGCATTTGGGATGGGCTTTGCAACCAACTCCATGAACATACCCGCACTGTCAGGCAAGGTAGGACTACAGGTCAATGAAAGTTATGTCAATTGTTTCTTGAAGAACCCTGTAACTTATCTCAACCCCTGCATTTTTCATCTCAGCCCTCTAGGTAGTTATTTGTGTCCTTGTCAAATTTACTCGATCTTATCTCAGCACTTTTTGTCCTCTTTACACTCTCTATCTGCCCAGTGTCATTCACACTGTCTCTAATATTGTCATGTTTGTTTTTTTTTATGCAACTGTTTGTCATTTCTACTATTACAAAGTATGACAACACACTATCACAGTTCATCAAAAACACGGCGACACAAAAACACTGTCCAGCCTCATCAGGAGGAAACACTTTGTGTTGACTCCAGCAGTTTGTTTTTTGGCTGCGTGTCAAAATAGAAAAATAACAGTAGCGTGTGCTCAAAACTTACAGACGTTATTTTTATGTACAGTAGCTACTTTGTGACATAAATGGTTTGCATTGTAAAAGAAGACCATTGGTGGAAAATGTGAGACAGCTTCTAAAAATTGATGCATGTGAAATGATTAGTGGTACATTACAGACAATTCAATATGAGAACTTGATAAATCTCCAAAGGGAAATTTGTAGTAGATGAATTATTTAAATCTTTCAGTGATAACAGGTTAATGTGATGATGCTTTACTGAAAAAGTATTACATCCAGAATTTTAATTGAAGCAATGTTTTTGATATCAGCCAAGTTCATCTCTAAACTGACCACAATGCCTCTAAGATTGAAGTATACTACCACTGATTCTACAGTTTTTGATTAATGTTAACGCTGGGCAATATTGTTACTCACCATTCAGTTAAATTTATATCAATGAATTATATCTAATTATATTATTATATTTTTGTTTATCCAGTAGGAACATTTTTCATAGGCTCAGAGAGGCAGTGCTTTTCTCAGCTTTATGACCGCACATATAAAGTTACTCTTAAGATTATTCAAACACATCATTTTGTTTAAGCAGTCTCATATTCAGTTGAATACAGGTGGGAAAGGATTTGCAAATCATTGTATTCTATTTTACTAACATTTTACACAACGTCCTGACTTCATTCGACTTCATTGGGTTTGTACATTTTTACATACTGACGTTGGTCTGGTGTCCTACAGGGCTGTCTCATTCTGAGTGATGAGTTGAACCATGCCTCTCTTGTCCTGGGAGCCAGGCTGTCTGGATCCATCATCAGAGTCTTCAAACACAACAGTAAGTCAGTGATTTCAATGAAGAGTTTCCTCGGTACCAAACTTTTCCTTGCACATGCATCTTTATGTCCAACCCTAATGGTCAGTTCACCCTGTTGAAATAATTTTGCCATTGCTGATACTCATAGCCTTTTTCCCTTTCAATCCCTTTGGCTTTTACAGCCCCCCCATGCTGTTCAGCTCTTATGTTTAACTTCTTCTCATGTGCTCTTTGTCATGGAGCCATGACTTAAATCTGGTCACTGTAGTTACACAGTGGGATACTGGTTGTCATAAAGACAAACTATCTTGGAGTTGGCACTGCGTTGTATGTCTTGTTTTGCACCTTTTGATTTATTGGAGGATTATGACATACTGTACAGAATTTACATGAACAAATGTCTGCGTTTCTATGTCATTTATTCTATGTCAAAGAGATAGCAAGCAATGAGTAAGACTCGTGAAATGAATCTTACTCATAATCACCATGAGACATTTGAACTATATGGAAAATTGTTGTTGTTTGTTATTTATTTTCATAATTGATGGTTATTTAATTTCCAATTAGCAACCGGGCTACCCAGCACAGTCTAAACTGCAGCTACACACACTTACAATCACTGACTGTTTGCAGATAATATTGCTGGATGTAATGATGTTACATTTGGATGTCAGCACAGCCAAGAATGTACCTATAATATAATTATGATTATGGTGATGTGAAGAAGCATTAGCTTGCACTTAAAACTATTGGCCTTTTTTTGAAGCCATGAACGCACATGACTTACACATTAATTTGTATACTAAAACAGCAGTGTCCTAATGATCCAAGTACAGGACCACTGTTATCCCATCTGACATTGTTTTTTTTTATATATATATATATTTTTATATATATATTTTTTATATATACTACCCGATATTTCAGCACTCTGACCTTTCCAACACTCTGTTTGAGACTGTATTGATGCTGTTGGTGTGCGTCTCATGGTTTAAATGAATTTCCAGCCCTAATAAAATGTGGGTGGTTATTCTGTAACCACCTTTTTTTTAATAATTCTGTAATTTTCCTGTCAGACATGCAGAGCCTCGAGAAACTGCTGAGAGAAGCCATTGTTTATGGACAGCCCAGGACTCACAGACCATGGAAGAAGATCCTCATCGTGGTAGAGGGCATTTACAGGTAGCCTACATAGAACAGTGTCTTGAAGCTTAATAAAACCTTTTAAGACATTGTCACATATTTAAATATGTTGTATATCTGTTCTATAAAGGGTTTATAATACTGAGGTGGTATTGTGTTGATTAGGGGTGTCCTGATATGATATTGAAATCAGACATTGGTCTGATATGAGCAAAAATAGAATTTCAGATTATATCGACCTGCATTTCAAATCTCTGATATCAGCACTCCAATACAAGCAGTCCATTCCAGACTCCGCTTCAGAACCTCTATTTAGCAGCGCCTGGATCCAGCATGCAGAGCCCACATAACCACAACAACAGTATGAACTACTAAGGTACTAACAAAGTAGCAAAGAGTAGGAGTGATGTCGTCCGTTTGGCAGTAATTTTTGTTTAATTTAAAAAAAGATGTTGCAGCTGAGTGCAAAACTTGTCATGCACAATTTTGTACTGATATCGGATCATTAATGATAATTGCAATTACTGAAGGCTAAAACATCGGAATCCTATTGGAGGTTAAAAAAATTGTATTGGACACCCATAGTGTTGATTATGAAGATACTATTTTAAAAGTTACCAGTGCATAAAAATCTTGAACCAAAAATATATTTTTAATGCCACTATTATTATTTCCCTTGTTATTTCAATTCAAACACGCTCTTTGTTTTGACCCTTTTTGTTTTTTTAATTGTTTTAAATCACCATGCGCTATGCTGTGCAAAAGGAATCAAAAGCCACTGTTAACTGTTTAAATACAATATTTAATTTAAAGTTAACATTTCACAGTAGTACTGTGTGTCAGCTTTAAAATAAGCAAAGCATGTTCCTGAGTAAATGACTTACAAACAGGCTCACAGAAGGCAGCAGCACTGATCCTCTTTTGATGTTGGACCATTAAGCTCAGCACTATCTACACCCCTGGGGGTGGACTGTTGGTTGACAGAGCTGACTCAGTGCGTGGTTAGCTCTTAGTGGTTATATACACTGTGAGCAAGTTTGATGAGCTACTTCATTCAGCCAAACTAGTGAACAACACCTTCAGGATGCTGCCAAGCTATATGCAGGTCATTTCTGCTCCTGTGGTACTGCTTCATTATTGCTTACTTCATCAACAACGCTTTAGGTGGTCAAATAATGTATCTCAGTACACCAATTGACCCCCTTGATTGTCGCTCTCTGTTTTCAACACCACAGCATGGAAGGCAGCATTGTGCGTCTACCAGAAGTGGTTGCCCTAAAGAAGCATTACCAGGCCTACCTTTATCTAGATGAGGCCCACAGCATAGGGGCGCTGGGACCAAGAGGGAGAGGCGTGGTTGATTACTTTGGCCTAGACCCCCGTGATGTGGATGTCATGATGGGCACATTTACCAAGAGCTTCGGTGCAGCAGGTGGTTACATAGCAGGAAAAAGGGTGAGGACACTTGATCATTCATTCATTTCTTCATGCATTTTGTTTTTGAAGGGGACAAGAAGGTGTGGCAGGGTAAAATGAACTGAAAATAAGATGTCACATTATATGAATAGTTTTCCTCTTCAAAGCCCAGTCTTCTTCCTGGGATAGTAAACAATGTTTAACAATTATTTAATGTCATCATCAGGGCTTACAATAAAAATCACAAAGATTTAAGTTTGAAAAAAACTCACCTGTAATCTTAGCAATGTTGACCAACAGCCTTGCGGTGTGTAAAGCAGCATTCCTGACATTTTAGCCCAGTTTCATGAAACACTTAAGTTATGAAAGCAGCTTAGAAAAACTAAAGGTCTGGTCCAAATAAATCTTGTGTGCATGTAAGCTATGCCAGTCCTGACTTCCGAGGACATCCCTGAGAGTTTATGGTTGAAGAGACAGCAGAGTGATTTAAGCTTTCCATGCATATTTATCTTACATCTCCTATGTATTTGCTGGGTTTAGGAGCTTATTGAGTACCTGCGCTCCCATTCCCACAGCGCAGTCTATGCCACCTCCATGTCTCCTCCTGTGGTGGAACAAATCATCACTTCTATGAAGTGCATTATGGGAAAGGATGGCACAACAATAGGTAAGTGTATCCCAATAGCCTCTGTGGAGTGGTTTTGAATCACTGGGTTCCATTTATGCATGTGCACTGGGGTAACACAGCCCACACTAGTAAATCACTTACTCAGTGTGAAACCACTAAGCAAGTGATTTACTTAGGCAGATTAAATAATAAAACAAACATGGTTGTGGACAATTAAAGTGTCAGAGTTTTCCAAAAATAGACTTGCCTGCCTTTTGTTTTCAGAAATCCTTAAGTTGGTAAACTTAAACTGAGCAGCAGCATTGTGGGGTAACATAACCTCTGTCAAAGATAATACTCCACATGCCCTGTAAACTAGAAACAGCTCATCAAACATAAACTGATATACTATCTACATCATCTTGACTGTGTTTGGAGTGTGTCGATACATCATCTTTCTCAAACTGTTTTAAACTGGAGTTTAATGTCCAGCATACATTCTTAACAAATGTAAATCATTTTTCTTTTCTTTTCTTTTTTGCCTTTTTTCCCTTTATTTTGCATTTTATCCATTTATCTCATGATTATGTTTACTATGTACTGATGATGCTGCTGATTATTTTTTTAATTTATTATTATTATTATTATTATTATTATTATTATTATTATTATTTTCATCCCTGTAATCATAAAAGAAAAAATTATCACAAAACAAAAAAAAAAAAACGTGTAAATCATTTGCTTGTTTGTCCTGCAATCCAAAGTGGCTCTTTAAAAGGAGTTATGCACCACTAGGATAGCAAATCACAGAGGCCTTTAGAGAAGGCAGTAATGGGCCATTGTCTTTCCTCCATAAATACAAAAGGTATTTTAAAAGTCCAAAGAACCAGAGCCCTTCCCGTGATACTGAAGAAGACAAACTGTGGTCACACACAATGGTAATTCGAGGCCAGAAGTTAATATAAGGTGGCTAAAATAAAATAAAATATTTGTATCCAAAAATAAATAAAACACCTTTCATGAAAATGTATCCTAAAGATTAACAGGCATTAAGTACTTTCATAACAAAAAGCCTCAATGACAAACATGCGACTTATCTTGCCACATTTTTAGTCTGCTAGAGTTAAGCGAATTCGAAATGAAGTGCTGTGATTTTTATTGGTCACTAGGTGTCAGTACACACTCAGGTTCTAGAAAGGCAAACAGCACATAAGCCACAACCAGGAACAAATGACTCCTCAAACGGAATTAACTGTGGGAAAAGTGGGAGGTAAGCGCTTGCAGGGGTGGTCCAAGGGCTCCGGAGCTTTTAAGCCTCCCAAGATCTTATGGGTCTAACTTGATAAAACACAAATGAAGGGAGTTGCCTACTTAATAACCCCAGAGTTGTACTGGCTCTCACTGCCCATCTGTCTCCATCTATCTTCATGCTTGGGTCATAGAGGACATGAGAGGCCATATGGTAGGTTGTGTAACTTATCTGTACAGCACAGATATTGGAATGAGTGCGTAATAGGATGGGTGTGTAACCTCTTCATTAAAGCACACGTACCATGCGTTTGTCTGCAATTCATGATTTGTTTGATTTTCTTGATGGCCAAAAAAGCTGAGTTTGCTGATCTCCAGCAGTTTTCACCTCTTTGACTCTTTTTTGTCTTTTAAACAAAAAATATATATCTATAATTGTATACTCTTATTAATCAAATATGAAAAAAAAAAATTTACATCAAGTTGAGCACCTGAAAAAAGCCAACCTTATAAATGAATCTTTATTTTTTCAACTATATTTAACCAGATGTCTTTTTTCTGGCCAAGATAGGCAGCAGCACATGTGTGATTACATTTGAATTTCAGACACAGTCACTATAACAACAGCCATAACCCTGTAAACAACATATAGCCAGGGGGAACAAGTTTGTTAATGAAGGCCAACCAATGTCTGTAGAGGAAAACTGTCCGGCACTGTCAGATCTGGTCTTTCAAAACCAATTCTTGTCATCCCAAGGCCTTGAGCGTGTGCAACAGCTGGCAGAGAACACGGTCTACTTCCGCAAGAAGCTTCAAGAAATGGGCTTTATAATCTATGGAAATGAGGACTCACCTGTTATACCCATGATGCTCTACATGCCTGCCAAGATAGGGTGAGCCTTTACTCAATCTAGAGGGCATTTACACTAAGTAAATGTGTGTGTTTTAAGAGCAAAATAATCCCATATGATATGGATTGAAAATAATATTTTGTATTGTATTTATTTTGCAGCATGCAAGTATCTGAAAACTGCTCCTCTTTGCATATCCTTTTAAATGTGTTTGTGGGAAGTAAAGCTTGAATCAAAGCCCACTGTAGAATAAGTGTTTGTTCTTAGGTAGGGAATTTTGGTGAATGTAGAACTGTGTCAGTATTTTACTTGTCCATATAGATAGAGAGAAGTTTGGGTTTTTTTTCCATGAAGAGTAGGACAGATATTGTTGTGCTCATGTAACTTCCTGTGTTCCCTCTTGTCTGTCCCACCAGAGCATTTGGCAGAGAAATGTTGAAGAGAAATATCGGGGTCGTGGGCGTTGGCTTCCCCGCCACACCCATTATCGAGTCCAGGGCTCGCTTCTGCATCTCAGCCGCCCACACAAAAGAAATGCTGGACAGAGTAAGTAGTTGTGTGGGGTACTGTAAAATGTACTGTTGCAACATAGTGTTTGCTTTGTCTCAAAGTGAGGCATTATTGTAAGAAACAATTTTAAAAGTAGAAAAAGCGGTTCACTGACCTCAGGAGCTTACCGAACAATGACCCTCTGCCAGAAATTTCAACAATACAGACAGCTGAAAAGTCATGCCTTTCACTCTAACCTGAGCAAAATATCGAAATGAGCAGAATTGAAGCCTCTCTGTGCAGTTTATGCACTCCACAGTTTATTCACTCTCTATTCCAGTTGTTCAGCCTCTAAACATTGTTTTTACTCACCCTATTTCCTGGTGTAAGTGCAAACTCTTCAAGTGTTCTTCAGGAAGTTGACAACTTGCCTAAACCAGGGTCTCCAGTTCTTCCTCTGTGTTTAGCTCACGACACGCTAGCCTGGTCTTCTGTTAAGGTCTTAATCGCATTGAATGTTGAAAGATATGATTTCTTTTTCATGCACAGTGCATCTCTAGAAAGTGCTGCTTTATTGGGACTGACATCCACTACCGTTCTCCTTGTGCTCCTCACAAAACAAAATCAAACATAGTGAAGACAGGGAGTGGGAGTGTTGTAATGCAGTAAAGCTTTCATCTGTCAAGACGTAAAAATCTCTACATATTAGATTTCACCTCTGGATCATTCTCTTATACTTTGATGTGTCACATCCATTTTGCGTTTCTTTTATCTACTGGTGAGCTTTCGCAGTTTATTCTCCTAATTCAACACACTCACCCATGAACATTCAAAATTCTTGTCCTTCCAAATACCTTCTGTTATTGACAATGTCGATATTTTAACCCTCAAGCCCTCAGCAAACTTAAACACTGAAGTACACAAACCTCGTACTCCAACCTCTTGAAAACATGAAAACAAATTCATTTATTCGGGGCATCCTCAGCTGAAATGCTTTAACGAGGATGTTGAAATCTTAGATCTGTCTTCTTTCATAGCAGGAGAATAAAGCAATGATTAATCTTTCTTTACAAGGTGAATCTACAAAAATTGCCCTCTTATCTCTGTTCTCCTCTGACACCTAAAATTATTACAAGCGATAACCTTCATGTAGGTCATACCTCAAACTCACTATCTTTGGTGAAAGCGCTTTCATAGTCTTTGTGATTCAATTTTGATTTAAGCTAAAAGTTCAACTTTTAAGAGATTGTTTTTATAGCTTGGATTCAAAACCAGGAGTAAAAAATGTGTGACCTTCTAATACACATCTTAAGTTGTAATTTTAACTTTTAAATTGTTTATTTCATTCTTTAATTAAAGTGTTTCGCTGCTGTCTTTGCCGGAGACCCCTGGTAAAAGAGGTTTTGTAACTCATTTAGAATAACCCTGATAAAATAAAGCTTGAGTAAGGAATTAATCAACATTGTTTTCAAGAGCAGCGCTCAACTAGTCTTATTGAAAAGTGGTTACATCAAAATGCCAGACTGCTGAAATTGTCAATATTGTTTTGGACATGGACTTAGACAGACTTTTATTGTCATTTAGTATGCAGCAGGGCCTCAATTTACAGATTCAGTACAGTGCAGATGTATGTGCAAAAAATGTATGTCCTCCCCCCATGGATGGAGGACCCAAAATCAAATTCAAAGATTTGTCAAGCCTATTCAGACTGAGCACCCATTAGGAGAACCTCAAGGGCTGGGCGATATGGCTTCAAATCAATATCACGATATACTTAGCAGTTCACATTGATAACGATAAATGGACGATAACTACTCCACAAGCTGCTCACCCCCTCCCACATTGACTTTGTCTACTTTAGCCGCAGCTCTAACTGCTACAACTTTTGAACTGTCCTCCATCTCCTCACCTGTCTTTCCCTCTTTGTTACGGACTGGACGGGGTGAAGTCACGTCTCTGACGTAGGACAGCGTCTAAAAGGGACATGACACTATAGCCTACCTACATACATCCAAAACCAACTTTTATTTATTTTTTTGACACCTAATATACTGATTTGGGCAAAAATGACGTCGGTTATTGTCGTAAATTTTGGTATCCGAAAATATTTGGTTTTTCGCCCAGCCCTATTCTTTGCTGTTATTTACTTAAGAATTTCAATCAGATAATCAGAAAAATCATTCTTAAGACACATTCAGACCAAACGCGACTTGAAGCGACCTAGTCGCGTTGGTCGCTGTAATCACGTCACGTCGCGCCCTGGTGTGTTCACACCAGGTCCAAAGCTGCAGTCACGGAGGTCGCAGGACGTGGCTCCCTCCTTCATTAATCACTCATTAATTTCACCTGTGTCTCATTTGCCTCAGCTGTTGCTCGTTTTCCAGTGTGTGTATAGTCCTTTCTTCCCCTCTGTCCTTGTTGGTTTATTGTATGTCGATGTGTGCGTATGCTTGTGTTCCCAGTTGTCTCCTTGTGATTTTTTCCCCCCAGTGTCTTTAGTTGGATTTTGCCCTTTTGGATTTTTGTTTTTTGTTGTTTTTTTCATTTAGTTCTTTTTAATTAAATCCTTTGTTCTGCATTTGGGTCTTATCTTTGTTTAACCTTGCACAGCGTGACATAATGCTTCTTATACAAACGTGTCTGTCCACCAAAAATTCCTTTTAGTTTTAAAAAGTTTTGGATTACATATTTGCCATCTGTTTTACAGAATAGTTAAATAAATGAATCTACCATAGTGTACACTTTTCTTCGACTTAGATTACTAACCTGTTTAAACTCAGCTACTCCTATATCCAAGCAAAATGTCATACTGGTGACTCCCCCTCACATCCAAGTAATCTAAATGAAAAATTCAGAGGACTGGGTCCATCTGGAGCATTAAAGTTAGTGGTGTTTTCTCTCTGAGCCCAAGTTTCCTGATTTAATCCTAGAAGACAGGTGTGCCTGATGCTGCTTTAAAATTTCCTGAAGCTCCATTTTGCCCTCCTTGCTGACAGCTGTTTTATGGTACGAATGTCTCCACAGGCACTGAGTGTCATCAGTGAAGTAGGAGACCTTCTTCAGCTCAAGTATTCCCGTCACAGGATACAGCCGTCTTTGGTGCGGCCCTTTGACGATAACGTGTATGAAGAAATTGATGACTGAAGAAGCACTCTTTTCTCAAAGTGGCGTGAACCTGAACAACCCCTGAAGATATTAAGTGCATATGTGATGGATCACATGCCTTCCAGAAGGACAGAGATGTGCACAGGTGCCCCTTGTCAACATCTCACAAATACATAAAGAAAACATTGATTTTCTAGTTTGCCTTGCCTAAATGTGCATAATGTGCGAACATGCTGAAAAGCATATCTGCTTTCTGCTTTCTGTTTTTTTTTATCTTCATTTTATGTTTTAAAGTTTGACTTTTTTCAAGGTGTATCTTTGTATGTTTGCAGTGCTTACAGAATCCACCTTGCCCCGAAGCATATGACAAGATTTGATCACCGTTTGTATGTGAGCAAATATCACAGAAAATGGATTTAATTTTAAGGATTATTTAAAATGATCATCCAGATTTGGACTTTCTGTCATCAGAATTTTTTGTGTATGGTTTGTAGTCTATCAGGCTCTTTTGAATATGAGTGAAGGGTATTACCATCTTTACATGCACTACAGTATTGTTATTCCATGTTATTCCCTGGTTCTTCCTTAGCTGAGGGCAGATTTGCCTCCTCAATGCTAGTCTTTATCATTGTTAGTTGGAAAATATGATGAATGGTATGGAAAGGAAAGCACTTTGAATGGTCAGAAGAGTTTATAAAGAAGTTTTACAAAAACAATCCTGTTACATTTCACCACACTTTAGATTGTCTTATTGGGAATATCTATTCCTTATTTCCAATTTCAGGATCATCAACTCATCACAACTAAGCCTGGCTAATTACTAGGTTCTGAAAGCTTTGTAATTAGCCGTTGCTATTTCAACAGCAAACAGACAGTAGTGTTTTGTTTTTTGTTTTTTCTCTAGCACTTTTAGGGTTCATAAAAGCCATGAAGAAACTGAGACAAAACATTTTGTGCTACAACTTGAGAACTTTACCTGTTTGAAAAAACACCAGCTTCAGGTAAAGACAGCAGTGCCAAATAGAAATGAGTTCATCTCAATCAATCAATATCTTTATAAATTTTGCAGGAGCACACAAAACAAAATAATCAAACCATACGGCATGATAAATTACAATACGTAACAAATCACAATACAGACCCAAGATAAATTAGGAGACTTTGAACACTTATTATGGATTTGGTGGCCTTAAACTTCACCAACCTATGTTTTTCTAAATGACACTGATAGGTATGGCACAGTTTTGAGGCATTGGTTAGAAAAGAAATGGAAAAAGCACTTAAAATTTTTGCCCATATGGACGTTAAATGGGTCTTAAGTTATATTCATTACTTTCTTTAAAAAGTGTAAAAGTCTTAAATTTGACTTGTTGAGTCCTGCAGAGACCCTGTTAAATACTTGTACCTTCTCATGTCCACTCTTTCTTGGGTGTTTACTAGTATTAGTCTCTTTGCTTAGTGTCAGATGACATTGTTTTAATGCCTTGTAAATCAAAGTGCTATCTGCTGTGACTCAAAAGTCATTAATAACATGAGAGCGTGGACGTGGATCTGTGCACTTATGTGTGTGTTACTGAACATTTATCTTGTTTTTTTCCATGTTCATATCTGCCTTTTGGTTTATCTGTACACTTTGTGCTACTGAGCTGTGAGGCAACACTCCTAAATCAAGGCAGCTGTAGAAGCAAAAGGGAGAGTGGAAAATTCCACAGGCATACATTTAATCTTGCCTTTATACACACTGGCAACTATTATGTAACCACTCTGTCCTCATAATAATGCATGTTCAGTCAGAATCTGTCATGGAAGCTGCTCCTCATACAGAAGTGCTCAACACATACTGTGTTATTAGGAACTAGACTCTTACATGTCATTGAAAAATCACAAGTCATCATGTGTCTGGACTCTTGAAAGGTCAATGGATTCTGTTACTATAAATGGGAGAAGTATGTGATTTGTACTTTCATGTATTAAAATACAATTTAGAAAAAGTTTTAAAAATCAATATCTTGGAGATTACTAAATGGTTGTCCATTTTCAAAAAGCTTTGGAGAATTATGTCATCCATTTAGAAACAAGAACGTATTTTTATGTTCTTCACACAGTCAAGCTATGAAATGATTTTCAAAGCAAGCAATATATAAGGGCCTGATGTCTGTGGTATTCTCAGCTTTATTGAGGTTTGATCAGTAACATCCTATTGTGGCAGTTAAGGGTAATTGATCCATTGTCTTTTCTTAAGTGTGTTTCTCCAAAAGTAGTTTTGGAAAGATGTTTATCACTGCTACTTGCAGCTTTTGTTAACATTGTTTAAGCGTGCCAATAATGGATGCAACCCTTTCAGTGGTTGACTCTGAGTAACTGCAAATCAGAGAGAATTACTTTTTCTCATACAGTGCCTTTGAAGCAAATGATGATCTAAGAATTGTGACTTCGGCTGTTATCACTTGGGTTGTTTATTTAATCATTGACTGCTTTGTCTTAAATTTTCCTTTTTTAACTTATTTCAGTTTATTTAATTATAGAAAATGCATTATTTTCAACATATCAACATACTTCCCATAAGTGTCACCCATGTCTACAGTCAGATTAGAATATTAAACCACTATAAACTGCTTTTCTAAATGGCTGTCCATTTTGTTAAGACAATCTATTATGTAGATAACTGTTACACTGCCTTAGTGTTGTTTTCCTAGGTCTAGTTTTACTATTACCCAGCATTCTCCCTATACAGTATGGTCTACAAACTGGCAACTGAGTGTGCTTAATGCTTTAGGCATCTTATCAATAAAATTATTTTTTGTCTAGGAAATAATAGAAAAGTAAAACTTTAAAGTTGTTTTCTTTGCTGTTAAGGTCAATGTGGGCTGGAGCGTACAGGCATTTTATAGTGAAAAGAACTGAGTAAGTTAATATGAAATAAAATACTCGTCTTTTAAATAAATAATAGAATAAATCATTTAACAGCAATGATAGTAGTAGACTTGCCTAAAGAGTTTGCACCATTGAACCAGAAGTTCATGAAATTGTATTGCTTATTCAGTATTAATTGTTTTATGGGATACCCTGTATGGACTGTAAACTTAATGTTTTTTTGAGAAACCTCTTTATTAAATAAATAAAACCTCCTGTACCTTGCTGTAACTAAAATGAAAAAGCATGCAAAGAATAAGTGACAGTCATTGATGTGATGATGGATGTATGCATTTGAGTTGATTTAATGCCTCCAGCTGAATTTTCATCTTGACATCACAGAACATAGTGTTGTTTGCAAAGTAATGCATAACATTTTGGCTTTAACCTCACTTCCAAAATATGTACCCACGCTGAGTCTTTCCTACGATACTCTAGATCATTTCCAGCTGGGGTGCTTTGTTGCTTGTCTGCACTTGAATCTCCTGGATTTTCCTGTTTCTTGCTAGCTTTCCACTGTTCCAAATACTTTACGATCTCTATATGCTGATAAAAATGCAATTCAAAATGCACACACACTAAAAAAATCACCAGAAAACCTTTCTAAAGATTATTAAACAGAAGTATAATCTCGAAGTTCAAAAATGGCAGCTACTGGTGATGTAAAACTGAAGTAGTGTCACTGCAGTTTAGGTCATCTAGTGCAAGGCAGCATTTGCCTGGGAACCCAACAAACTGCTAGTGATAGGGGAGATTGAGATCGCCGCACCTGGGGCAAATGAGATCTACATCAAGGTGAGAGATTTCTGCTTTAATGATTCACATCTACACAAAAAAAACTGTAAACTTGAGAGTAAAAGCTAATGGATACAGGGTGCTGGTTTGGCCACGCAGTTAGATCCTGTACCCAATAAACTGAACTTTAGTCCATGAAGCAGAGGGCCCCTGTTCAATTCACTCCCCCACTCACTCTTCCAGTTTCCAACTCAATACACTGTTCTGTCCTCTAAATAATAAAAGAGTGCAAGCCCAAAAATAAACTGTGAAAAAGTCTGTAAATCCCTGTTTACTGATAATGTATTGATCTTGGCTCTCAGATAATCAAGACTCAGGAGACTCTGATGACTTTCATTAATGTAAAGTCTCATCAAGGACTTTGGCAGTAACACAAGGGAGTTAATTGTATCCCTAAATCAGTTCCTGCCGGACCATCCTGTAATCGTGATATTTATCCTATAAAATAATGCCAAAGATAGGGGATGTTTCCCCACCATATAAGGCTGTTCTGCATGTATCCCCACCTGCAATTGATTATTCTCAAGACAAATGCGTGCCTGTGAACTTGTCTGTGTCCTAGTGTTGGATACACTGTGTGCTGCATGAGAAACACAAAGACAGATGTGGGGTAGAATCTGTGACATAACCTTGGTAGTAATTGTGGTAACGTGCCTATTAGGGCGGCTGTGTAAATCACAGGGAAAAGTGAAAACAATGAACTCGACAAAGCCTCACTGTAATCGTACATGAGGAGACATTATGGTAAGATTGTCTGGGCAGACGGACATCTATGGTGTCATACCCAAAATCAGCAGATTTAAATGTTGCATCTTTGTTGAAGTACCTCTCAAAGTTCAAAAAGGACACACAAGAATAAATCACTTATTTGAATTGTTTACATAAAAGGTTAAAGCTGTAAAAATTCCAAGGTCTGGGGCAAGTTTTTTATGTTCTCAATGTCTTGCCACCCCTACTAATGTCTGTGCCCCACCACCCTAATTGAAAACATCTGACTGCACCACTAAATTTAAACATAGTCATAGCAGTATTGGAAGCAATGTTAAAGATTCCAACCCTGTGTACTAAGTCATGTGGAATCCAAACCACATAAAATGTACAAAAAAACATGCTCACCACAGGGTTAATACTGTTGCACACTTTACATAACACCTTCTGCCACCAGTGGTGTAAACAAGTGAACGAAAAAGCTCTGTAAAAATACTGTCTATTCATCATTTATTATTGACATGGACTAACATCAATAAAAATGCCTAAGGCTCACATGAACACAAAGGACTATTGGGAATACAACAGATTTATTTCTTTATACTCAATTTTCAGGCCACCACAGCCAAAGTCTCTTAATATAGCTTTAAAAGATATGAGCCAATCAAAGGGTGGCCTCAAGAGGAGTAAGTGTAGATATGGTCACAAATTGTGAGCCTAGAACAGCAGTAGTTTGAGGTTTAATCTTGATTTAAACCTATGGGATGTAAACGTGAGGCTGTAAGCTCTACCAATATTTAAGTGTCATTACACTGGTACAAAAAAAACAAGTTTATTGTTTGCCAGTGGAGCTTTAAATTGGATTTGAATTTCCCTTCGGGGATCAATGAAGTTCTTCCTATTCTTCTTATTCTTATTCTTATTTAATGACATATATGTTGTGCAATATGCAGCTGTGGTTTTGGACTGCTTCATCTTGGCAATAACTCAGCAAAAATATAAGTCCTGAAATACCACTGTGCTTAACATGTTTCATTTAACCTCGGTATGTACTGAAACAGACTGAAATCTGCACAGCTTGACCAAGTATACTTTCATAAATCTTATTGTTATTGGAACTGACAACTCGGTTCGACATTGTTTTAACCAATTTTGTAAGCATGGCAATCAAAGCAAAACTGGTAAATAGTGATGAAAATACTCAAAGACTCCAATATTTATCAGGGGGAAGGTGGAAAAAATACAACCACTTAAGAGAACTTGTGTTTTACAACTTCATGTGACCAAAATCTATTTGAGGAAAAAAAAAACAAGTCCCTGCCCATCTGAACTTTTGCGCAACTGCTCTGTCTTTCAGCAGTATTTAAACATCAAGTCCGAGTTCTCTCCTCCTCTCTCTTCAAGTCCTACAGCTTGTGCACTACTTAGCTTTCACTGAAACTCTAATATTTGCTGGAAAATGGCAACAGCTGGAAAGGTAGGTGTGTGTGCGTGCGTGCGTGTGTGTGTGTGTGTGTGTGTGTGTGTGTGTGTGTGTGTGTGTGTGTGTGTGTGTGTGTGTGTGTGTGTGTGTGTGTGTGTGTATTGGAAAGTTTTGCACGCCCATGATAGTTCATTTTACTCTCAAGCTCTCAACATTGAAAATAAGATAACTATGTCTTCCTCTTTTCTTTCTTTCTCTTCTTACTCTGTCAAATACTGAAAGTCTGATTCTGATTAGACACAAAGCTTGACATTCCAGACAGTGTTGTGCAACTGTGGCTATTGGCATAGATGAGGGAATTTAAGGCCAAAAACAATCATGGAGGAAGACAAGGAGTGCTTCCACAGTCAGAGACAAAAAAAAAAAAAGCCATAAAAGCAGACTGGTTCATCTAAATCAGTAACAATGACAGATTCACTCTGTGGTTTACTCATATGAAATTGAAATACTGTTTATGTATTTTTTAAATGTTGTCTGCTTTTGAAAAACCACCGTATCAGATAATGAGAATCCACTGAACCCTGCTGTTACATAATGAAATGTGTTTGGTGTTTACAGTGATGATAGTTTGCATGGATGCATTTAAATAAATCTGATGCCTCCGGACCAGTTTTTATTGACATCCTTGCACAAGGAGAATGGCTCATATTTTATTGCTTATTGATGGTGCCAAAAAAATGCACCCAGGCCGTCTTCACTAGTTTGGCTCAACTTTGGTCGGGTGCTTTGCTGTATTTCTCTGCTTCTCTCTATTTCCTCAACTGTTCTTTCTTTTCTTCTTTTTCTGTCTTTTTCTTCCAGTCTGTTTCCCCTACTAATGTTTGTACAGTCTTTTCTGCCATGCTAATAACCCCCCCCCCCCCCCCCCCCTTAAATGATGCATCCACACTTACACACTAACAAAAATGCATTTCTAAAATTGATCGAAGTACAATCTATAATTGTTCACAACAGTGACAACTAGTGGTGATGTAAAACTTAGTAAAGTCACTGTCATTTAGGTCATCAAGTGTAAGGCAGCAGTCGCCTGGGAACCCAACAAGCCTCTGGTGATAGAGGAGATTGAGGTCGCCCCGCCTGAGGCAAATGAGATCCGCATCAAGGTGAGAGATATCTACTTTTAAGGTTTTCACATGCATTTACACCTCCTTAAACTTTTGAGTTGAGTTAGTAAGTTAGCTGTAGAAGTTGTAGAAGTAGTAAGTAGTAATAACTTCTGATTAATGTCTTCTGGTCATGCAGTGGAAGGGGTAGAGACCCTCTGAGGCTTCACAGGGAATTTTCTGAGCTCATTGAATAAACTGAAAATTGAAGCAAACAAGTAGCTGATTTCTTCATCTAGAGGCTAAAGGGTGTAAGAAACTCAAGTGTTTTGACTGAAGACCTCGTGTCATTTTTCACAGAACAGTGAAAAAGTTAGAGTGAAAAGAGTTTTTAAAAACAAAAACTGATCATAGCTTTGAAAGAAATGCTTGGTTTCTACTTTACATGTAAGTGAGCTATCAACTTACTTGGTAATATTTGCATCTAAGAGTACATAAACATATAAACAGTTGGTTCTTATAATTCTCAGTTTTTCCAACCCCTATTTGCACTTAACCAGTGTATTTTTCTTTATGTGGTCATTGTTCTGGTCCAGGTTGTGGCAACAGCAGTGTGCCACAGCGATCTGTATCACATGTTTGAGAGTATGCATAAGGATGGCTTTCCTGTAGTGCTTGGTCATGAGGGAGCCGGCATTGTAGAGAGCACTGGGCCTGGAGTCACAGAATTCCAAGTTGGTCAGTCAATACTCAGCTGTCTGGTTTATCCACTTAATTTTTTTTTAAATTTAAAACTGAAATACAGTAACAGTCACATTGCTTTTTAATTCCAGGGGACACTGTGATTCCTCTGTTCCTCTCCCAGTGCAGGGAGTGTCGCTTCTGTAAGAGCCCAAAGGCCAACCAGTGTGAGAAAGGATGGTAAGCTCATGTTTTTTTCAACTCTTAAATTTATTGATCTGTTGTATTTTAGTGATTTTTTGAAGCCTTTTTAAGCTAACTTAACATCTTATTTACGTACAACGCTACTACGCTACATCTTATTTACTTTTTGCTCTTTACAAAGTGTTATTTCAATCGGTAAACTGGTGAAACAATGCCATAATTTAGTCAGTGAGTGTGTGTTGCTTTTAATGTTTTTAGGGTTGCTGATCGTTACGATGTGATGGCACCAGCAGAGTCAAGGTTTACCTGTAAGGGTAAGAAACTGCTGCAGTTTGTGGGCACTAGTACCTTCTCTGAGTACACGGTGGTAAACCAGATAGCTGTGGCAAAGATTGATCCAGCTGCTCCTCTGGACAAAGTGTGTCTCCTTGGCTGTGGGATCTGCACTGGTTTTGGAGCAGCAGTTAATACTGCCAAGGTCAGTATGTTTGAATGTATGCTATAGTCTTACATGTTTTCTTGATGTACTATACCTTTTGTGATGAATACCTACCATACCTGACTGTTAAGAGTAAAGCATTCCAATCAAACAACAGTGAACTCCTAAACAAGTATATCAAGTTAAGACATCTAAATAAAAGATCTTTCATAATCCCTAAATGGAAATTCATTGGTCTAGTATCTCTTTTTTTTTTTTCTCTGGAAGGACCACCAGAGGCTGTATATAGAATGGACACCATCTGCCTACTCGCTGGGTGTAGCCTTCATGAGAACAGCACCCTCTGATGATGGGCTGCAGTAAAAGCCATAAATCCCGTAGTCATCCCTATGAAGCTGTGGACAAACCTCGAATTTTGCGATGTTGACATGTAATTACTGTAAGAATGGTTTGTGCTCAAGTCCTCTTTTTCTGTGCAGCTCTGTTTCTAAAAGTTATTAGGAGGTTCATGTTTTCTATGATTGACACTTGATACAGCCTATGGGTGTACGAAGATTGCAAATCTCATCCAGGGGATACGCTGTTTGAGCCGATCGTCATCACGGCGACTCTTCCACTGAATGCGTACAATGCTACTGTGCCATCGGTGGTTCCAGGTAGAGGAGAAAATCCTGGAAATACTGGGGGGGGGGGGGGAGGGGGGATTGCTGGAGAACGGATTTATGACCTATACTGCAGCCCAAGAGGGTGCTATTCTTGCAGAGGCTTTACCCAGCTAGGAGTCATATGACGTCCATTCTATGCACAGTTTGTGGGCTTCACCAATATCTCCAGCTAATCACTTTTGTTGGACAGAGAGTTGACATTGTTGTCATCCAGATTTGCTCGATCTCAATGAAAGAAGCTCTCTTGAGTAAACTCTTCTCAGAAGAAATATCCATCAGCAGCAGCAAAAATTATAAAATAATAATGATTTAAAAAAAAAACATAAAAAATATTAAAAAACAAAAAAATATATTGAATTTCCTTTTGGAGAACAATAAAGTTCTTGGGCTCTATTTCCGTGCACGCCGGTGAGGCGGCGGAGGGCGGTGAGCCCCGCGCAGTTGTATTTTCGTCTGGCGGAGCCCGGCGTAAGGCCAGTTTGGTATTTTCGTGGACTGAGCCGCACGGAGGCGAGCCGAGATCCGCCAAACTGGGCGTGGTGGCGTGGCTGGGGGAGGTGTCGACAGAATCAGCAGGCGCAGTGACATTTTCGTGCTCGCCACCAGCGTGTAAAGTGCGCTGAAAGCTCGCCGATTCAAACCTGGTCAGCTTTCAGCGCATGGCGGAACGCAGCTGGTCTAGTAGTATTTTGGTAGACCGGCGGCGTATCGACATACGTCACTGATGCCTCACCGGCAGTTTCCACAGTTTCAGGCACATTTCAGTGCAATAAATAATCAACAACTATTAATCTGAGTCAGCACATACATTTAGATCTATATAGATATATTCTGATCTATATCTGATCTGATGAGCGCGTTTGGCACGCGTTTGGACACACAACCTGACCGAATCAACACAGCTGAAACCACATCAAATTAAATTAAATATCTAGTAAATAAACACACATGATGAAGTTAACTCGGTTAACTTTTCTTTCTTCCTCTTCCTCTCATTTCTCGCACAGCTCGACCTGGACACGTCTCCGTGTCCTCTGTCCGTCTTGCTGCTGCGGCGGCTGAACAGATGATTTGTTTCAGTGCTCAGATGCGTTATGTACTTTAAGCCTATATACGGATATTATAATATTCAGTTTTGTGAGCCAAATTTATTTTATATGCCAACATCTATGAAAGAAAGAGCCAGGCCACGGAGCGCGATGCGTCATTTACGCACAGATGGTTCCAATTTTAATGCCATTTTTGGAGTTTATGTTGTGATCTGTGCGCTAAACCCACCTTGTCACGTGAGGTTTGAATATATGCAACTTTATGTGAGTGTCTTTATTTGTGGAAAAGGGTGTTTGTCTTACCACTGGGTCCAACTTTACACACACCAAATCCATCTGTGCTCATATGAGCGAGTGTGAAAGACGCCCAATGCGACAGTGACACTTGTTGAGGAGCTGCCCTCTGTCGCCATCTTGTGGCATTACTGTCTTAAGACATCTCTTGATCTCTTTGACTACTTCATGAAAATAGTAATACGCCTCGCCTGTGGCGGATTTAAAGGCAAGGAGAGGAGCTTATGTGATTGGTGAAAACAGGTCTCGGCTGTGTTAAACCCACTACACGCCCTCTCTCCTCCCTGTCTACGACTTATGGATCTGGGAGGAGCTGAGTTAGGGAGGGGGGATACTTACGCCGGGCTGCGCGGCTCACCAAAATACCAAAATGTGCTTGGGAACGCCTTGTCAGCGCGGCGGATCTGACTGTCGCTGCGCTTGCGGCACGTCTCCGGCGAGGCACGAAAATAGAGCCCCTTATCTCATCTTATCTTATCAAAAATTGCAGAAAATTCTGAGAGGCCAGACTTTGCTGCTCACTGGTTGAGCACAGATTCTGGTATATGTAATAAGTAATGTAAGACCAACATTGTACTACAGGTGACACCAAAGTATGGATGAAGATCTGAATTCCATAATTTTTTCAACAATAAAAAGTCTTACCTTAAATATTATGTTCAAATAACATGTTTTTTTGTTTTTTTTAGGTTGAACCGGGCTCCACATGTGCTGTGTTTGGACTGGGAGCTGTGGGTTTGGCTGCTGTCATGGGCTGCCATACTGCAGGAGCCAAGAGAATTATTGCTGTTGACATCAATCCAGATAAGTTTGAGAAGGCCAAGGTGTTTGGAGCGACAGATTTTGTGAATCCAAAGGATCACAATAAACCCATCAGCCAAGTCTTGTCTGAGATGACCAATGGAGGAGTGGACTTCTCCCTGGAATGTGTCGGGAATGTAGGAGTCATGGTAAGGAGACATTTGCCCTGAACTGATTAAGGAGGAGGAAGGCTGATTATGTTAACAGTCTTGGCTGAAGAATACAGTTTTATAACTACAAAAGCAAACATTTTCTCAAGTGCACTTGTAATTTGAACTATGTGGTTGTGAGCCCACTGACTTCATGCTGTTTCATCCCCCAGCGCAGTGCTTTGGAATCTTGTGTAAAGGGTTGGGGTGTCAGTGTGATGGTTGGCTGGACAGACATGTACGATTTCGCTGCACGACCAATCCAGCTGATAGCTGGACGCACCTGGAAGGGCTCCTTTTTTGGAGGTAAGATTCAGTCAGTTATACGAAAAAACCTTTTAATATGAACATTTCTTTAATTGTCTTATGTTGCTTTTTTGTTATCTGAACTATTTGAAATTTAAAGAGTGAGTTTCTTAACCCTATGTGAGGATTTTTAACTTGCCATATATCAGACAGAAGTCAATACAGATGGAAAAACCCAGGAAAGTTATTGTATTTTAAATTTTACCTCATATACAAAAATAGCCAATATCTTAAATATATGATGTGTGGGGGTTTAGATTAAGTGACATACCAATATGTTAGGTCTAAAACCTGCCCAAATGACTGAAAACTCTTAAAGAAGAGAAAGACAATGGTTTAGATTTTACTCGAGGAGAATGGACAGAGATAGTTTCAGTTACAATCTCAAAACCATTCTGAAGGTATTTCTGTCCCGTCTCTTTTATTTAGGGTTGTCCCTGGTTACACAATGTTACTAAAGGATGGGGGAAAACTATGTGCAGCAACGTAAGCACTCTCAGAAAACATAATAATGAACAACAGAAAATATGTGAGGGTCAAGGCAACATTGTTGACATTAAACAAGCTCCTTCTGATAGGAGCGGATCCTCCTTATTACTTCGCACGATTCACAGTGGAGGATACATCACACACACACACACACACCTGCTGATAGGAGAAACAAGGTCACAGAGAAGTTAAGAAACATTCATGTGCTGTGTAATAAAGCTATTGGAGAGAGAAGTTAGAAAACACTCTTATATGATGTGCAACAAGTGGTTAAAACAGTTCATACTTGTAGCAAACTCTTACATAAGAATTTGAGTAAAATGATAACTTCTATATACATTTATACACATTATTCTGACACAATAGCTCCTGACAATAGCTTTAACAGATGTAATGCTGCATTCCAGTTATACTGGGAAGTTGGATTTTCTGAGTTCCCAGTCTGACATTCATCGGATTTTGGACTTACGAAAGTTGGGTGATCCTCACCAACTCCCACGTGTCAACATCAGAGTCCAAGTTTTTGTGTTTAGAAATTAAATATGTGGCGGATGTAATACTGTCCAACATTTAACTGTGGACATTTTACTAAGGTGGTTGTATTTGTAAAATACCGTTAACAGCTAACAATGGCTACTGTTACAACAGTAGACAACAGTCTTGTTTTTTTCAGACTAGTTTACCAGAACACGGTCAACTCGTTCTGGTACAACTCGGGTGTGACTTCATTCCCAACTCCAACATCGGACTTCCGAGGAATACACTATAGGTCATTGACATTATCAATCTAGACCCTGCGCTTAAACCAGGTGGTAGCTGCAAAGCTTGGTCTCTCTGATTGTTCTGCAATATTTGCTCTTTTTTTCATATTTTTGTTGTGTTTTGTCGGCTGCTGATGGATATTTCTGTTGCAATTTTACTCAAGAGAAGAGCTTCTTTTATTGACTCAGCACAAATCTGGACAACAACATCCAATTCCAGCAGACATCTGGAGTTTTTTTGTGGTTGATGTGCTGGTGCACAGGTAAAGGAAATGTTGAAGGCTAGTAAATGAAAACACAAGCCCTTTCTTTTGTCTGTGTGTCAGGATTCAAGAGTAAGGATGGTGTACCTGAAATGGTTAAAGCCTACCTGAACAAGAAGGTGAAACTGGATGAGTTCATCACTCACAACATGACCTTGGCTCAGGTCAATGATGCAATTGAACTGATGAAGCATGGCAAATGGTATGTATTTTTTTTATTTTTTAACTATTTTCAATTGTTTAAGACTTTCAAACCAGATACACTGATAAAGAACCCTCTTATTTCTGTTTTTGTTTCCACAGCATTCGGACTGTCCTGAGTGTTTCCAAACAATAAAAACATTCACTTCAACAGTGACAAAATCATTTCATGACCACTGGTGACATCTCTCCAATTATAATTTTGGGAAAATTCCTAACCTTAAATTCTCAACATTCCAATAAATAATTGAGAGCATGTGGTATTTAAAATCACCTATTGGTATTGTGAGATTATTTGAGCATGTAGGGTAATGGCTTCCTTATTTGTGTTCTGTTTCTGTTGTAATGATATAGTTAGATCAACTTGACTTGTAGCGATCATTTGAAAACCCCACTGAAAATGAACTTTTTATGACATCGCGACAGCAGAAGTATGTGCAATTTAATTAAATTGTCCTGTGTACTTTCTTAAAAAATAAATAAATAAAGAGGACATCTTTTTTACACATTCTTTAGTCCTGACAAATATAGTGTGGTGTGATATTAAGATATTTTTGTCTGGCCATGTGAAATGACTGACTAATGGATTGGCCAGTAGACTGTCATTGGCATTGAGCTTCATATAACCAGCATGGCAAAAAACTTGGACTGTTAACACATAGGGCTCTATTTTCGTGCCTCGCCGGCGACGCGGCGCATGCGCGGCGTAAGTGAGGTCCGCTGCGCCGACAAGGCGTTCCCAAGCACAATTTGGTATTTTGGTGAGTGGTGCAGCCCGGCGTAAGTATCCCCCCTCCCTAACTCAGCTCCTCCCAGCGGCGTAAGTCGTAGCGAGGGAGGAGAAAGGGCGTGGAGTGGATTTAACACAGCCGAGACCTGTTTTCACCAATCACATCAGCTCCTCTCCTCGCCTTTAAATCCGCCATCGGCGAGGCGTATTACAATTTTCATGAAGTAGTCAAGGAGATCAAGAGATGTCTGAAGACAGTTATGCCACAAGATGGCGACAAAGGGCAGCTCCTCAAGTGTCACTGTAAGCGCTGCATTGGGTGTCCTCCACACTCTCTCATATGAGCACAGATGGATTTGGTGTGTGTAATGTTGGACCCACTGGTAAGACAAACACCCTTTTCCACTAATAAAGACACTCACATAAAGTTGCTCATATTCAAACCTCACGTGACAAAGGTGGGTTGAGCGCACAGATCACAACATGAATTCCAATAATGGCATTAAAATCGGAACCATCTGTGCGTAAATGACACATCGCGCTCCGTGGCCTGGCTCTTTCTTTCATAGATGTTGGCATATAAAATAAATTTGGCTCACAAAACTGAATATTATAATATCCGTATGTCGGCTTAAAGTAGATAACGCATCTGAGCACTGAAACAAATCATCTGTTCAGCCGCTGCTGCAGCAGGACAGAGAGAGGACACAGAGACGTGTCCAGGTCGAGCTGTGCGAGAAATAAGAGAAAGAGGAAGAAAGAAAAGGAGGGAGACGAATTACAGATCTTGTTAACTTCATCATGTGTGTCTATTTACTAGATATTTAATTTAATTTAATGCGGTTTCAGCTGTGTTGATTCGGTCAGGTTGTGTGTCCAAACGCGTGCCAAACGCGCTCATCAGATCACATATAGATCAGAATATATCGATATAGATCTAAATGTATGTGCTGACTCAGATTATTAGTTGTTGATGATTATTTATTGCACTGAAATGTGCCTGACACTGTGGAAACCTGCCGGTGAGGCATCGGTGACGTATGTCAATACGCCGCCGGTCTACCAAAATACTACTTGACCAGCTGCGTTCCACCTGCGCTGAAAGCTGACCAGGTTTGAATCGTCGCGCTTTCAGCGCACTTTACACGCCGGTGGCGAGCACGAAAATGTCACTGCACCCGCTGATTCTGTCGACACCTCCCCCTGCCACGCCACCACGCCCAGCTTGGCGGATCTCGGCTCGCCTCCGTGCGCCTCAGTCCACGAAAATACCAAACTGGCTGTACACTGGGCTGCGGCAGACGAAAATACAACTGCGCGGGGCTCGCCGCCCTCCGCCGCCTCACGGGCGTACTCGAAAATAGAGCCCATAAATCCAAGCACAGCTCACATCCAGAACCTCTTATCCCTGCTGTAAATGATGACACCACTGAACATTAGAGAGGCACGTTTTTACTTAGGGAAATAAACTTCAAGAGGGCTTAATTTTCAAAACTCAAAAAGGAATGTTTCTTTTTTTTTTTTTTTTTTTATAGACCAAAAATAATTTAAACAAGTAATGTATCTAAATAACTCTAAAATGATCACTCTTCACTTATACAGGACTGTTTCAGGGGGGAAAGGCTTTCAGAAAACTATTTCATTTACATTAAAAAAAGTTTTTCTTTTAACATTTTATTTACTTTCAGCTTTGTGCACAGACACATACACACATTGACACAGAGAGGGATGAGAAGTGAGATTGTTATGGAATATAGTTACAATAAACTGTTATTTGATTAATCACATAACCCAGAGCATAAATAATTTTGTTGTTTATTTTATTTTTTCATGTCCTGGGACGTTTTCATGTGCTCCATTAGTGTCAGAGGTTGATGATAAAAGGAATTAACCACATTTACATTACAAATCAGTGCCTAACTCACACAGACTCCAAACAGATACAACAAAACAACATGCCTTGTTCTCTCACTGTTAAATATTCTGGGAAATTAAAAACAAAAGATTAAAAAAAGAGAGATTGTTCCCACTTTGTGTAAAGAACTTGGTTGTCAATGATATTATGTGTACCCTTATTAAAATACAGTTGCTGTACTTTGCCCTTCTCAAAGTAATCAAGCGTTGACATAAAATGTACTTGTCATAAAAGGCATGATATAAAGAAAACCATCTGGCATTTAATATGTCTAAAGGTACATTTACCTTACACTTGCACACATATTAAATGACATTTGGCATCCACAATAAAGGAAAAAAAAAAAGGGCCTGTCAATTGCAGTTATTTATGATTGTCCCACCCTATTTGTCAGTGTGTATTGATTGTAAAACTTTATTTCCTTAGTGACTCATGTTAGCTTTTGCTCAACATTATTAATGATGCATAACAAGGTGCAAATCTTCCTGACTCATTTGGGGCCCCAAAAACAACTACATAAAAGTACAGACTGACATGTCACAGTTGAAACAAAGGGCACTAGGATAATGTGTATTGTTGTTAGAAAACCACACAAACTTACACTGGTGCAACAGACAACTCCCTTTCAAACAGATGTTGAGTTTGAAAAAAAGGGTTTATTGTTTACAAGTAGTAGTAGTTGAAGTAGTTTAAAGGCATTTGTTGTGCAATAAGCAGCTGTGGTTTAGGGTGAGACTGCTTCATCTTAGCAATAACTTATATGTTGTGCAATATGCAGCTGTGGTTTTGGACTGCTTCATCCTGGCAATAACTCAGCAAAAATATAAGTCCTGAAATACCACTGTCCTTAACATGTTACATTTAACCTGGGTATGTATTGAAACAGACTGAAATCTGCACAGCTTGACCAAGTATACTTTCATAGTTCTTATTGTTATCAGGAACTGACAACCTGGTTTTAAATTGTTTTATCCAATTTTATAAGCATGTCAATCAAAGCAAAACTGGTAAATAGTGATGAAAATACTCAAAGACTCCAATATTTATCAGGGGAAGTGGAGAAAATACTATCACTAAAGAGAACTTGGGTTTTATAGTTTCATGTGACCAAAAAACTTGATTTAGGGAGAAAATATAAGTCCCTGCCCATCTGAACTTTTGCGCAACTGCTCTGTCTTACAGCAGTATTTAAACATCAAGTCCAAGTTCTCTCCTCCTCTCTCTCCAAGTCCTACAGCTTGTATACATCTCAGCTTCCACTTAAACTCTGGTCTTTGCTGGAAAATGGCAACAGCTGGAAAGGTAAGTGTGTGCATGTGCGTGTGTGTGAGAGAGTAGTGAAAAGTTTTGCATGCCCATGTTTGTTCCTATTCCTCTCAAGCTCTCAAAATTACCAATGATGCTGCAATAATCTGTTCATAAAAAGGCAACTCTGTCTTCCTCTTTTCTTTCTTTCTGAAATGTGCCCACAGTCAGAGACAAAAAAAAAGCCATAAAAGCAGACTGGTTCATCTTAATCAGTAACAATGACAGATTCACTCTGTGGTTTACTCATATGAAATTGAAATACTGTTCATATATTTTTTAAATGTTGGTATAAAACTTCTGCTTTGATGTCTGCTTTTGAAAAACCACCGTATCAGATAATGAGAACCCACTGAACCCTGCTGTTACATAATGAAATGTGTTTGGTGTTTACAGTGATGATAGTTCCACAAATTCCACAGGATACGGAACAGCTGTGCTGTGCTCCTGAACGGCAGCCTGACCAAATATGCAAGCATTAAGGTCCTTACACCACGGGAACGACACAAATATACGCCGCGAAATTATTAAATATTCTTCGACGAATTTTGACGTGCCTGACTTCACGCATCAAGCACAATGCGATTTTGCGACTTTCCGGGGAGAAAAATAGATGCATCCCGGGTGGAAGCGAGAAGACTGACACAACAGCAGACTGAGTGTTTTTCAGTTCTGATAGACACTAGTGTTGAAATGGCTGTCTGCCATGATAGCATGTACTGAGTCGGGGCCAGTACCAGATAAGTACATTAAACTATAATCCATAAACGGAAGGTAACAACCAAGACCTAATGATGCTGTGACAGCAATGCAATTGGGTTTGAGACAGTGAAAATACATAAGGTACGTTGTACCTGAACAGGTTAGCTTACAAGCTAAAGTTACTTAGTACAGATGAAAGTTAAAACAAAGATGTCTACAAACTGTTAAAGCAGACAAACTGTCATCATATGAGAAATCCAACGCTATGACTCTCCATAAGTTGTCCTTTAGGTGGTTATCTATGTAATATAACAACACGAAAACTGACTGGTCGAAAAAACGGGAAAACATCATTGATGTGAATGCTTGTGTGACAGGATACGGGTTCGAAAAAAAAATACTGATGTCTGACATAATCGCACAAAAAAAAATGCTGCCAGTGTGTGAGGACCTTTATAATCATTGGTGTGATTCCACACAATGCATATGCTGTCCTGTTCTGCTGCACATCCGCTTTGGCGATGGGATCAGATACGCAAGGCTTCTATTTTTGCCAGACACTGCAGCACAACGCATCAATTCAGTGCAGCGCAGCACAAGCAGCAGCGAAAGATGTATGCAGCTACAGAGTAAAACATGCAGTTAATTTTCAAAATAAAATAAAGTAAATACATTGAACTGTTCTTCACATGATAATGGGGCCAGGGATGTGGGATGTGGGGGTTCATATATACCGCCGATCTCATTCAATGTCTCGCGATGAAACACATGCGATCTCGTCCAGTCTTGCGAGAAATATCTGTAATATTGCAAGCGCTTATCCTCTGACTGCGGCAGCGGATCGGATCCAGTGGGCGCTGTATGCTTGCATTTTTGATCCGCCTGCCATTCCGGATCTGCCTGCAGTGGAATCCTTGGATTTTTAGTTTACTTATGGTGCCAAAAAATGCACCCAGGCTGTCTTCAGTAGTTTAAATTGTCCCTAGTCAAGTGCTTTACTGCATTTCTCCACTTCTCTTGATTGCCTTCACTGTTGCTTCTTTTCTACTTTTTTCTGTCTTTTTCTTCTTGTCTACTTCCCCTATACAGTAAAGGCTTGTACAGTCTTTTTTGCCAGGCTAATGAAAACCCTCCTCAAATTAAGCATCTGCACTCCCACAATCAAGGGGACTCACAACTATGAAAACTAGTGGTGATGTAAAACTGAGTAAGAGTCACTGTCATTTAGGTCATCAAGTGTAAGGCAGCAGTTGCCTGGGAACCCAACAAGCCTCTGGTGATAGAGGAGATTGAGGTCGCTCCACCTGTGGCAAATGAGATCCGCATCAAGGTGAGAGATATCTACTTTTAAGGTTTTCACATGCATTTACACCTCCTTAAACTTTTGAGTTTAGATGGTAAGTTAGTTGTAGAAGTAGTAAGTTGTAATAACTCCAGATTAACATCTTCTTGGTCGTGCAGCGGAAGGGGTAGAGACCCTCTGAGGCCTCACAGGGATTTTCTGAGCTCAGTAAGTTAACTAAAGATTTAAGCAAACAAGTAGCTGATTCTTTCATCTAGAGACTTAAGAGACACTGCTAAAACCTGAAATATTGAAATGGACAGTTTTAGATTTCAGTTGCAGATGTATACATCTGGACTTGCTGGACTCTGCTTTTTTTGTCACATGAAATGACAGCTGTCTCATATGTGATCAGTTTTGTCTCAGGGCTCAAAGAAAGAAAATACAAATCTGTAGCTGTCTGATTTATAAACTGACTCTCAGATTTCCAGTACATTATCTTGAGTTTCATAAAGAAGCCGAGGTCTATCTAGTGTCCTCTCCAGAGGATGATCAGTATTACAGAAAATGAACTGAAAACATCTGTATTGCTTTTATTTTTATTTATTTATTTTTGCAGTGTAAAGACAGTAGTTTTGCTGTAACATAACAATGCTAGTAAGTAAAGAAAATGTTGAAGTTAGACATTAAATTAGATTCACATGAGTTGTTGGCATGGTATGTTACACACCTGCATTTCAAATAAGGGACTACAGCCATGTTTTCTTAACTCTTACTTAATAAGCAGCATGATTAATAGGATACTTAGGGTTTGTTCTTAAAATTTCTCTGTTTTTTCCGACCCCCATTTGCACTGCTTTAGATTTCTATTGTGAGACGAAAACTTGAAAATGCCTGAGTTAAAAGTCAACCATTGATGCATATATGCTGTTTTTCAGATAGCAGCATGCCCAACCATCAAGGAATTAACCACTGTATTTTCTTTATGTGGTCATTGTTCGGTTCCAGGTTGTGGCAACAGGAGTGTGCCACAGCGATCTGTATCACATGTTTGAGAGTATGAATAAGGATGGCTTTCCTGTAGTCCTTGGTCATGAGGGAGCCGGCATTGTAGAGAGCACTGGGCCTGGAGTCACAGAATTCCAAATAGGTCAGTCAATACTCAGTTATCTGGTTTACCCACTGAATGTTTTCCATTTAAAACTGAAATAGAATAATAGTCTCATTGCTTTTTAATTCCAGGGGACACTGTGATTCCTCTGGTCATCTCCCAGTGCAGGAAGTGTCGCTTCTGTAAGAGCCCAAAGACCAACCAGTGTGAGAGAGGATGGTAAGCTCATGTTTTCTCAACTTATAAATGTATTTAACATTTGAGGCAACTAAACATCTTTTTTACTTTTTCCTCTTTACAAAGTGTTATTTCAATTGGTCAACTGGTTGGTTCAACTTTCAACCGGTGAAACAATGCCAGAATTTAGTCAGTGAGTGTTTGTTGGTTTCAATGATTTCAGGGCTAATGATCGTTACGATGTTATGGCACCAGCAGAGTCCAGGTTTACCTGTAAGGGTAAGAAACTGCTGCAGTTTGTGGGCACTAGTACCTTCTCTGAGTACACGGTGGTAAACCAGATAGCTGTGGCAAAGATTGATCCAGCTGCTCCTCTGGACAAAGTCTGTCTCCTTGGCTGTGGGGTCTGCACTGGTTTTGGAGCAGCAGTTAATACTGCCAAGGTCAGTATGTTTGAATGTATGCTACAGTCTTACATGTTTCTTGGTGTACTATACCTTCTGTGATGAATACCTACTATACCTGTCTGTTAAAAGTTAGGCATGTCATGGTGTTTTCACACTTGATACCCTTTAAAAGAACCAAATTTTATCCTCTTTAAGTGGACCAAAAGCAAATGAACTCAGTTCTTTTTGTGTTCACATTGTGAGTTTATTTCAAAGAGGACCGGGTTCTCTTTCTGGTCCAGTTCAGTTTTGATGGGGCCTCAGTACTCTTTCTGTTCACACTAGATCCTCTGGAGGATTTTATCATAAGTGCTAAGGTACTTTTGTCTTTGTTATTTTTTTAAACTTTAACTCTGTACTGTAAAAATGTTCAATTATAACTGGCCACTTTCATCCTTTCTGAAAATTCTTGAAAGACTTCTGCATTATGGTGGGTCATAAATAGTCATGCTTTTATGTTCTCGTCATTCCGAATTTCCAAAAGGCGTTAAGTTTTGTCTTCTCCCTGAACCACACCACGTCCAGGTATCGTAGCAGAACCTTGGGAGCCACACTTTGGATTTGGTGTTCTTTCTTTTCTCTACCCCTCTGAGTAATCCCAGCTGCAGTCACATGACCAATCTGCGGCAAGCAAAGAAGGTTATGAATTATAATGCTGTGCAAAAGGCTAAGTGAACGCAATGTTCAGTGAACCTTAATGTTCACAATGTGCAGAATAGGCAAACCATACCGCTGACTTTTAAGCAACCCTACTGGGTCTTAGGAGGTGGTTCACATATAGACAAAAATTGCTGAGTAACTGGTCTGAGTTCATTTCGAGGGCTGAAAGGAACCAAGTGTGAAAATACTCTCAAACAAAACAGTGACCTCCCAAACCAGTCTATCAAGTTTAGATATCTAAATACAAGAGCTTCTTTTATCCCCAAAGAGAAATCCATTTGTCTGGAATCTCGTGACAAAAATTCTCTGGTAGGACAGCCCATAAACTGTGTAAATGCAGTGAGGTGAGAGGAGAAGGTGACATGGTTAAATCTCCTTGTATTGTTACAAGTGCCTCAGGATGTTGAGTCTATATCCTCGCAACAGCATCATAGAAAATACATGTATTCAAGTATTGTTATATGACTGAACTCCCTTGGAACATTACTGTGAACAATGCAATGTCTGGACAACGCAACTTCTCCTTGACAGTTTTGTGTGAATAGTTACACCATTTCTGTTTAAAAAATAAAGCCAGACCTCCTCCTTTCTGCTTGTCACTAGCTTTAGCATCTCTGTCTTACCTTATGAGAGTGAAGCCACATAGATCCACACTGAAGTCAATATTGTTTTGATTCAACCAGGTTTCAGTAAAACACAGGAGAATGCACTCACGGTATGCTTTTTCAGTCTTCACCATAGACTGTACATAATATGGACAACTTGGCTCTGCCTTCTATCATTTTACAAATTTGAAGCCAAATTGCTCTCAGTATTTCCAGGACTTTCTTCACTTCTTGGAACCACCAATGGTGCAGTAGCATTGAACGCATTTGGGAGCGTGGCTGTGATGACGCTCTGCTTAAACAGTGTATCCCAGGACGAGCTTAGCAATCTTCATACACCCATAGGCTGTATCAAGTGTCTATCATAGAAAACATGAACCCCCTGAAAACTTTTGAAAACTGAGCTGCACAGAAAAAGAGGACTTGAGCACAAACCAGTCTCACAATAACTACAGCCTATGTCAACATCCCAACCAGGGGAGAGAAAAAAAAAATTCTGTGTGTAATTAATTTCTAAAGTTTGTCTACAGCGCCATTAAGTTTGCTGGAGGAGGCGGGATTTATCCTTATACTGCAAGCTGTCACCAGAGGTTGCTGTTCCCGCAGAGGCTTCATCCAACTTGGAGGCATATGCTGTCCATTCTATATACAGTCTGTGGTCTTCACCAATGCTTCCAGCTCATCACTTTTGTTGGGCAGAGTGTTGATGTTTCTTATGGTGACTGATGGAGAAACGAGCTTATATCTCCATTTCCTTCAGCTCTGCCTTCACCTCGGCACAGCAACTACTAAAACACCTCCAGATGTTACTATTAAAACATTATTGAATTTCCTTTTGGGGAACAAGAAAGTTTTTATCTAGAAATTGGGGAAATTTGGAGATGCCAGACTTTACTGCTCATTGGTTGAACACAGGTTCTGGAATATGTAATAAGTAATAATAATAGTAATAACAGTATAAGTCAATATAAGATAATTTAAGTCGAACATCGTTGCTACAGGCGACACCAAAAAAAAAGGAAAAAGATCTAAATTCCAACATATTCAAAGCAATGAAAAGTCTTACCTTGGGTACTATGTTCAAATAACATGGTTTTTTTGTTTGTTTGTTTTTTTTCAGGTTGAACCGGGCTCCACATGTGCTGTGTTTGGACTGGGAGCTGTGGGTTTGGCTGCTGTCATGGGCTGCCATGCTGCAGGAGCCAAGAGAATTATTGCTGTTGACATCAATCCAGACAAGTTTGAAAAGGCCAAGGTGTTTGGAGCAACAGACTTCGTGAATCCAAAGGATCACAATAAACCCATCAGCCAAGTCTTGTCTGAGATGACCAATGGAGGAGTGGACTTCTCCCTGGAATGTGTCGGGAGTGTGGCAGTCATGGTAGGAAGACAAAGAGTTTGTCCTAAACCGATTAAGGAGGAAGAGGGCTAATTATGCTAACAGTCTTTGCTGGAGAGTACTGTTAAAACTACAAAAGCAAACATTTTATCAAGTGCACTTGTAATTTGAGTCCACTGACTTTGTGCTGTTTCTCCCCCCAGCGCAGTGCCTTGGAATCTTGCATAAAGGGTTGGGGTGTCAGTGTGATTGTTGGCTGGACAGACATGTACGATTTCGCTGCACGACCAATCCAGCTGATAGCTGGACGCACCTGGAAGGGCTCCTCGTTTGGAGGTGAGATTCAATCAGTTATATGAAAAAACCTTTTGATATACACGACAGGCCAAAAGTTTGGACACACCTTCTCATTCAATGTCTTTTCTCTATTTTTTTTATATGACTATTTACATTGTACATTATCACTGAAGGCATCAAAACTGTGTGAAATAACTGAAAACATGTTTTATATTCTAGTTTCTTTAAAGTAGCCACCCTTTGTTCTTGATGACAGAAGTATTTAGTGAGTCACAAAGTAACCCTGACAAGGCACACCTGTGAAGTAAAAACCATTTCAGGTGACTACCTCATGAAGTTCATTGAGAGAACAGCAAAAGTTTGCAGCAATATCAAAAAAGCGAAGGGTGGCTACTTTGAGGAATCTAAGATATAAAACATGTTTTTAGTTATTTCACACTTTTCTTAAGCACATGATTCCACACGTGTTCATTCATGGTTTTGATGCCTTCACTTAAAATCTACAATTTAAATAGTAATGAGAATAAAGAAAATGCATTTAATGAGAAGGTATGTCCAAACTTTTGGCCTGTATTGTAAATGTTTCTTTTATTGTCACACATTTTTCTGTCACCTGAACAACTGGAAATTTCAAGAGTATTTATCTTCAACTCTTTATCGGGAGTTTTTAACCTGCCATGTATCAGACTGAAGTCAATACAGATGGAAAAACCCAGGAAAGATATATTTTTTTAAAACTTACCTTATGTACATAAATAGCCAATATCTTAAATATATGATGTGTGAGGTTTCAGATTAAGCGACATACCAATAGCTCCTGACAATAGCTTTAATAGATGCAATGCTGCATTCCAGTTATACTGGGAAGTCGGATTTTCTGAGTTCCCAGTCTGACATTCATCAGATTTTGGACTTACGAAAGTTGGGCGATCTTCACCAACCCTCACATGTCCACAAAGTCAGAATCCAAGTTTTTGTGTTGAGAAATTAAATAAGTGGTGGATGTAATACTGTCCTACATTTAACTGTGGACATTTTACTAAGGTGTTTACTAAGGTGTTTGTATTTGTAAAATACTGTGTTAAGGGCCCGATCTACTTAAGGTTTGTTTGTACAAAAACATGTGCAAACCTGATAGTGCACGCAAACCTGATCTACCCACTGGGTGCACCGAGGATTGTATCTGTCAAATGAGCAAAACAGCATGTGCAATCCATTATATGTGTTCGCCTTCATAAATATGCAGAATGTATGTAGATCATCAGACCACACAAAATACATGGAGGAGCAGATGCAAATGACATAATTTAGCACCCGCAATGTGATTTATCAAACCTATCTTTCTGAATTAACCTTAAATACAAAAATAGTCAATATGCCAAAGACAAGATACGGACTATAGCTACATTGAAATTTATCTGGGACGTACCCCTTAAGTCAGATTTTGGACTCGGAAAGTCAGCCGATCCCCATCAATCTCGACTTTACCAGATAGCCAAGATGGCAACAATAAACACTAAGGGCTCTATTTTCGTGCCTCGCCGGTGAGGCGGCGGAGGGTGGCGGGCCCCGCGCAGTTGTATTTTCGTCTGGCGGAGCCCGGCATACAGCCAGTTTGGTATTTTCGTGGACTGAGGCGCACGGAGGCGAACCGAGATGCGCCAAGCTGGGCGTGGTGGCGTGGCAGGGGGAGGTGTCGACAGAATCAGTTGGGGCAGTGACATTTTCGTGCATGCCAGTGGCGTGTAAAGTGCGCCTTGTCGGCGCGGCGGACAAGACTTACGCCGCGCCTGCGGCATGTCTCCGGCAAGGCACGAAAATAGAGCCCTAACAGTGAAAGCTCTCATAATGTTTTATTTATAAACACTTTATTTTTGTTTTTAAGTAGGTGGCTTATGCAGGGCATAAAATTAACAGCCGCCATTGGCGCGAATAAGGATAAAAAATTAGTTAAAACAAAAATATGCCAGTGGCCGCTGGAAAATTTGAAATTGCATGTGAGTTTTGACTGTCAGGCTATTTTGACCCTCGCGGCGCACTGTATTTGTGTTGTGATTTGGTACGCCAGGAACGGCGTGATGTTAGCTACTGGAGTTGTTTGAAAAAGCACAACGGAAGAGTGTTTGGAAGATGTTGCAATACATTCCTGGCATGAAGCCACCACAAACAAAAAGGACAAACAAAGAGGTAGCGAAGAGATCCCCATGGAAAAGCAATCAGACCGAGACGCTAAGGCAGAAAAACTAAAATGATGGATATGATGATTATTACTTCAAGGAAATGATAAAGTAATGATCATAAATGTTCTTCCTTGAGCCACAGTATCATACCAATACCAAAAACAGGGCTTAAAAAGCTCCGGCATGGTGCTGTAAATCGAGCTCTAGATCTTTTTATTTTTCATTTTCTTTAAATCATGTATAAAAAAATAAATCACCAAAAACCCTCTAGTTAGTTAGATCTGGATATGACTGGTACAGGTCAGCATTACCCTGGATAGTGTACAGCCTGCCCGAGAAAAAGAAGAAGAAGAGAAAGAAGAAGAAGTAGTATCACAGAGCGGGGAACTGCAAATTTGAAACGATGGATGCCAGGTACATCAAACCAGGAAGAGAAACTGTAATATTGGAAGTTGGGGCAAAAAACAAGTGGCGCTGGGCTTGGGCAGGGGAGGCTGGAAAAGATGGAAAGCCTCACGGTAGCTGGTGCTGAAAACTGAAAAAGACAGGTGCTTGTTTTTGTGTGCCGTGCGCCTGAAGGCTTTAATATAGCAGCAGTGGGAAACAATAACTCTGAGACATAATGTTGTCTAAACACAAATGATGCCTCTTTCACGTTGTAACTGCACAGACTTCTAGCTACAAGAATCAAAAAGCATTTTTTTTTTTTAAACAAGCTGTTCTTTAAGCTGGATGAATAACATTGATCTCTATGCAGCCAGTAGCCGGGCGAGTGTGCAAGGACCGTCTGCAAATTGCAATACAAGGGCAAGATGCTGCAAACAAAATCAATAATTCCACTATTATTTAGTACAGAGACTCCAAAATCACCACACACACCAAGGGAGTCCTCATGGTCATACTGCAACAGCTGTTTTTGGAGAAATGTGCCTTTTCACAATTTTGGTGATTTTTTATTGTTCTTAATGATTATTATCTTCCAATGTTAATCAATAGCTCAAATGTTATACAGCGTCATACCCCCTCTCCCCCAATGCATAAGAATTTTCAGGCACAGGATTTTTTTCTGCTCTAAGCCTTGCCAAAAATAAAATGTCCAGCTGAACTCAATCACTACAGACCAGTGGCTCTTACTTCACACATCATAAAAACCCTGGAGCGGCTGCATACAAACCCTGCAGTTTGCATTCAAACAACACAGTGGAGCAGTTCTGCAGTAAGATGTTTTATCAGTCTGTGGTGGCAAGTGTTCTGTTTTATGCTACAGTCTGCTGGGGAGGCAGTATAAAACACAAGGATAAACAAACTGCTGAGAAAAGCTGGCTCTGTGGTTGGAATCAAGTTGGACTCACTAGAAGGATGTGGGAGAAGAAATCTGAGCCAGGAACTTGACAGATATTTGAGATAATATTATCAAGTAATGCTGTTTAAAAGTCCAGTTAAAAATCTACCAGAAAGACCCTTATTGGCAAATCAAGCTGTCCTGAATTTGTTTGTGGACCACAATTGGCACAAGAAACCTTCTTAACTATAAGGTACAAGTGATGTTGTAATGGGAAAATTCTGGCCCATTAAACTTTTCTCAGCTCTCCCACTATTGTTTACCAACGTTAAAACTGAAAATTGAAATTGAATCTAAGCCATATGGCATAGAGATAACAGAACTCTAAAGCTTCTATTAAGGATTTCACCAGTGTTTGTTATTGTTTGTCTGTGTGTCAGGATTCAAGAGTAAGGATGGTGTAGCTGAAATGGTTAAAGCCTACCTGAACAAAAAGGTGAAGCTGGATGAGTTCATCACTCACAACATGACATTGGCTCAGGTCAATGATGCAATTGAACTGATGAAGCATGGCAAATGGTAAATTTTATTTTATTTTTTTCACTATTTTCAATCATTCAAGACTTTCAAAGCAGCCACACTGAAAAAGAACAGCTTGATTTCTGTTTTTGTTTCCACAGCATTCGGACTGTCCTGAGTGTTTCCCAACAATAAAAACATCATGTTCATTTTAACAATAACAAAACCATTAAATGACCATTGGAGACAACTCTCCTGTTATAATTTTGGGCAAAATGACTAAAATGACTAAAACCTCAGTTTTGTTCTGGTTAAGCTGGAGAAAGTTTTCTGTCATCCAGGATTGGATATCGCAAATGCAATTAAAAGAGCATCCATTGGCCTGGTGTCATCAGGAGATACAGAGATGTAGAGCTGCATATCATCTGCATAACTGTGAAAGTTGATTCCATGGAGACCTTTTTATGGTATTGTGACAGCAGAAATATGTGCAATTTATTTCACTAGTCCTATAAACTTTCTTAAAAGGAAAAAAATAAAAAAAAACAAAGAGGACATCTTTTTTTTTTATATATTCTTGAGTCCTTAAAAGACATGGTGTGGTGTGATATTAACATATTTAAGTCCGGCCATGTGAACTGAATGTCATTGGCATTGAGCTTCATATTACCAGCATGGCAAAAAAACTTGGACTGTTAACACATAAATCCAAGCGCAGCTCACATTCAGAGCCTCTGATCCCTGCTAAAAATGATGACAACACTGAACAATAGAGTGGCACGTTTTTACTCAGGGAAATAAACTCCCAGAGGGCTCAGTTTCAAAACTCAAAAGTAAGTCTTTTCTCTTTTTTTTTTTTTTTAACAGACCAAAAATAATTTAAATAACTCTACAATGATCAGTATTCACGTCTGAAAAAATGTTTCGAGTCTTCAGAAAACTATTTTATTTACGTTTAAAAAAAAGTTTTAATTTTAACATTTTAATTACTGGTACCTTTGTGCACAGACACACATTGACATAGGGAGGGATGAGAAATTAGATTGTTATGGAATATAGTTCCAGTGAACTTTGTCATTTGATTTATCACATAACACAGAGCATAAATAATTTTGTTGTTTATTTTATTTTTTCATGTCCTGGGACATTTCATGTGCTCCATTAGTGTCAAAGGTTGATGATAAAGGAATTAACCACATTTACATTACAAATCAGTGCCTAACTCACACAGACTCCAAACAGATACAACAAAACAACATGCCTTGTTCTCTCACTGGGAAATATCCTGGGAAATTAAAAACAAAAGATTTAAAAAATTGTGTTTTAAAAGAAGAGAGATTGTTCCCACTTTGTGTGAAGAACTTGGTTGTCAAGGTTATTATGTGTACCCTTATAAAGATACAGTTGCTGTACTTTGCCCTTCTCAAAGTAATCAAACATTGACATAAAATGTACTTGTCATAAAAGGCATGATATAAAGAAAACCATCTGGCATTTAATATGTCTAAAGGTACATTTACCTTACACTTGCACACATATTAAATGACATTTGGCATCCACAATAAAGGAAAAAAAAAAGGGCCTGTCAAGTGCAGTTATTTATGATTGTCCCACCCTATTTGTCAACGTGTATTGATTGCAAAACTTAATTTCCTCAGTGACTCATGTTAGTTTTTGCTCAACATTATTAATGACCCCAAAAACAACTACATGCAAGTACAGTGTTAAAAATTATCAAAGACTCCAATATTCATCATGGGGAAGTGGAAAAAAATACAATCACTTAAGAGAACTTGTGTTTTACAACTTCATGTGACCAAAATCTATTTGAGGAAAAAAAAACAAGTCCCTGCCCATCTGAACTTTTGCGCAACTGCTCTATCTTTCAGCAGTATTTAAACATCAAGTCCAAGTTCTCTCCTCCTCTCTCTCCTAGTCCTACAGCTTGTGCACTACTCAGCTTCCACTTGAACTCTGGTCTTTGCTGGAAAAATGGCAACAGCTGGAAAGGTAGGTGTGTGTGTGTGTGTGTGTGTGTGTGTGTGTGTGTGTGTGTGTGTGTGTGTGTGTGTGTGTGTGTGTGTGTGTGTGTATTGGAAAGTTTTGCATGCCCATGATAGTTCATTTTACTCTCAAGCTCTCAACATTGAAAATAAGATAACTATGTCTTCCTCTTTTCTTTCTTTCTCTTCTTACTCTGTCAAATACTGAAAGTCTGATTCTGATTAGACACAAAGCTTGACATTCCAGACAGTGTTGTGCAACTGTGGCTATTGGCATAGATGAGGGAATTTAAGGCCAAAAACAGTCATGGAGGAAGACAAGGAGTGCTTCCACAGTCGAAGACAAAAAAAAAAAAAAAGCCATAAAAGCAGACTGGTTCATCTAAGTCAGTAACAATGACAGATTCACTCTGTGGTTTACTCATATGAAATTGAAATACTGTTTATGTATTTTTAAAAGGTTGGTATAAAACTTCTGCTTTGATGTCTGCTTTTGAAAAACCACCGTATCAGATAATGAGAACCCACTGAACCCTGCTGTTACATAATGAAATGTGTTTGGTGTTTACAGTGATGATAGTTTGCATGGATGCATTTAAATAAATCTGATGCCTCCGGACCAGTTTTTATTGACATCCTTGCACAAGGACTATGGCTCATATTTTATTGCTTACTGATGGTGCCAAAAAATGCACCCAGGCTGTCTTCACTAGTTTGGCTCAACTTTGGTCGGGTGCTTTGCTGTATTTCTCTGCTTCTCTCTATTTCCTCAACTGTTCTTTCTTTTCTTCTTTTTCTGTCTTTTTCTTCCGGTCTGCTTCCCCTACTAATGTTTGTACAGTCTTTTCTGCCATGCTAATGAAAACCCTCCTCAAATTAAGCATCCACACTCAAAGAGACTAACAGAATGCCTTTCTAAAATTGATCCAAGAAGCACAATCTAATTTTGCAACAATGATAGCTAGTGGTGATGTAAAACTGAGGAAGAGTCACTGTCATTTAGGTCATCAAGTGTAAGGCAGCAGTCGCCTGGGAACCCAACAAGCCTCTGGTGATAGAGGAGATTGAGGTCGCCCCGCCTGAGGCAAATGAGATCCGCATCAAGGTGAGAGATATCTACTTTTAAGGTTTGCACAGGCACTGAACTGACTTACTGTCTAAACTCGAAAGTTTAGACAGTAAGTCAGTTGTGGAAGTAGAAAGTACTTATAACTTAACACATACATCTCTTCTAAAACCTCTAATTTTGAAATAGGCAGTTTTAGATTCTTTGATGCAGATGTATAAACTTGGACTTCCAGGACTCTGATTTTTGTCACATGAAATGACTCAAAGGACTCAAAGAAAGGAAAGACAAATCTGTAGCTGACTGATAATTAAGCTGACCTCCAGTTTTTCAGTACATTATATTGAGTTTTTAACTGAAACTAAGGCCCATCTGGTAAACTCTCCAGAGACTGATTCATATTAAAGAAAACCAACCAAAAGTATTTGTATTGCTCTTGTTTTGCAGAGTGAAGACTGTAAGTTTGTTGTTACATAACAGTGCTAGTAATGCCAATTAGAGCAAAAGTTCAAGTTAGATATTGAATGGGTTTCACATGAATTGCTGGCATGGAAGGTTATCCACCTGCATTTCAGGGAAGGGACTACAGCCATGTTTTCCTAACTCTAACTTAAGCAGCAGTGTGATGAATGGGCTATGATCCTGTGAATAGTTTAAAATGAAAAAGAGTTTTTAAAACAAAAACTGATCCTAGCTTTGAAAGAAATGCTTGGTTTTTACTTGAGATGTAAGTGAGAATGGCCAAGATTTTTTCCTTTTTTTTATGCAGTGTCATCTCGTGATAATGACTTCCTCTTATCCTAATATAATAAAGTTTGTTTTCTTATGATAAGGATTATTTTTCGTTGACTTCCTGTTATCCTAATATAACAAAGTTCGTTTTCTCATGATAAGGATTATTTTTCGTTATCTCGACATAACTCAGATTGTGTTTCCATGATAAAGGAAATGCAATTTCCATAATCTCAAGAAAATTATCTGTTATGTTGCGATAATGGGAAAAAAAATTATCACGCAAAAACAAACTTTGTTATACCAAGATAACAAGACAATTAGTCATCGCACCAAGATAACAGTGCATGAAAAAAAAGAAAATCCATGGCCATTCTTGTCTTCAATAAAAGTGAGTTCTCAACCTACTTGCTAATATTAACATTTCAAAGCACATAAACTGTTTGTTTATTTGTATATTTTCTTTAATGTTTCCGACCCCCATTTGTACTGCTGTAAATTTCTATTGTATGACCAAAACTTGAAAATGCCCGAGTTAAAAGTCAACCAAGTTAACCATAGCAACATGCTCGACCATTAAGAAAAACTAACCAGTGTATTTTTCTTTATGTGGTCATTGTTCTGGTCCAGGTTGTGGCAACAGGAGTGTGCCACACCGATCTGTATCACATGTTTGAGGGTATGCATAAGGATGGCTTTCCTGTAGTGCTTGGTCATGAGGGAGCCGGCATTGTAGAGAGCACTGGGCCTGGAGTCACAGAATTCCAAGTTGGTCAGTCAGTACTCGGTTATCTGGTTTATCCACTTTTTATTTATATATTTTTTTTTCATTTAAAACTGAAATACAGTAACAGTCACATTGCTTTTAAATTCCAGGGGACACTGTGATTCCTCTGTTCATCTCCCAGTGCAGGGAGTGTCGCTTCTGTAAGAGCCCAAAGACCAACCAGTGTGAGAAAGGATGGTAAGCTCATGTTTTTTCATCTCTTAACTTTATTGATCTGTTGTGTTTCAGTGAGCTCTTAAGCTAAGAGTAAGTCCTCTTAAGCTAACTTAACATCTTATTTACTTTTTCTCTTTACAAAGTGTTATTTCAACTGGTCAACTAGTCAAACAATGCCAGAATTTAGTCATTGAGTGTTTGTTGGTTTCAATGATTTCAGGGTTGCTGATTCTTATGATGTGATGTCAGCAGCAGAGTCCAGGTTTACTTGTAAGGGTAAGAAACTGCTGCAGTTTATGGGCACTAGTACCTTCTCTGAGTACACCGTGGTAAACCAGATAGCTGTGGCAAAGATTGATCCAGCTGCTCCTCTGGACAAAGTATGTCTCCTTGGCTGCGGGGTCTGCACTGGTTTTGGAGCAGCAGTTAATACTGCCAAGGTCAGTATGTTTGAATGTATCCTATGGTGTAACATGTATTTTTGCCATAATTTACCTTCTGTGATGAATACCTACCATACCTGTCTGTTAAAAGTAAAGCATTTCAAACAAAACAGTGACCTCCCAAATCAGTCTATCAAGGTTGGTACAGTTAACAAACTGTAAATGCTGTCATTTGACATGTTTTGAAGTCTCCTGGTATTATGGCGTACCAGTTAACAAGTTAGAAACCCAAGATAGACGCCTACAGTTACCCGTTGTTAGCTGTTGTTTAAAATTGTCAGCTATCGTTAGCTGTTAACAGTTGTTGTTAGCGGTTGTCAGCTGTTGTTAGCTGGTGTCAGCGGTTGTTAGTTGTCGTTAGCTGTTGTAAACAACGCGTAACACAGTATTTTACTCTTACAAACACCATAGCACTGTGTTCACAGTTAGACGTTGGGCAGAACATCAAGTGTTGATAAATAATACATTACGAGAGCTCTCACTTTTACTCTTTACTTTTGATGCACTGCGCTGCCATCTTAGATTATGAAGTTGTCCTCAAGTCAGGGTTGGTGAGGAGCGTCCAAATTTTTGTCAGCCCCCCTGAAGTCAGAAATCCTACTTCAGGGGGGCATTCCCGATGAATTCCTGACTCGGAGCTTGGAATTTCAGACTTCCAAGAACAACTGGAATGCAGCATTATTACCAGTGCCTCAGTTTTTTGAGTCTGTATCCTGGCAACAGCATTATGGAGAATACATGCTGAATACAAGTGTTGTTATGATATGACTGAACTCCCTTGGAGCACAATATGGCTGGAAAGCAACTGCCAACAGTTCAATATCTGGACAACACATCCTCTTCTTGACAGTTATGTGTGAAGAGTTAAACCATCTCTGGTCTACAAATAAAGTCAGACCTCCTCCGTTCGTCTAGCTTTAGCATCTGTTTTTTTGATCGTATGAGAGTGCAGCCAGGTAGATCCACACTGGAGTCCAAGTTGTTTTGATTCAACCAGGATTCAATAAAACGCAGGTGACTGCACCTTGTCTTCACAAGTACCTCCAGTTTGTCGCTTTTGTTGGGCATAGAGTTGGCGTTTCCCATGATGACTGATGAAAGAAAGAGCTTATATTTCAATGTCCAACCCTTTAACTTTTCCTTCACCTTTGCACCAGCACGGCAACCACAAAAACATCTCCAGATATCTGCTGGAATTGAATGTTGTCATCCAGATTTGCTCTGTCTCAATGACAGAAGCTCTTCTCTTGAGTAAACTGTTCTCAGCAGAAATATTTATCAGCAGCCAAAAAACAAAAGTATCAACAAATAGAGAAGTTTACTGAGGAGTTCATTCAGCCTGTCCATGATAAATTTATAAGACGGTTCATCTATAAAGGCCTTTATAGATGAACTTCCTTTTGGGGAACAATAAAGTTCTTATCTTATCAAAAATTGCAGAAAATTCAGAGAGGCCAGACTTTGCTGCTTTTTGGTTGAGCGCAGGTTCTGGAATATGAAATAAGTAATATAATATAAGTCCAACATTGTAACTACAGGTGACACCAAAGAATAGTTAAAGATCTGAATTTCATCATTTTTAAAGCAATGAAAAGTCTAACGTTGCGTGGTATGTTTAAATAATGTGGGTTTTTTTTGGGGGGGTTTTAGGTTGAACCAGGCTCCACATGTGCTGTGTTTGGACTGGGAGCTGTGGGTTTGGCTGCTGTCATGGGCTGCCATAATGCAGGAGCCAAGAAAATTATTGCTATTGACATCAATCCAGACAAGTTTGAAAAGGCCAAGGTGTTTGGAGCAACAGACTTCGTGAATCCAAAGGATCACAATAAACCCATCAGCGAAGTGCTGGCTGAGATGACCAATGGAGGAGTGGACTTCTCCCTGGAATGTGTCGGGAGTGTGGCAGTCATGGTAGGAAGACAAAGAGTTTGTCCTAAACCGATTAAGGAGGAAGAGGGATGATTATGCTAACAGTCTTTGCTGGAGAGTACTGTTAAAACTACAAAAGTAAACATTTTATCAAGTGCACTTGTAATTTGAGTCCACTGACTTTGTGCTGTTTCTCCCCCCAGCGCAGTGCCTTGGAATCTTGCATAAAGGGTTGGGGTGTCAGTGTGATAGTTGGCTGGACAGACATGTACGATTTCGCTGCGAAACCCATCCAGCTGATAGCTGGACGCACCTGGAAGGGCTCCGTGTTTGGAGGTAAGATTCAGTCAGTTATATGAAAAAACCTTTAATATAAATGTTTCTTTTATTGTCACATGTTGCTTTTCTGTTACCTGAACTATTGGAAGTTTAAAAAGTGAGCTTTTTAACCCTGTGTGAGGATTTTTAACTATCTAAGAATCAGACTGAAGTCAGTGCAGCTAAGGCAGGTGTCTGCTCTGTGGAAAATATCCTGTATTGTACCAGTACCAAAAATAAAATGTCCCGCTGAACTAAATCACTGCAGACCAGTGGCCCTTACTTCACACATCATGACACTCCCACTACTGTTGACTGATGTTAAAACTGAACATTGAAATTGAATCTAAACTATATGGCATAGAGAGAACAAAACTCTTAAGCCTCTATTGAGAAAAAAAGGCTCCTGTGAAGATTTCACCAGTGTATGTTCTCTGTGTGTCAGGATTCAAGAGTAAGGATGGTGTACCTGAAATGGTTAAAGCCTACCTGAACAAGAAGGTGAAGCTGGATGAGTTTGTCACTCACAACATGACCTTGGCTCAGGTCAATGATGCAATTGAACTGATGAAGCATGGCAAATGGTTTGTATTTTTTTTACTATTTTCAATCATTTAACATTTTCAAACCAGCTACACCAATTTAAAAAACCCCTCTTAATCCTGTTTTTTGTTTCCACAGCATTCGGACTGTCCTGAGTGTTTCCCAACAATGAGAACATCATGTTCATTTTAACAGAGACGGATCCCGTTCATGACCTGCAGTTTGCAGTGTCCTTAACACTCATGTACCCACAGAAGCTTTATCATGAAAATGTTGAATCAACTTTACCAGCAATGTAAAAAAAATCAAAAATAAACGTTTTCATGTCGTTGCAACCGCAGAAATATGTGCACTGTAGTTCACTTGTCTTTTTAACACATTCTTCAGTTTCAATTCTTGTGTTGATTCTACGTCAAAACATGTGTGTCATGTAGACAAAGACAGCCTGTAAACTCTTGTGTGAGAAATTCTGGCGCTGTTCATTGCAGAGGCATTTGTCACTCAAAACCAGACAACACGCCGCCACACACAGACTTTGAACAACAGTGAAGTTAATCAGCTACAGAATTTAACCACTGTAATCACTTTATCTATGCTTTCTTTCCTCATAGTCATGTTTACAATCTGACACTTTCATGTACTTTGCACCAGTATTCCTGGAGAAACTTTTCCATTTGTTTAGAAGGTTTTACTTTTAATTGAGGCAGAGTTCTCTACAAGCTAGAGCTCATGAATTTAAATTGTCCTCTTTCTTTAATATTTGACAAGTTTGTCCACTCAAGATGTCAAATGATTGATTTTTGATTTTGATTATGACCTCTGAGATCTGCTTATTTCAATTTTTCAAGTGTTTCTGTTGGTCTAGTCAACCTTAGTGAAGACATTTGGCCAGACATTTGTTCTAAGGACAATCTTTGTCAGCTCTCACAGATAGTCACTGCCAAAAAAAAGGCTGTTTGCAGAGCACTGTACCAAATAATATTAGTGGGAAGATGACTGGATAGGAAATCTATAGGTGGAGATAGGGAAAAACAGATGACTGCAGCCCTGAGGTGATTTACTGGAACAGTCAATTCAAGGACCTGAGAGAGTTTCACAAGGTGTGAGTGGAGGCTGGTGTCAGTGCATTAAGAGCCACCATGCACAGATGTCTTCAGGAGAAGAGCTGCAGCTGTAGCTTTTCTAATGTCAAGCCACTCTTGAACCAGAAACGTCATAGAGTCCTATCTAGGCCAGAGAGAAAAGGACTGGGCTGTTGCTCAGTGGTCCAAAGTCCTCTTTTCAGAGAAAGTTTATTCTGCATTTCAATTGAAGATTACATCTCAAGAGTCTTGAGGCAGAGTTAAGAGGCACAGAATCCCAGGTGTTTTAAGCCCAGAGTTAAGTAAAGCAAAAGCCTTCTTTGATTAACCAAGGTCATGTAGGTTCAGACACCACAGGGCGGGACGGTTTCAAATTAAGATGACATGCACGTGTACAGTAGGTGGCAGTCAGCATCTAAAGTTGTCTGCAGCCAAAGAAGAAGAAGCAATGCTCTGAATTCAATTTAATCAGACTGGACACGGTGGCTAGGCTAGGCTAATGCCAACCATGTTAGCTGATAATCTGTAACATTGATAATAGGCTGCTATTTTCAGGACACTAAGTATAGCTATACAAGAAAAGACAACAAAGGCACATACATGTAAACAATGCCGAAAGACCACATAATACATATACTTTTGTATATTATCATGTAATATGCCACTGGTTGAACTGGAATGCTGGTTTGAAAACTGATATATGCCACTCTGACTTGCCCCACTTCCAAAAGTGGGGAGAAAATGCAAGTTGACAGAAGAAAGGGCAGATACAAAGAGGAAATGTGACCAAGCAAGGAATCCAACTCAAATAAACATCTGGTCATCCTTCAAGGGGTGGAGAAAGCTCTGTTAGGATTTGGGCCTGAGAACAGACGCCGAGACAGCAGAGTTTTTGTTGAACAGGTAGTTTTTCCCTTTTATCGTGGCACATGTTACATAAATAACTCTTATTAGTCTCTGCAATGTCAACACAGTAGCTGTCCGGCAGCTGCAGTCGGTGCTTGCTAGCAGAGCTGGCTTTTACTGCCGCTAGTCACTAGCAATCCGACATGGTGACTCCTATTTGAAGCTAGTGCAGGATCTTCTACTGGCCGGCTTCTTGCTCTACCAGAGGGGGTGTGTCGTGGGGAGGGCGATACATGTTCGGGGGGGGTTATCTTGGAGCACAGAGGGGAGAGGTTTGTGTGTGGGGGTGGGACGCTTTTTAAAAAAAAATCTGCCTCAACGGCTCAGGTTTGTTCAACTGCTTCTCCAATTGTCACCCATGCCTCTAAGTGGCATGTCAGATTCCACTTTACATTCTTAGAGTTACTGGGGTCTTTCTGAGTAACAAAATAAAGAAACAGGTCAATGCAAGAGAAAAGGCGTAAAACCGGCAGGACGTGTTAGCTAGCATGGGTGCTATGTAAACAGTTGGTGACATGCTCAGGCATATAAAACAGCAAAAAGGATCAAGGCAAAGGGCGCTCCAAGCAAGCCCACCCCCAAGGACCGGACCAAAAAAATGAAAACAAAACAGAAAACAACAGGCCGCTGAAAAAACACATGTAAAGTTAGTAAATTAATAAAAATAAAACAACTTAACTTAAGAAGGGGAGCTAAATTACCAGGCACAGCAAACTCTAGGCAACCAGATGATGTTAGTCTTGAGGGTGTGTTTCCAATGTACCACCTAAAACAACTGTGCTCTGCTTAAGTCAGCTGGGAACAGAGTGACGTTATAAAAAGAAAACCATGCAGACAAAATGCAGACTATGTACCCGTGCGAGTGAGTAACCACACACAACAGGGTTCCAGTGGGTCACTCCCCGTTCACTGCCGTTGGCTATCAGCCACACTGAAAGGAGCGAAAGTGGCATGACCAGGATGCACATAAATGCAGCAAGAATACAGAGAAAACAGCTGATCACTCATCTTGAAGGAAAGACAAGTGCGCCTAGATGGTGATTACAACTCCTCACTATGATGTTGTTTTCTATCATGGGATATTCCATTATAACTTAAACACAGATAACTCCCAAAATATAAAAAAAAAGAAATAAAAACTCAGTCTGTAATACACATATCACTACAACATGTAAGACTGAATCTATGTTTGATTGGCTGGGGTTGTATTAAGGTGTAACATAATGGAAAATAGAATGGTAATTGAAAATTATACTTTCTATATTCTTTAAAATGTTACAACATAACAATTTAATTTAGCAAATATTTACATCCAAAGTGACGTACATTTTCGACGTACAAACTCAAGCAAAAACTCAAGTAAAATTCCACAAATTACCTCAAGTCCAGTTGAACAAAGTGCTGGCATGCAGTGTGGAGGCAATGCACAGGATGGATGGAGGCTTTGTGTGTGTGTGTGTGTGTGTGTGTGTGTGTGTGTGTGTGTGTGTGTGTGTGTGTGTCATCATCACCATAGCAATAGCAACAACATCAACATTATTTATGAAACGAATCACTTGCAGAATTTCATTTTCAAACAAATATCTAAAATTATTTGGTCCAAATGCCTCTTCTTTGAATGTATAAAACCATGTTTACAGTCATTACCAATGGACTATCTTTGTAACCTCAGTGCAAATGAAGACTTGTAAAATGTTTGAGCTAGATTGACCTCTCCTTACATAACTGCAGTAGTTAACCATGAGTAAACAGATGCAGGAGACAAAGGCAAGCAAGTCATGTGATGGTCCACATTTGACCATAAACAGACCAGAGTCTAAAGGTGAGGTGGGTGATAGAGCAGGGTATGTCAGGTCACCAGAATCAAAGGCTGCAAATGTAGAACTAAACTTATCAAAAAATCTGGTAATATTTTGGTAATATTAAAGCATTTTCAGCTTAACAGTGCTTTTCAGCGCATTCCAATTTACCTTTTATTAAATCAAGCAATAAACCCAATCAAACAATACAGCAAGAGTAGATGGGCCAGTGTACAGGCTGAGGTTGCACAAGTGTTGCAGAGTTTTCTGAAAGTTAAGCAAGCAACATGAAAACAGTAAGCCAGAATTAAGAAGGTATATACTCCATAAAATATGTTTCTCTGCAAAATTACTTTTCCTACCTCCCAGCAAACACTTTAGCATGCCATGGTGCCAGGAAAAAAAATCACACAGCTTGTCGTGGTGGGTGGATTTAAAGGTCTTGCTGTTTCCCCCCCAATATTTGCAGTCTTAAAGCCAAGCTTAACAACAACTTTTAATTTGCTAACCTGAGAGCAGTATCAGTCTTTGCATCTACAAACCCCAGTTTCATTGAAGTCAGGACATTGTGCAAAATATGAGTGGAAACAGAATACAGTGATTTACTAATCTTTTTCCAACTATATTTGCTGAATTCACCACGTTTTGCATAATGAAGTGGAAAAGACCACAATCATGACCCTGGACTCTGAAGCAACTGAAGTTGTATGTCAAGCAGAAATAGAAAATTATTTCACCTCCAAAGCTTCAATAATTAGTGTCCTCAGTTTTCAAACACTGAGTGAGTGTTGTTAAAGGAAAGGTGATGTAACATAGGGATCTGAAAATGATTTTTTTGTATCACAAACTTATTTAATCTTAAAATCTCTATACTCTTGGTTGTGATGACTGCTGCTTCCTACATGCTTCAGACCCTTTTACCTAGATTTTCAGTGTCTCTGTGCTCAATGAAACTATAACAAGTCTCTTCCTGTTTAATATGTGCAGAGTGCTTGCACTGTATAAAGTCCAGGATCACATTTGTTTCCCTCCCTAGTCCATCCTGCGGTTGCACTCGTCACTCCTCTTTCACTGTTTACTCCACAGCACCGTGTTTGGCTTAAACTGCAGCAACAATGGCCACAGTTGGTAAGGTAAGAAGAATTCACCATGTGAGATGTAACGTTACTTAGATCTTTTTTAAGCATGATGTGTTGCCATTGTTAAATGATATGTTTGTTGCCAACTCATGCACAATCCAAATATGATTGCTATGCAAAAGAGAGTACTACTAAAACATTGCACTTCTATGCATTACTACACCCTGTAACTGGTTAAAAATTTTGCAAAAAGCATTACGTTAAAAAGTTGTAAATCTTAAAATATGCGTTGTACCCTCCCACCCTGTCCTCTACCTTTTCTCTTAGTCGCTATTCTTGCTCAGTGATATACCTCACTCTATATCATGTCCTGACTTGGAGTGCTATTGAAAAATTTCCTGTCAGTCATCTGATATTTGCTGAGAGGTAGCCAGGAGTAAACACCCATGCTTCATGTTCTTTATCTGTTTTATTCTATACTTAAGGCTGTGAACTCAAGTTAGTCTCAGGGTTGTTAAATTCAACCTTTTGTGACCCTTGTGTTGTTTCTAGGCGCTCCTCCCAAGTATGGTTAAACAGTGCCAGTGTCAAACTAGGTGTGTTAATTATTTCACATGGTTTACCTTTGCCTTTAGGTTATCAAGTGCAAGGCAGCAGTGGCCTGGGAGCCAAACAAGCCTTTAGTGATTGAGGAGATTGAAGTGGCCCCTCCTGAGGCCAATGAAGTCCGGATAAAGGTGAGTAATATGAATTTTCACAGAGCACACAAACACAGTTTGTTACTGCACTTGTTTCTATGACTCCAATGGGGCTTTGTCACATCAGAACATATATTAAAAAAAATAAACAGAGCCTCTAGATTTTTAAACGCAGCCAATGTTTTTTAGCCCCAGATCAGACTTCTGCCCACTTTCTAAATCCACTGGTTGCAAAATGAAGTTAAATTTTAAAAACCCCGGCAGGGAACCGACAAAGTTTGTCAGGCTGTTGTCTTAACACATGGATTTAGTTTTCTCAAATACAATACATACATATATACATATATACATATGTATATATATATATATACATATATATATATATATAGTTTGTTTGTTTTTTAATAATGGTCCCATCCATAATAAAATAGAGGAACAATCAGGTAGTACTTCAGAGCACAGTTACCTGTGATTGATAAGCCACCATGGTGGCCAGTCAGAAACAAAGCATACTGTAGCGATTTGAATTTATAATTAATGTCTGAAGATTAATAATCTCAAATTATGACATTTATGCACTCGTTGAAAGGGGCATCACCCACCCTTAATGGTGGGAAAAAACAAAAGTTTAATTCAGAAACCAAACATTAAGTCAATCTTAAATTAATCAATCTCAAAATATCTTCCAAGATAAATTTGGATGTGGATCTGGATGGACATAGGATTACTAGAATGAGTGAATATCTGAGTTATGATCACACGAGACAGCATCAGCCCTGTTTGGAGCTCTGGAGGTTTGCATACTTAAGTGAGACTGGTCCTTGGAGAAGATGGAGCAGGTACCGAAGGTCCGGGGCTACCGGCTGTTCGAGAGGTTCGGCTCAGAAGATGACCGAAGTCAGCCGAAAGAGATGGGCCAGGAGTTGCAGTACTCGGGCCCGAAGCAAAAACCAGCGCTGTGGATCCTATTCAATGCTCCTTTTTCTCACCACAAACTCTGGCACAGAGGATGAGTTTAGGCCTGCTGGGTGGTGTTCAGAGGTGACTTTGAAATCACGCAGATGACTCAGAAAAAGAGGCTCTATAGCCAGTCTAAACTATTTCAAAAATGCCTTTACGAAATTAAAGAAAAATCTGTTAAAGGCTTTATCTTGAATTGCTATGCGCACAAAAGGTTATAGTTTCAAAACTTGAACTAAGACGATGTTAAAGAAAAATCTATGTGAATGAGGATGTGGCGTAAAACTTAAGAAGATTAAGAAAAAGTAAGACGAAGTAGTAAGAGCTAAGAGAGAAAAAAAGAAAGAGGGCTAAGCAGTAGAGTAAAGAGGACAAGAGGAATGAGTGTGTGTAAGAGAGAGAGCAACCCCAATAGTGGTTTTATCTCCTTCACACTGGGAGTGGCTCTAGGGTGTGTGTGTGACGAGAAAGAGGAGGGGTCGTGGGGTCTCCAAGCAGAGACTCTGATTATTTGATCTAACTTATACTTTTGGCCGGTAAAAGAGTCAGATCTGATACTCACTCACTATGATTAATATCGTTGAATGTTTGGTTTCATGATAAATAATTTGATACTAAACACATATGAATGAAATTTAGAATCACATCAAACATTCTCATTATGTTTTAAGTATCACGTTGAACATGCTAAATTACTCTAAAATGAAACAGATAGTAACACATGGAAACTGTGAACAACAAAAGAGTAAACACATGTGAATGAACTTCATCATGATTAATAATGGATTCTAAATACTCACATTCAGATTATTCAATGACATTATAACCACCCAATGGTTAAAAATACTAAATAAACGACTAAATTATAAACCAAACATTTCTAAACCATTTCTGTTACTTAGAGTAAAGCTATGATTCATAGTCAATAAATTTAACTCTTAAAAGTTCATGTTTCAAACAGTCTGAAAAGCTGTTGGTCTAAAGAAATTAAAGAATAAGGAGTTATTCTGTCAGAGTGATAACTTGGCTTCTGGAGCACATAGAAAAACAGGAAACATCTCATTTTAACACAAATTTCATGATTAGACAGATTAGTACATTGCTGAATGCATAAGATGTCACGATCAGTCATTTGTATTCTTTCACCAAAGCAATGCAGTTTTTATCAGTACATGGTTGAGCAGGGTTTTACGACCGAGGTCTGTAGGTCAGTGTCCTGCTCCTCAGACCTTATCTTGGGGTCCGTATGTTTAAAACAGTAAATCTCAAATGGAAGACCTGGGTTGAGGTATGAATGATTATTTAGATGGTCAGTGATGGAGTCAGTTTGAAAGGTATTAAAGACTCTGTCTCTGTTCTCTGAATTGACCAATCGTGACGAGTCAGAGGTTTGGTCAACCTCCGGTCGGGTCAGTTAGGTAACCTGAAAGTGCAAACAAGTCTGGAAAGATTTATATCCTGTGTCCTGGGACCAGATAAGGAAACTTTCCTGCGAGGAAGGAGTTTCACATACAGGGTTGTCTTGATTGCTACAATACCCATCCCTTAATTTCATCCTGGTTAATCCTGGGGGCAAGGACATGAAGGGCAATTGCATACAGTCTTTGATTCTTTCACAACCCCGCTCAAACACATTTACAAGGAAAGGTTACAATTAAAAATCAGAGTGTTTATGTAATAAATGAATGTGTAGCTAGTACTGCTGAAACATGGAAAACAAACCCTCATCAGTATGCCTCCTTAAACTAGATTTTTGTTTCAACTCTTTGATTTTTGTCTTTGGTGCAGATTGTGGCGACTGCAGTATGCCATACAGACTTATATCGGCTCTTTGAGGATACAGGTGCAGCAGGCTTTCCAACAGTCCTTGGTCATGAAGCAGCAGGGATTGTAGAGAGTATTGGACCTGGAGTCACTGAAATAAAACCAGGTTGGCATATACAAAAATATGAGTAAACACATTTGTAAGTTTGTAAACCATCTATTTTGAAATGCATGTTGAAAATTCCATTATTTTGCATATCAAAACTGTTTCTCAGTTCATATTAACAACCTAAAGCAAATCTTGACATAAACTATGTTGGGTTCAAAGTTAATTGAATATCAAATTAATATTTCACAACTTAAACACATATGCAACTTTGGGGTACCACCTCCATCTAGAGAAGAAATGGAATAGTTAAAAGTCTTTTTATTAAAGTTAGTGAGTCCTATGTCAGGGATCGCAAATAAAATTCTCAATTTTTTTGTATTTGTTGGGAATAAATAATGAAACAATAGGTTAATAATGAGTAGTAATACTGATTATGGTAATAATGGTGAAGGGAATAACACTGATAAATGATGATTGATTGAAAAGATGAAAATAACAGCTATAGTTAAATGACTTGAAGACAACAGAATGAATAAAAATGAGATGTAATGAGATGGTAAATGTACCCCCCCTTTTTAATCAGGTAATACAAATATACTGGTGTACCACCTCACTTTAATGGTATTTGAATACTACATGCTGTCCTAAAATATCAAATAATCTTTGGTCATTTGGAACACTTAGAAAATAGCCCTATATAAAAGATACAAACACAACGTTGAAACAGTAAGTTTACTTTGGAAAACTACATAATGAATGTTTGTATGATGTTGGAGTCACATCAGAACCATTTCTGATTTTCAGGTGACAAGGTCATTCCTCTGTTTATTCGCCAGTGCAGAGAATGTCGCTTCTGTAAGAGCCCAAAGACCAACCAGTGTGTGGCTGCTTGGTAAGTGTGAGAAGAGCCCACCTCCCACTGTCTGTTTTTTTTTTGTTTGTTTGTTTGTTTGTTTGTTTGTCTTTGTTTTACATTGGTATCTTCTGCAAATTCAGGACAAAAAAATACTAATTCATATTTTTCTAATTGTATTTTCTCCTCAGGGCTAGCACTGGTAATGCAGCAATGGCACCGCCAAAGTCCTCATTTACCTGCAAGGGGAAGAGATTGAATCAGTTTACAGGAACCAGTACCTTCGCTGAATACACTGTGGTAAATGAACTGGCTGTGGCAAAAATCGACCCAGATGCTCCTCTGGACAAAGTCTGTCTCATTGGCTGTGGAATCTGCACAGGATACGGCGCAGCAGTTAATACTGCCAAGGTATAAATGTTAAACTGTTGCAGCTTACCTGCATATTATTTGACAGAAACAGTGGACTTCAGTAAGAAGTGCATTGATTTGGCAACTTTTATGACACAAGAAAAAACACTTGATTGAGAAAAATGATTGCTCATATAAAAGAAAATATTTCCACTTATTTTTGTCTGTGTAAACATCAAATACAATGATGACCAAAATCTGTTTTATTTTAGGTTGAACCAGGCTCCACATGTGCTGTGTTTGGACTGGGAGCTGTGGGTTTGGCTGCTGTCATGGGCTGCCATGCTGCAGGAGCCAAGAGGATTATTGCCGTTGACATCAATCCAGATAAGTTTGAAAAGGCCAAGGTGTTTGGAGCGACAGACTTCGTGAATCCAAAGGATCACAACAAGCCCATCAGCGAAGTGCTGTCTGAGATGACGGATGGAGGAGTAGATTTTTCCTTGGAATGTGCCGGGAGTGTGGCAGTCATGGTAGGAAGAGCTTTCATTCACAGTTTTTCTCAGATCTCGGTAGTGAATATGCATATCCCTCAAAAATGTTCCAAATTTCATACTTCAACTTACAAACAGTATTATCTTTCATGCTTTACAGACGTTGAATGTCAGTACTTGCAGACTTTCATTTATTTGCTAGCTAGCTTAATGCAATTGTGGATTACCGTGGCAACTACTAAGAAATTAGTTTCTTCTTTTCATGTTCCCTTTTTTTAATGCAAAAGGAAATTTTAAATTGCACGTGATGTCAAGGCAAAAAAGAAAAAGAAAGTTAGAATTTTGAGCAGCACTGCACAGAACAAGAAAAAATATGTAGTGTGTTGGTATAAACAGACTTTCTAAACAGACTAACCCTAACCCTGATCATGACAGTTCAGTAATAAAACTACAATAAAAGTATTGATTTCATGGCTGTAGTATTTTCTTACATCATAATAACACTAGACTGGTGGAAAATGAAAAAAAAACCAAAACAAAACACTTCGACACACAAGACAGAACACCTCAGCTGGGTAATGCACTTGTTTTCACCATGTCTCACCTCACCACCAGTAAAAATGATCCTGTAAGAAAAAAGGCAGTTATATTATTTTGATCAGGCACTTTACCATCACTAAGGTTGCAGCTCTTACTGTGAGTTGAAAAGACTATTTCTAGGAATAAGGGTGTGGGTTTCAGAAGACGCATACTTATACTCATACTAGTTCCAAATTTATGTTTTTTGCCAAATGATTGAATTCTTAGGTAAATCGTTGTGTATTCTGCATCACAAGCAGGTTGGTAGATGAGACAGGACCTCTCTGTTTTTCACTGGGATTCTGTTCCCTCTCAGTTTCATGTAAGGGCTAATCAACAGTGACACCAAATTGGACCAGAAGGACCCCTTGCATAAAATGTAAGCTGCTTGTCTCACCGTGAGGGGATTACTCTACTGCAACAACCAGCTTACTGTACATTACATGAATCATTACATGGCTACTTATTCAAGAAATCAGAAATCATACTCAAAGTACCACCCTTGAAATTATTTTACTGATTTAAAGATGATTATATTTGATTTATTGAAAATAGTCCTTATTACTTAGTCTGCACTGTAATCAATGTAATAGCTAAGTCTGTAGCCTTCTTTAAGTGGGTTAACTAAGCAGTGATTCTTCACATCAAAATTAGTATTTCCACTGATGGTAAGGTGAGACAAGGTGAAAGTAACTGTCTGAACTAGTGCAGTATCTAACTACTGCAGCTGACTACACTATCTTCTATTTAGTGTGAATTTGTCTGATGAGACAAGGACAGAACTGCATCAATCAGTGCCACAATATAGCAGTGGTCTGCTAATGAGGAATAGCAGGCCATGGCTTCCTGTAAAAAATACCCGTGTAGTGACCAATTGGAATTAAGTGCTTCAGACAGCAATCATGTAAAATGCCATAACAACCCTCTCAACCATACTGTATCCATTACTTTACAGCAAAACAATAGAAATTAACTTGACACTTATAATCTTGTAGACATCAACAACCAATTAGAGTTGAAACGGTACATAGTTGTGTTTTTATTTGGACTATTTATGTTCACACTTTAAACTGTGCCAAAAAAAAAAAATTGTCTCTCCATCCAGCGCAGTGCTTTGGAGTCTTGTATTCAGGGTTGGGGTGTCAGTGTGATCGTTGGATGGACAAACCTGGAAGATGTTTCTGCTCGACCAATTCAGATGATAAGTGGACGCACTTGGAAGGGTTCTGTGTTTGGAGGTAACACAGCTATGACCATCATTAAAGATGAATACATCTCTTAAACACATCAGGCTGTCGTCTAATATTCTGTATTTTCCAGTTTATTAAGTATGTATGTAATTATTTTGACATTTGTTGTATTTTATACTCAGGCTTTAAAGGACGGGATGATGTTCCCTCAATGGTTAAAGCCTACATGGACAAAAAGCTGAAGCTTGATGAGTTTATCACTCACAACTTGCCTTTGGAACAAATCAACGATGCCATTGAAATGATGAAAAATGGCAAATGGTAAGTTTGTAGTCTTTCTCACACTTCATTAACAACCAGAGCTGAACTCTATCAAAGCTAAATTGAGTCTGCTAATATATGTTTTTTTCTTTTTTCTTTTGGTTCACAGCATCCGGACAGTCCTCAACATTTCTACAGAATAGGAGACCACAAACAGAACAGTTATGATCACTTCCTCATCCAAAATCTGAGATTTATATTTTTCTCTCTACTGCTATAGAAAAGTAATCCATCAAAATTTGCCCCAAATTCCCCACTTTTAGTAAATTATAAAAATAATAATGCATCAGATTTCATATAGCGCTTTATCAGAGACCCTCAAAGCGCTTTACAATTATGTGAAAACCATGTGAGAAACATCTGCTGTGCTGATATTAGGCAAAGGATAAACATGTAAATGTGTTTACAGGGCAAAATAAATACTCCAGAGGGAGGGGATCTGTGGCTTTGTTGTTTGTTGACTGCTTTGTACTCTGCTGTATGAAACTAGTCCTGCATAAACATGTCTACCACGTCTGTTGTCTCTGTCAACACCTTATTAAACCATTTGTAAGGATCTTATCAATTGTCTAGCTTCATTTTTTAAAGCCGGATTAAATGACAGTTCATCTAGCTTGGCAAAGAGCCTTGTGATTATTCTGCAAGGATTGGTTCAAGGGTTTCTCTAGGGGTAATAATCTGTCTATTTTTGAGGACACTTTACATAGTAAAAGACAGGATATTGCATTTAAACAACAGGCAGGCTAAGTAAATATTATAAAATTGGGAACTATGTATAATAAAGGGTGGTACAAGCTATTGAGACTATTTATGGCCCAGAAATTAAAGCTTGAGATAGCTTATCTACTAAGGTGGATACAACATCCTGTGTTTATTGCTTGTGTTAGTTTCAGCAGAAAACTAGCCACTTGTTGCGTATGGAAAATTTGGATCCAACTTTTGTGACTTTTATCAGCCTTCCTCTGCTTGTTTCCATGCTATCTCCTAATGTACTGCACACCTACCAGCTACAGAACAGAAATTTGATTTATCAATAAGACACATGAACTGCATTCAATGTGAAAAAAAAGTACTATCAAAAATTATTTTTCCTGATCCTTAATCCTTAATGTATATTGTCTGTTGCTTTTACAAAACACTTCCGTGAAATGGAAACAAGCTGTTGAATGTCTCCTAAGACTGTGTCCATAGTAGCCTATCATGCTTTTCATTACCCTCTGTAGCTGTTTTCTCTCTTTCATATAAAGGAGGAGGAAAAGGAAGCTTTGATGAAAGTGTGTTGGATAGGCCAACAGCGACGAGGGGGAGGTCCCTACTTTGTGTGTGATTCTCTAGAGAACCCACACTGTTAGCTAGCCTTGTAAGTGGCAGTTCTGCTGAGAAACAACATGGAGACAGCTGGAAAGGTAAGCATGCCTCAGATGCTGATGTATCAAAATGATGTACTGTGGTTGTGTAGTAATTGAAATTGGATTGACTTTTGTGTTTTCCGCCTGGAGGGAATGTAACAGAACTAAAGAAAGAAACAAGGTGGGGTTTGAACATGCAGTGACTGGTTTAACAATCGGTTTGGCCTTTGCTTACAGTTTCACAATCCACAATGGATTTATGAAAGAACTTGGAGTAAACATTTGTGTTTCTTTGAGGACTTCAAATGTTGGTACTTCTTGAGGATAACATAAACTGTCTGCACAAGATTAGAAAGCGGTCAAAGTTTGTCACGATGACAGATTTATGGTTCTGTTCTTTGAGCCTTCTGGGAAAACTGAATGTGACAATGATTAATGTGTTTGCAGGCCACATTAAAAGGTGTGATTTATTTTTTCTTGCATTTGTATAGTCAAAGTTGCCTTCACTTTTGGCTGAATTGGTCAAAACATCCAGTGGGTTGACATTAGTAAAACCAGGTCTGCTGAAGCTATTTGGTGTTGTGTTGAAGGTGATCCGATGCAAAGCTGCCGTTGCATGGAAGGCTGGGGAACCTCTTGCAATTGAGGAGGTGGAAGTGGCACCTCCTAAAGGACAAGAGGTCCGCCTCAAGGTGAGGAATCAATTACACCCACTTTCACAAAATTTCTGCCATAAAAAAATATTCCAGACCTTTGAGACAATCTTTACACCCAACATTTCTTGGAAATCTGTTATTTTGCTTATTTATTAGAATATTTAAATGCATAGGTGATGACTGGAGAAGCAGATTTGAAAAAAAGCGTCCCACCCCCCCACACACGAACCTCTCCTCCCCTCTGTGCTCCATGATACCCCCCCGCCCTCCCCACGACACCCCCTCTGACAGACAAGAAGAGCAAGTAACTGGCTGGCAGATGATCCTACGCTAGCTTCAAAAAGGATTCACCATGTCAGAATGCTAGTGACTAGCAGCATTGAATGCCAGCTCTGCTAGCGCGCACCATCTGCAGCTGCCTGGACAGCTACCGTGTTGACATTGCAGAGACTAATAAGAGTTATTTATGTAAAATGTGCCACGATAAGTAGCAAAAATTACCTGTTCAACAAAAATTCTGCTGTCTCGGCATCTGTTTTCAGGCCCAAAACCTGGCGGATCTTTCTCCACCGCTTGAAGGATGACCCAATGTTTTTTCGAGTTAGATTCCTCACTTGGTCACATTTCCTCTTTGACTCTGCTCTTTGTTCTGTCGGCTTACGTTTTCTTATCACTTCTGGCGGTGGGGCACGCAGAAGTCATGTTTTTCCCATCCTTCTTTATCACAGCTCCTGAAGCTAAGCTGCTACACTGCATTTAGCCACTCAGAGCTCGGAGGGGGCAAGTAGAGTGGGAGGGGATGAGTCAGAACTACGAGAGAGGGGTGTGTCGAATACAGCGAGGTAATTGGATGGAGAGGCGGAGCAGGAGATTTACCAATAGGAGCTGTCTGGGACAGATGGCTCCCATCGGTCAATGTATTTGCAGCCCTGCACCTGCTATGGTGAACTGATTTTTTCCATTCTTTCTTCTCTTCTCTTTGTGGAGATCGCACTATAGGACCATTATCACCATATAAACGAGGTTCATAATAATTACCAATATCTCCCATTGTCAACCATGCCTTTAAGTACCTTTGACTTAAGATCCATGAACTGACTCATTCCTATAGACTACAGTGGATAACTCTTCAAATGTCCTTTATTTTAGATTGTGGCCACAGGGATTTGTCACACTGACTCCTATACACTTAGTGGCTCTGATCCTGAAGGAGTTTTTCCTGTTGTGCTGGGCCATGAAGGAGCTGGCATCGTCGAGAGTGTTGGAGAGGGAGTCACCAAGTTTCAGCCAGGTTCTCTCTCTCTTCTGTTCTACTGACAGGACTGACCAGACTGTGACTGTTCAAACATAAAATACTGTTTGTGTTTTAGGAGACACGGTCATACCACTGTATATTCCACAGTGTGGAGAGTGCAAGTTCTGCAAGAATCCCAAGACCAACTTGTGTCAAAAGATCAGGTAGATAATAATGATTTGAGCATTCTAAAACTATGCAGACCAGCTTCTAAAAACAGAAGTTATCCTTTGAGGCTCATTAATCTCAGAACAAGACTGACTTGAGAATGCATCCTGTTCTTCAGGCTCACTCAGGGCAAAGGATTGATGCCAGATGGGACAACCCGTTTCTCCTGCAAAGGCAAGAGCCTTTACCACTTCATGGGGTGTAGCACTTTCTCTGAGTACACAGTAGTGGCTGACATCTCCCTGGCCAAAGTGGACCATACAGCCCCTTTAGACAAGGTATGTCTGCTGGGCTGTGGCATTACCACTGGATATGGAGCCGCTTTGAACACAGCCAAGGTGAGTCAGCTTCCTCCCCAGATGTTACTGTGCTATTTTCAGCCAATCATTTATCATTTTCTATCATCATTCACCATTCCCTCAGCAGAGGAAATGTTGATGGAAGAAGAAGAAAGCCCGCTTACTGTTATTGTAGTTGCATCAATCCATGAATTAGCCCTGAGCAAGAGGATATGATTGTGAGGTGTAAGTGAAGCGGAAGAAAAAATCATTGATCAATTCAGGCTGGATTTTTTGAATGAGGGGCAAACAGATCTTATCTTGGTAATTGCAACCTCATGTCCCTTTACTTGTTCCATATTTTTTACCAAAAGCTTTTAGGCTCTGACCATGTGTAAGATTATAAATTGACCATCCAAAAGCAACTCAAAGGGTTGGCACTTTTGGCCAGTCAACTATTTAATACTCCATCACTGATATTTTAGCAAATAAACATGGCACCCAGAGCAGAGGATGAAGCACACTAACTTCTGGGATGACCTAAGCCTAATTTTTGCTTTAAAATGTTCTAATGGACTTTTCAAATGGACTTTTCAAATGACTGCAAATGATCTTAATGACGCTTATGATTGGTTAACCTTTCAAGTTGTTCCAGCATTTCGTTCTATTATCTTGTGTCTACATAAATAATGATACTCCAACAGCAACTGTGCTTCTATTGAATGTTTGAAAAATGTTGAAATCCTAGCATAGATGATAGTAAGATTAACAAAGATGATAACAATTCATATTTGTATATTACATTGTTAGATTGATTTAGTTATCATGACTCAAGCATATGACAAAGGGCATTGTCATGCCTTTGTGACAATGATTTCTTTTTTTTAGCATGGATTTAATGAGCCCATTTTAATTAATAAACCTACAGTGATCACGTTAACAAGAAAAAAGAAGCAAGAATGGCAAAGTGTGTATTAATACAAGGCAAAACTTCTATTCTTTTGTTGTTTTCACTCTTGTTTTTCCCTCGCAATGATGAATAGCTGCAGTAAGAAGAACATGTACCTGTCTCTACTGTCTTCCACTCTGCAGGTGGAGGTCGGCTCAACCTGTGCTGTGTTTGGCCTCGGGGCTCTGGGTCTTGCAGCAATCATGGGCTGTAAAGCAGCTGGAGCCTCCAGGATTATTGGAGTTGATCTCAACCCAGACAAGTTCAAAATAGCGCAAGAGTTTGGTGCCACAGATGTGGTGAACCCCAAGGACCACAGCAAGCCAATACAAGAGGCCCTGGTGGAGATGACAGATGGAGGAGTGGACTATTCATTTGAATGTGTGGGCAATGTAGCAGTCATGGTAATTATGACTTCATGAAATTTACATGACATTTATAGTCTTGTGAGATGCTGTCCATCTCACATATTAAATGAACACTCTGTCTGCTTAATGACAAGATGAAATGTGATAGTCTGTCAGTGGATGATAAACAGAGCTTTAAAAAGAGTAGCAGTACAGCTTGAAATTATAATTAATTCTGTTCATAAATCACATAAATAATGTGACTATGCTAAATGTAATTCTTGACAGGCTGGAAAACTCTTTAAGCATCAGTAGAGACAGCATGAGTTTCTATGAAAAGGCTACTCTTACGATAGGCTAAACCCAATTAACCAGTGTTGACATATGTATGGGTTAGGTTGTGGTAGTTCCCAAATGCTGTGGTAGAGAGTTCTTACAGAGTGTTTTGGTGGCAGAGGGCAGCTCTGGAGGCCTGCCATAAGGGATGGGGCACCAGCATCATCATTGGAGTGGCAGCAGCCGGACAAGAGATATCGACCAAACCCTTCCAGCTGGTGACTGGCCGCACCTGGAAAGGCAGTGCATTTGGAGGTAAGCCAGTTATTTAAAATGCTGATGTTCAAACTAGTTTGACAGGTAATTTACAATGAATATTATTCAGTGAGCATCATAGCTAACAACTATGGCTAAAAATACTCTCTAATCTGATCTTTCACCGTTCAAGATAAAATAGAACAAAGCTCAGCAGCAGGAAATTTCTTTCCTCATTAACATTTTGTGTCATCACTGACAGAGACAAAGTATTATGAAGAACTTCCACATCCTAAAGCTTCTCCGAAGAACTTCCATTAAGTGCTAATTTTGGCAACTCCTGTAGATAAAGCAGTTTCTGCTTATCTGCTTATCGTACAGTCTACTGACAAAAAAATCTCTTCCTGCTGATTTTTGACGGTCCAGTGCATCATTTATTGAGAATATTTTATGTCAAAAATGTAAAACAAAAAAATTTAAGATGTATGACACAAGATGTAATGCATTTATGGAAGTACAGCATTGTTGCAAAGCTGTGCATATGCCATGGCTGCCTTTTTGTTGCTCTGAGTCTTTGAGTGCTGAAGTGGCCTGCTAAGAGCTCGAACTCTGAAGGTAGGTTGAGTGCTCATGACCAGGGCACAGTTATGTTGGAGTGGTGGCTTCAGAATGAAAATGACATTTTGTATGCCACTGAAGTCGAGACTCTTGAGTTTTGATGGAATTATGATAAGAATCTGTTAAGACATCTGTTTTTGTCCTCAGGAAATGACTCTTAACTCATGATATTTGTGAAGTAAGCATCTCTTGTGCTTTGTTTGGCAGTTGCTGGCCAACAAGAGATTTCTTACATTTATAACTAGGAGGGTTTAAAAGTTAAACGCTGCATCTGCCAAGGAACAACCTAACAAAGCTGTACGCATTGTTGTAGATTTTTGGCATGTTCCATTGTGATTTTATGTTTTTTTTTGTTTTGTTTAAAGGACAAAAGAATTATAGCTGAATTAGTTTTGGATGCTTACCGTCACAAGCCAAAAAAAAAGAAAAATAATACAGAGAAAAGAGTTCTTCTACCATAAAACACAGACACACTCCTAACATCAATGTTTTGTTACTTTAGACTGAATCTACCTAGCATTCCTCTGGTTCACCTTTGCATTGTGGGCTTAACTTTCAGAAACTAGATCTCATTCGAGTTTTGCTTTTTCAATATAAAGTTTTTCCTTTAAAAAAATAACAGTCTTTCTCAAATTAAGGTCTGATTTTACACTGACAAACAGCTTTGATCACCTGGACAGCACTTTACATCCCTCTCTTCAATGACTCATTTATATTTTTCCTACAGGCTACAAGAGTGTCCAAAGTGTTCCCAAACTTGTGGAGGATTACATGAACAAGAAGCTCAAAGTTGATGAGTTTGTGACTCACACTCTGCCCTTTGAGAACATCACTGATGGTTTTAATCTAATGCATGCTGGGAAATGGTAAGCTCTCGCCTGAGTTACATTTTTGAAGTTGTTTGTTATGTAAATGTGTGTACAGACTCGGTGTCCCTCTGGATTCTGTCTGTCGTGCTCCCTCTGCATCACTGCTGCCCTCTGTTGAGGACGAAGTCTAGATGTGTTCAGATCTGAGGCAGGATTTTAAAATACTTTGTGCAGTGAGGGACATGTCTTCAAATATGGCACCAGCTAAAACTGACAACCATATTATTTATATACTATTGTAAAATGTATGTGTATTTATAGTCTGTATGATGTTAAACTTGATTCTTTTATCATCTTTCAGTATCCGGGTTGTCCTTCACTTCTAGATGTTCGAGGGGCACAGGAAAAAACATGGTCTAATACAAGGTTTACCCTGCTCACATAAATAATTTTTCAAAGTCATTATTCGGGTCTGTTTTATTTTTTTTTATTTGAGCAATGCACAAACAAGTCTTTACCCTCCCCATCGCCCCACCAGCTCAAGAAGTACTCAAACACAGAGAGAACATTGTGCAAAGGAAACCAGGGGAATGAAACCAAGATTATTTTTGAAACATCTTTGATCTACATTAGTGCATGAATATGAATAATAAAAGCATCCACCAACAACTAAACACCCAAGCATTTGGTTTTTATCAGGAGAATTTTTGAGTCATTCTTTTAATAACACATCCAAACCTGATAAACAAATGTGTACAGAAAATGTGTAAAGAAAATGTGCACAAGAACTGCAGATAAAGTAAAACTAGTATGCAATTTTGCTCTACTGCCTGCTCCATCCTATATCATGATCTCTTCTGGTTTGGATGAGCATACTTTTTTTTTTTTCAGTTCCAAGGAAGGGCACAGTCAAAAGTCTATAACAACCAAAATTGCATTCTGTTTCATTTTGAGGTGATGAGCATGTACAACAGCTGGATCATACAACCAGTGAAATACCAAAGCATGCAGCCTTGGTGAAAGTTTATTTTAAAGTATTTCACAAATGCCTGGCACTTTAAATTAGGTAGACACCATAGTCTAAATTTACACAGTGTGGGAAAAAGCTGTAATGAATTCCAGTCATCATTGCTTTTCAAGATAGAATTACTGAAATGGTCTTATTACAGAAAATCTTGCTTACACAAAAAAAATGAATTTTCCAGGGCTTTATATTACAATACTAATAATCTTTATTTATTGAGTACTTTTTAAGATCTCAATTACAAAGTACTTTACGGGGCAGGGAAAAAAATGCTAACTTAACAAATTTATGAAGGGATCAACCAACTTGGATCATAAAACCAAAACCATATTTGAAACATAAAATCAGTTCACTGTAAAAGACATTTCAACTCAGGAAAGGCTCTCCTATAAAAGTAAGTCTTCAGACTTAAATGAGTGCACTGAATCAGCCAACTTTATTTCTTTGGCAGATCTTTCCAAAGTTTAGTAGCCTGGACTGAAAACACTCTGTTCCCCTTTGTTTTCAACCAAGTGTCTGCCACAGCAAGCGAGCCTTTACTGGAGGATTTTTAAGTGCACACTGGATTGTAGAGAATTTAAAGATTGGTGATATAACTTTGGCAAAGACCATTAAGAGTTTTAGAAGTAGTTGATAAAATCTTGACATCAATCCTAAAACGTATTGGCAGCCAATGTAAAAATGCTAAAACAGGCATTACCCTTCAACTGGTGCAAGAGTAAAACAGGCATAATAAAAGCCTGGCAGCTGAGATATTAGTGAAGACTGAGAAAGCATACCATGGGTGAAATCTCCTATCTTTTACTGAAAGCTGGTTGAATCAAAACTTCTCGGTGTGTATCTACCTGGCTTCACTTTCATAATGTTAGACAGAGATGCTAAAGCTCTCTTTGGCTTCAAGTTTCATTTGATTGGAATCTGGTGGACTCACTGGAGGATGTGATGGAGAGATGCACACTGAAGAAGGTAGAGAACATGGATCATCACTTAATAACACCTTGTCCTTGGGCAAGACACTTGACCCCACCTGCTCTCACTGGCTGTGTGAATGGGATTAGTCAAACACTGATGGCCTCTTTACATAGCAGCCTCTGCCATCAGTGTGTAAATGAGTGAGTGTGATGTAATGCAAAAGTGCCTTCAGTGAAAACTAGAGAAAGTGATCAACATAGTACATTTCCTATAAAGGGATATTCCGGTGTAAAATTAAGCTAGGGTCAAACACCGTAACACCGAGTTAGACACGCCCACGAGAGATGAATGTTGCCGACTGCTTGCTTCTTTAGTTATATCAACTTTAGTAATGACCGTACAATAGCGATACACAGTGGTCTAAGGACCCACGCATAAACCTCAACCAAAAAGCCACTCTATAGCCACAAATGATGCTCAGAACAGCACCTAACTTCATCAACAGTACATATAGGGTCCCAGCCATAGTACTAGCCACCAAACACCTTTTTAGCTTTGCCTGATTTCTTTAGCAAAGAGACTCACCCACTCTCTTCCAGCAGCCGCTTGTTTGTATGGAGACCTCCGGGTGACCCACCTGGCTTGTTTGTATGGAGACCCACCCTGCTGCAGTCAGTGGACTGCAACAGGGTGACGCAGCTCAAGGAAGAATATTTATGATAATTTCTTCATGGAAATGCAATCAGACCTAGATGCTAAGGCAGAAGAACTGCTGCGTCTGCAGTGCAAAATGATTAATATGATGATTAATACTTCAAGGAAGTGAAGTAATGATCATAAATGTTAGACTGCTGTGTATTGCTAACTGTGGTCATTACTTAAGTTGGTATAACTAGAGAAGCAAGCTGTCAGCAACATTCATCTCTCAAGGGGGTGTCTAACTCGGTGTTATGGTGTGTTTGACCCTAACTTAATTTCATGCCAGAATATCCCTTTAACAAACACTTATATTATTATAATTGTATCGTTTTTCATAAAATTTAGTCAAGATATGCCATTAAAAAACCCAGTTTATCACTCAATTTTACAAATTTCACTTACTTACAATCTCTTTCTGCCATGCTAATACAAAAGGCTATGGGCATTATTATTATTATAGTTTACTGATGTGCAGTGGGTTTTCAGATAGTTTAAAAAACATGATGTTTACAGAATTATTTTTACAGAAGCAAAAGAAATACATAAGTTTAACTTTCATTAAGTAAATGTTAACTTAAGTACCACCTGCTTATGCATTTTGGACAAACACTGCATAACAATGTGTTTTAAAAAAAAAAAAAAGGCTTAAATGCCTGAAGATTTTCCTACAGTCATTTCCATTGACACAAGGCTTGTGAACTCACCCCATTAGGGAAAGAAATGACCAATCAATCAAAGGACAAAGTCACTCAAACAGAGCTACAGAAGAGTCATTTATTACTCCATAAGAAGAAATACAAAGATGGCAGAGAAACTGAAACAAGTCATCAGAAAAGTCTGGTAAATCCAGATATCAATGTAATGGTGACTGTTAAGTTAAGGGTAAACATCACCTAGCATGCCTTTATCTACCTGGCAAGTTTGAATTTCACACATTAAGGCTCAATTTGCTACACCAGAGCTATTGGAAACAGAAGACATTTCAAGAATTTCCAACAAGCTCAGCACTTGTACAACTATTACATTGTTTTTCTGACTCTGGATATCTGTGTCAATACTTCGCAGTTAGCTGACAGTTCCCAAGCAACCATGTCTGACATCCACAGCTGTGTCATTGTGCTAATAGTAGCCACATTCTATTACAGTGAAGTTACTCATCTGTTGATTTATCCAGCAGTAGCGCTCTAAGACAGCAATGCTTGACATGACACTACTTGAGCTAAGCTAACGGGCTTACATAAACTGTACGTGAACTGACCAATGACTTTTTTTTTTTCTTTCAAAACCAAAGTAGATATTATCCCTGTCTTTAGAGGGGCCCTCATAATTTTACTCTGAAGTTAAGCCTCAAATAAGAAGGTTAATAAAAATCTCATATCTTTTTTTGGAGGAGCAGTAAAGAATTTCAGGGGCATCTAGTGGTAGGATTTTAGTTTGCAACCTGCTGATAACCATTTTCCTCACTCTCCTCTTCTAAGCCTGTATAATTCATAGTAAATCTAGTTCAATGTCAAGGCCCACATACATGCAAAGTAGCAGACTCTGTGGACTCTGTAGATATAGTGAGCTTATGTAAACTCAGTGATCATTTGTAATATTTAATTATATAATCATAATAATAGCATCCCTATAAATATATAAGCCATCTCTGCTGGTAACTCTAACAGATCCCCTGGATCTTTAAATGTGAAGCTACCACAAGATGATGTCCCTCATAGCCTTGCTAAAACGTGAGTTAAGACTGAATGAAGAAAACAACTACCCTGGCTCTGTCCCAAAGTTACAAGCACAAGCTGCAAGCACCCTTGGTAATCCCTTTCTGTAGATTTAAATGTCGTTGGCTATCTTGTTTGTTTAACCGACATGAAAATATGGAAAATATTCCAAATCTGTTGACAGGGTTATAGACACACAGTAAGAACTAATGATAATTTTGTAACACACTTGTACTGAACAGATAAATTATATTTAACTTGTGACATTTTGGCTGCTGCTACAAGGATTTCTTAAACTTTGGACTGAGCCACGCTAGCTTGGCTGTCTTTACACTCACTGTAAGCTGCACGCCAAAAGAAGAATGAGTATTTACTGCAGTTAAGAAGTTCATCATTGGTTGCAGCAGATACTGATAACCGCCAACCAAAAGGGTGATGCATTTATTTTGTGCACACAATGACACCTTATTTATACTTGCTGTATAAAAGTGTGTTGAAGTGTTGGAAACAAATAGCAGAGGTATTACTGAATGTCTATATTTTAAATAAAATACATAGATGATAATATACAGTAGAGTCAAATGCTGTTTGTCTGGTTCTAATACAGGAGAGCTGTCAGTAAATTCTGTTGCAGGGGAAACTTTGTGTTCTTTAAAGTAAAAATACGGGGTTTTAGATATTGGTATCACAATTGGGAATTGCCAAATTGAGTTTGAAAATATTGATGATTGGATATCAATAAAAGATCAAATTTCATGTCTCTCTACTCCTCATCTTATCTCATCAAAATAAACTTTGAGTTGCTGGTTATCATAGTATTGATTAAAACGTGCTGACCCAGTTCCTTTGAATACCCTCACCCCGTCTCCAGTATTGCTAGTTCTTTCCATTCCATCTCTGGGATATTTAAAGAAGTCTGATGAGGTTAGCAGAGGCAGAGAGAAAGAAGCAAAGCATGGCATACGAGTTGGATTTGCCCTGAGCTCCACACACCACAGACAACGACGAGCCAGCTGGTTCAAACTCTGGATGACATCATCCAGAGGTCAAAACTGACCTGATTTCAAGCCCAACCACAGAGCAAAACCAAACCCTAATAAATACTTCCATTTTTCCTTCAGAGGATAGAGATTTCACTGAAAAGGTAATCCATGTTTTATTTTAGACACATTCAAGTACTTCCATTTAATTTAAGGAAACGATAATTAATTCAAAAAGCCATAAGAGCCTGTATTAAACTGAGCTCTCAGAGTGGTGCCTCTTGTGTGAGAGTGTGTGCGTGTGTGTGTGAGACCCAGAGGTGCTGGGTTGTCCATGTCTGGAGGGTCCAGTCACTGGTGGAGCTCCAGCCTACATTTGGCTGAGAAAGTGAGCACGGCCATTGTCCTCCAGACGGCGGGTGAGGATCTCACAGCCAGTCTCTGTCACCAGCAGGGTGTGTTCAAACTGAGCTGAACGCTTGCCGTCTCTGGTCACTGCTGTCCAGCCATCAGGCCACGTCTCATCTTGCCAGCCACCTGGAACACAAACACATGAGCTTTGGCTTTTACACCATCCACTGAAGAGTGTTTCAAAAACCAACGACTGAAGTCTGGCACTGACTGGGAGCCTGTTGTATCACAAAGTATATTTGAACTACAGCAAGGCAGTCAAGTGAAGTGCTTTCCTGTAATTGCCAAGCAGTAAGTGGTGTTCCAGTCGATTAGGCTTGGAAAAATGAGTTTTATTGAAAACTGACAAACTCGGCATAAAATAGAACATTTTTCTGCTTTTCATTGTGTCTCAAGACTTGATCCATGAACTAACAATTAAGTGGTCCTTTTCAGATCTAAAGATTTCTCCTGCTTGCAATTCCAGATACCATTTACACATCAAAAGTTGAGAAATAAAATGCAGGAATATTGATCTGAAAAATAATTGAATTTTCAACATTTTGGAGGTTTTTCTCACCCCCATCCGGTCTGCCTTGTTCGACTTAAAAGATCCTTACAACTTAACACTACTTATTGATCAGTTTTTGAGATAATATGTTTTGAGATCATCAGCATCTGCTGTTACCTGTCTTCACTAGGCCCACTGAAAGATTCAATAGCAATTCACATCAAAAAAAGTGACTGGCTGTATTTATTAACAATTTCTGTTATGGTGTATGAAATATATAGTTTCTGACATGCTCTGATGTCTATGAAATAACCTTCTGGTTTCATAGATTAAAACATTCTTCAAAAACATGTAACTGACTATGATAACCATATTTGTCGCACTGCCGTGTGCATTATCAAAAAATTTTTTTCATCAAATACAAAAACAAACAAATCAACATGGTTTAGACATTACATACTGACCACTGGCTATATTGGTCGACCACCAGTAGTCTCACTCACCTTCACATATCATGGGCTCAATGGTTAATACATGGCCAGGCTTCATGACTCCAACAGCTTTGTTTTCTGAAAATTCAATCATACAATTAAATGAGCCGGATGTATGAAACCATCGAAAGACTTTAAAAAGGATTGAATCATGTTCCTGCGGTTGGGATGCACCAACTTACTGGCATAGTGTGGCACATTTGGAGCAGTGTGGAAAAGTCTGTGGATCCCGTGGCCACAGTAGCTCCTCACCACAGAGAAGCCGTTAGCTTGAGCATGCTTTTGGATAATGTTCCCCAACTCTCTGTATCGAATCCCAGGCTTGACTGTAAAAGGAAAAAAATCAATATGCATGGCAGTTCAGTCTTGTTTTTCCAATGTTGTTCCTAGATGTGTTTGTGTTTTCACAATGAACAGGATCAGGAAGTGTATACTTCTGTGTGTATCAGATGTGCTTCACCGTCCCCCCTCTCTCATGTCTTTATCTTCATTCATCATGCAGGTAGGTGTACGCAGGTGGCTGTGTGACAACAGCCAATAGCTTAACTTTGGCATCTTTACCCAGTAGCCTGCAACAGTCTATAGCTTTAAACTGCTATCACACAAACTATATTACACAGCAGCATGTTTGCTTCCAATACTCAAGTGAAAGTCTCTAAGTGACGCTGTTCATGAAACGAAGCAGGTGCTGCAAAATTGTAGACTGTCAAAAAAACTACTCTGCTGATTGATAGAAGGGGGGTGGGGCATTTAAATACACTAGTAAGAAACACAAGGTTTTTTTTAAATCTGAAAATCATGTAATGCTATTAAAGAGGTATCAGAGAGGAGGTACAGTCTGAAAATAAAGAATTGTATCTTTAGACTCAATGCAAAATTTTAAGGCAGCCCCTCACTAACATTTTATATAGAAAAAGGAAGATAGAATTTACAATGTACAGCTTTGAACTGTAAATTACAACAAAAACAAAAATAAATTCCTACCAGAGTCGATGGCTTGCATAAGGCATTCATATGTGGTTTGAACCAGCTTCTTCGCCTCCTCATCCACATCACCAACAAAGAAGGTCTCGTTGAGGTCACCATGGAAGCCATTGTGGTATACAGTGATGTCCACTTTAAAATGGTATCAAATGTGGGTAAGAATCATCGTATTACAAACTACTCACGTTTGTGTGTAACAACAAAAGTACAAAAGTATAGAGCAGTATAAAACACTGAAGTCTGCTGAGTATACATTGATCCAGTTAACTAATCACATGGTCAAACAAAGTGCTGAGGTATTGTTGTTTTTAATAAAATCTGAATTCATTTTGGGCAAACAAAGACTCCTCCAACTTACAGAGGAATACAAAGAGTGCAGATTTTGAACCACAAGTCCCTGCTGTTAAAGGCTAATGAAACAATTTGTCTTGTCTGGACCATGCAGTGTTAGATGAGCTGTTGGCAGGTACTCCATCAGACACTGAGGGGAGTGGCGGTTGAGAGACAACGCCTTGGCAGAATATTCATAAACAGGCTAAATCAAGCCAAACTCCTGCTGATACCACTTAAGGATGTTTGTATCACCCATTTGTCATGAAAGAGGAGGATTCTTTTCTTTTCTCCACTTTTAAATCTTTTTTCTTCACCCAAACTGACCCATTGCTTGAACTTGATTTAACATTGAAAATACAATCATGAAATACTTGTTTGTGTTAAATAGTTCGTTTAAAAGAAAGTTTATTTCATGTAAAAAAGGACTAATAAAGTTGTAATAAACCTTTAAACATGTGAAAAACAAATCACATCATATGTGGTGAAATAAACATACCATTAAGGATATCTCCTTCTTGTAGTTGTCTTCTGTCTGGGATTCCATGGCAGATAACTTCGTTGACAGATGTGCAGCAGGATTTGGGAAAATTGTAGTAGTTGAGGGGTGAAGGGTAGCATTTCCTCGCTGAACAAGCCTGAAAAGACGGGATTTATTGGATCATTGATATTGCAGCAAAGCACCAAGTAAACAATACTAAACATAACTACATAGTGACCCCCCCACCCCCATTTGTAGCAGCTGTACGGTTTACTGTAGTTGTATGACACACACTTATTCTTGAAGTCTTATCTAGGACTCACTGAAGGAATTTTTAAAGACTGTTAAGTGAAAGGGAGGGGGTTATAATCTGCTGAAATTTAATTTCAAATTTCATGGTTTTCACTCATCAACAAAAAGATTTGAATTCCTATTTGTAGAGTGAAACCATAGACCAGTTTGAATAAAGAGTTGAAATAATGCCTGGACAAAAATCTCTTTAAATACAAGGATAAAGAAATGGTTTTCAGAAGATATAGGAATGAAGGTGTTTGACAATCTCAGGGTGTTTTTGTCTGTGGCTGTATATATGGCTGTATAGATTAATGTTGATAAGGAAGTCAAGTAATATTTAATGGACATTGAGTGGGATGAAATAAGTGTTACTTTTTACAACTCCTTTTCAGATATGCAGACCATAGTTTTCATTTTCATAATGTATATTTTTTCATATTTGTCAGTTTTAAATTGTATTGTTAAGTCTGTCCACTACTGTATGACAACAGTAGTCATGTATTTTATTTTTATTTATTTATTTTACATGTCACGAAATCAGAATCAGAAGGGGTTTTATTGCCATATTCAATGAACAGGATTCACAGACTAGGAATTTTTTTATGGCGTGATGGTGCAACATTAAACAGAGAATAATATATAAAATACTAGAATAGAAAATAATAAGAGCATGCAGGACATGTATAAAGTATAAAGGTATAAAAGGCTATGTACAATGCTATGTACAGTAATTATAACAGGCTATGTACAACTACACAATACAGAACAACAGTGCAGTGGGAGGAGTGCAATTAAAAAAAAAAGGTACATTAAACTAAAGTGACCAGTGATAAAGTGACTGAGTTAAAGTGACTGAGTTATAAAGTGTACAAACAAATAAATAAATATACAAACAAACAAATAAGGCAAGTTTACTAATTTTTGGACAGCTGTCATTAATTTAAGAACACTGAATGACATTGTGTAAGGGATACTGGGTGCAAGATAGGACAAAAATGTTTGTTTGTGTAATACATACCAAATGCACAGCATGATCGATTTCTTCTGTTGTTACACCTGGCTTCACCATCATTGCTGCAATGTCTAGGACTTCTCGTGCCAACTGTAATTAACACGACGAAATCAATATACAGTTAATGGAATATAAACTTCTGAACCCTAATACAGTCAACAGTCAAAAACAGTTACCTTGCACACTACTCGCATTCCTTCAATGTCTTCAGGAGAAAGGATCTTGATTTGTGACGTACCCTTCAGAAACTGCTCAGACTCAGATATCCCTGAGTGAAGGAAACAAGGACAGACAGATACCATTACTTACATGTGAAAAATAACACCTATGACTTGAAAGAGAACGTGTAAAGCAGCTCTATACCAGCTCTTACACACAGCATTAACTTGGACTATCTCTGCTGGATTTACATACTTCCAGTTTTGCTTTGAACACAAGTTAAATTTTTATTTGAGTATAAAGGCAGACTAATTCATCATCTTAGCCGTAACACTGTAACATGTAAAGTGATGCCTTCATATGTTATAGACCTATTTGTTAGTTACTGCAAGACAATAACAGTAACAATAACAGAACTGGTTGTTACTTTTGATTTCCAGCCTGCACACAGTGCCAGTACTGGGGACACCTGCAGGCTGGATTTCGCCTGGGGCCGTTTAATAGTCCACACCTACACCACATGTAGTAGGAAAAGATGTTTTTGTTCATGTATACATATATACATAAATACATATATATATATATATATACACACACAAATAGTTTTTTAAATAAATGTTGGCTGAAGCACTTGAGTCATCAACAACTTGCTCATAAATAATTTATAATCCCAAGAAGATGACTGCTGAATGAACAGAGACAGTTGCCTAGCAACACAGACTTTGGTAAGGATCATGTACACGACAAAGACAGCCCTTCTTTGGACCTTAAGAGCCTACAATGTGAGTGAAACAATACCACAAAAACATGCTTTGATAGTGCTGCTTGGAAAGAAGCATTGCATAAAACAAAATCAGAGCATTTACATCATGATGAATGATCTGAAATAGGTTAGGTCCTCTTTGTGGATAGCTTTTTCCTGGTAACTATCTGACATGTTTTTAAAAAAGCTTTTAATTTGACTTTAGCAAAGAATGAAGCTACATCTTGAAGGTGAAATAGCCTGTAACATTTTGTGCCTTAGGTCTTGTGATGCACCACTGGAGAATAAAAAGGGAACCGTATCCATGACTACCTGAGCATGGATCTATGCAGTCAGATGACAAGGATGTAGAGGTTGCCATGGTTGCTCATCGAATAATTTGCCCAGAGATATAGACATAAATAAGACAGGTAACAATAACAGGTGTGGACCAATTACTAACGAGAAGCCCACTAGTCTAAAAAACAAACCAAGGTGAGAATAGAGTTTCAAAGAATCAAAATCAACAGATGTATTCGAAACAAGAGATTATTATCAGAGTCTTACCACCATAATATAAAATTGTGCGTACATGTAATTACATACAAAAATAAACTGAACTGAAATATAGTGATGTATTGATGTGTATTTTAATTGTCATTTTTATTGTTCTGTAAGGTGACCTTGAGTTTCCTAAAAGGCACCAATAGATGAAATGTTTTTTGATTATGACTATTATGATTAATATTATAATTATTATTATACCTACCTACATTTCATTAAAATCTACATTACATAAAGTACACAAAAACAAAAAAAAACATGCAAGAAATGTTCCAGACTTGAATAATAACAAGTGATATCTTTAGTACATAGATTTCTATTTAAATTGCTAAAAAAATAAATAAATGAAAAACTTGTAGAGCATCTGTTCCTCTTCCTCATTAGGGTTCTCTGTGTTTATTAACACAGTCTGCTGTGGCAATGACACCTTGCCCTGTAATATACAGCGTGAAGCCAGAAATCAATGATACATCAGCATATCTGTTTATGTTCTATTCTCACTTATTCTCTCCCTAGATCAGACTTCCTTATGTCCTCTCTGGTGTTAAGATTTTATACACGTAATTAAGCTTTCTCCATACTGTCAAAAGGCAAGAAAAGTGATAGCTTCTACTTTTGTGCACCCATGCTAAGTGATAAAGTGGGTTGTGTTCTTAAACAATCTGAGGATACTCTACGACAGCAAAGTGAATCCGCCGACCATTCATACACTTTTCTTGTTTTCCATACGTAATCTAAAACCAATTAATTTATGTGTAATCTGCACTGACTTTAAACCCCTCTGTATGTAATCTAACAGAGAAGTCTGTCGTTGTCTATCTTTATATGTGTTGCTTGTAGCATGACATCCCAGGTTAAATATGAACCCTGTCATGCCACTGCTTTAATTGTCTTGTTGATACTTTGCCTAGATGTTTGTGTGTGTGTGTGTGTGTGTGTGTGTGTGTGTGTGTGTGTGTGTGTGTGTGTGTGTGTGTGTGTGTGTGTGTGTGTGTGTGTGTGTGTCTGTTGAAACCCACCTTTTGAGTCAATCTATAGTATTTAAATAGCTCATGGTTATTCAGTGTATATTTCCCAAAATCCACGTGTTTAAAGTGGAGCTGGAAGACAGACCAAATCAATGCCAAAAAGACAAAAAGATATCAATGCTTCCCAAGCGGACAGTCAGCAGACATGATAAATTTTGGGTGGGGGGGTGTTGGACCATGTTCCTGTATAAGGGCTTTCATTGTTCATTGTTTCCTGTAGTTATTATGCAGATGTGTAGCCCTCTGGTACCATTTTTATCATCTTCCTGTCAGCCACCTGTACAGGGTTGAGCTTTGCCCACAGAAGCACTAATAGCGAGGAACGATCTGTGCTACTCTAATTCTGCTGGTCATTTATCTTAAATTGAGGACTCTTAAATCAAAACAGCACTCCACAATGTTTATTTACTTATTTCAAAAGTTCACACTGTAGGACTAGTCTTGGTATGTGTGTATGCCATGTATCCAGCATGGCTGGGTACAACACTAAGACTACACAAAAAAGTTCTCTCTGCATTTGATTCTGGTTCAATGTTTGCACCGGTGTATAGGATGTGGCTTTGTCGACGACAAACAAGCTTTTGAATCCCAAGTTCACAAGAAGTAGCATTGTTACCTCTGGGATGATCAGAGTAGTCAGGTCTTTGGATGTCACCCGGTACAAGCCTCATGGGAGTCTACGGAAGGTGTAAAGAAGAGGACATGAAATTTATCATTTCATGCAATGGCTGAAGGGGGTGTTCACATAACCAAGTAACTCATGAAATAGTGTGTGAAGATAGTCTTTCAAAAGGAGAGAGCATGCTTGAAAAAAGGTCAGAAAGAATCAAAGACTTGAGGATTTTCCCAATTAATCATAAAGTTGACCAAGAACAGCCTCAGTGATTTCATAAAATGAGAGACTGTTCACATCCCATGTTGTTGTTTTTTTTAAATAACCTCTTCTTTTTTATAGAATGGTGACATGTTGAATGGACTATATAAAAGATAGTACATTTACCATTTAATCATCAATTAAAAAAGATTAATCAACTCATCAGATAATACACTGCATACTTATTTAATTGCTCTTATTTGGCGGTCAGCTTTCAAATTCAATAATGCTTTTTTCATTTTACAATATACCAGGGTTTCACCCATATATCATTGATTGTGGCACACCACCACAGCAAAATAAAAGCCACCACACCTTACAAATTAGAGTTTTTTTTACGTGGCGTTACCTGGGACTCAGTATGTATCAGTATATGTGAGTTGCCATGTGCAATCACTCAGCACGTTTATTAGTAGATGAGATGAGAATGCAGCTGAGAGCACAGGGAATTGAGTTCCATCTGACGTTTATGTCCAGAAAGAGATAACGAAATAAAATAAAATAAAATAAATACAGCTATAGTGTCTACAGTAGGAATGTTTAACCTAGAAGAAGGATCATTCTTCTATACTTAGTATGTCAGTAGGGAAAGCTCAGCAGTACTGTATTGGTGGAAAGTCTGAACTTGACCATCCAACTATGGTATGAAAATCCAGATATTATACAAGTTTAAGACCTTGATACCAATTATTTATTAATTTAAGTAGTTTAAAAGTAGAAGAAAATACAAAAAGTAATTGCTGAAATGACTAAAACTAGACAGACAGTAAAAAGCGCAAAACTGTCTTAATTGTGACTCAAACTAAAAGCCATTTTGGTTTCAAGCCTAAAACCAAATCTAAAACAGCTGCCAAAGTTAACACTGATTCCAAGGTAAGGTCAATCGAAGTTGCAAAGGAGACAACTCACCCAATGACTGTGAGCATTTTGAGAAACCAGGGTTTTCAGCAGAAAACCTGCACAAGGCAGCTAACAGAGTTTATGTGTACAGCAAAAAGTGAGACAGTTTCCCATCTAAACCATGATGGGATTTGACTGAAAGAGCACACAGCTCTTGGGATTACTTGTGTAAATCAGAAATTTGCAAATGGAGAAAAGACATGTGTCTTGAAGTGTAAAAGAGAGTTAAATGTGGTAAATTGTATTTTTCTCCACCTTCTATGACAAAATAGGAACAAGCTAATATTTGAAGGGCAGCAGCTGCGTTATGTGCATGTCAATCAGAATAGTCAATAAACAAATTGTTGTTTCTGTGTTGATAATGTTTCAGAGAAGAACCTTAAGCAATCTCGTGGAAAGTAGCCTGTACAACATAAAATAAAAAAGACAAATGGTATTAATTTGTGTTTTTAAAACTAGGGTAACTCTGGCATCTCACTTACTCTTCTTGCTGTAACCTGGATAGATATCTATTTAAGACAGAGTGTGTGTGTTTTTCTCTACTTTGTTGGAGTTTTGACAGGGTCAGGGAGGGTGTTACATGCATTTCATGGGCCATGCAAGAACTCACCAGTGGATAGTGAGGGCGTAGTTTTCCTGTGTAGCGGTAGCCTGGCCATGGGTCTGTATTAACGTCTTTCTCCACACAGTTCTTGGATTCATTCTGGTTCTTGTCCTCCTCTAAAAATAAAACAACACAAAGTCTCTGAAGCATTTATCACCACTGTGCTGGTCAACAGTTAAGATTTCCCTATTTTTTTTTTATCTCTGCTTAAATTAAGCTGCTTAATTTCACACACTACGACTTGATCAAAGTATTTTGAACCAAAATAAATTTTAATTTAAATGTATTCATTAGTGTTTCACAGTCAAACTTGATAGTGAAAACTCAAAGAACAGGTGGTAATTAGTCATACATACTTGCTTTTTTGTGCAGCAGCTTGTGAGATACCCAGCTTCCTTTGAAACATTCCTGTGATAAAAACCCAGACACATACCAACTATAAACAGGGATTGACATAAACAGTGAGGCAGATGCTTGGTATACATCACAAGAAAATCACATCAAATAAAAAATCAATTTATTTTTGTCTTACAGTTACAAAAGATTATTTACTTTGTGCAGATGCATGACCCATCATAATCAAACCCAACAAAACCACAACCACTCTGGCATCTTCTGCACTTCCACTGGCCCTTTTGCAGGACAATTAATAGAAAGAAAGAAAGAAAGAAAGAAAGAAAGAAAGAAAGAAAGAAAGAAAGAAAGAAAGAAAGAAAGAAAGAAAGAAAGAAAAAGAAAGAGTGATCGTGTAGCAGGGTGAGGTAACACAGCTGAGACCGCAATTGCACCAAGGACCTTAAGGCCACTGCATAACTTCACAAGATCATGTTACTAGAGGAAAGACGATTGCTCAGTCAGCCAATTAATAGCAGTTTGACAGGATCACCATCAAATCAGCATCAGCCCTCAACAAAGCCGATATCACCATAAGCTTCCAAATGAAAAAGGCAGCATATCAAATATCAAGAAGGCACTGGCTAGTATTTAATTCAAACTCAAATTAATGTTGAAAATAATGGAGTTTAAATAATGTTTTGATATCAAAATACTGAATTGAAATCAATCAGTAAGAAAAAAGAAAAAAATAAACATGGTGTGACTTGACAGAAGCCCTGGCACTAATTTTATGGTGGACAACTTCACTTTTGAGAGTCCATCTGACCTTACACCAGTTGTACTGAATGGAAATATTGCTCAGCAGGACAACTCTTCAGTTGTCAGCAACTTCCCTTCCCCAAGTTTGTGGGTGTTGGAATGCATCTGAAGTTTTAAGCTGTCATATTCAGAAGTAGTGTTACAAGAATGAATAAGAATGTAAGTGAGGGTGGACATGATGGCAGAGCGGCATTAAACATTCACACTTTAACTTTCTATGACTGATTTAAACCTTAACTATCATTCATTCTAATGCGCAGTAACCTGTTACCCGGCTTAAGTTTACAGGTTAACACTTTTAACCACATACCTTTACAAGAGACTTTTTGATTGACAAGGAACATTGTATTTCTCACTTCAGCAAACCTGTCGACAGCTAGCTAAGGCTAGCCTATCGTTTTCCCGAGGCCGTGTCGCTGGTAAAGCATCTGTTACAATCACTTACTGCATTATGCATACTGAGCAATCTGTATACAGTTACAAAAACAGAAAGCACGAGTTATCTTTCTCATTTTGGCGTTTAAATTGTTCTCCAAACACCTACACATGTCCACCTAGCTTGACAATTAGCAGCCTCGTGATGAAACGCCGGGCCCTAGTGTGTTGATCATAGCCGATATTTACACTTCACAAAACCACAAAGCAACAGTACCTGGGAACAGAAATATGACCCTTGAATACCAAGCTTGATACATGTGGGACACTGAAGTTTAGCGTCCTTGCTGCAGCCCTCTGTTTCACACTCCCTTCTAGCCTCGGTGCTCGCCATGCCTTCGTCTGCAGGAGGGGTGGAGTCGCAGAGAAACAGCCAGCCAGCGGCAGCACACAGCGCATGTCCGCAGCGGGGGCGTCACGTTGGACAGCTTCGTCCAATCACCATCAACTTTTCTAACACAGATTTGTAAGATGGCGACCGCCGAACCGGTGAGCACTTTCTCTAAAGAACATATCAAAACAATTGAGAGGCTGTTATTGGTGAATATAAGACTAGTTCACATTGGAAGTTTCAGTATAACTTTTATTAAGTCTCCATGAAAGGAAATTGACTGTTGTTTCAGCCACACGTGCTGTCTTGAGTAGTTTCAACTTTGCCTGCTGTGCCACGACCCAGGCGTCAAAAGGGAACGCTCGTGAGTGTTCCCAACTTTAAGGCTGACGTTATGGCTCACCGACGTGCCATTCACCTCTGTGATGAGAACCACCACCAACTTCCCGGACGAAATTCATTAATGGGTCGTAGTTAATTGCAGGGGTTGTAAACACGCAAGACATATTTATTTGTAATGAACTACCAGTAAATTTAACGCTTAATTAATAGTCGAATAATGAAATAATCGCGTTGGATTTCCAGTTCCGTCCCCACCGACCTTCACAGAAACTAGTACTCAAGACGTTAATGTTTAAGTAAATTCAGCCGAATCAAGATGGCGAGAAAGCTGAAGGGTCTGCTTTTCTAAATGTTTTTACCAGTGAACAGCTGGGTGCAGTTTGTCTAATCTGAGTGAGAGCGCACGTCTTCTGTTTAAGGTTATGTCAGAAAATTAACTTGAGAACTCGAAGCAGGATTACTTCAGTTACTAACATCCCAGGAACAAACACAACTGTGCTTAACTCCTCATTTATATAGCTGCTGTCAAACAGGAGGCGGTCATGTTAGCCGAGCTTCACCAAATGTGTAAAAGTGAAATGTGTAGCAGATGTTGGTGGTCGCTTTTCGCTACGTCGAGCAATATACAGTCTATTTTAAGTCTTTGCAAGTTAAGGAAATTTAGGTAACACTTAACGTGAGCCCACCTCTCCTAATGCACCATAAGTATATTTGTAAAACTTTATAAATGCATCTTAAAGGCTTTATTAAACTTTTTATCAGCCTTATAAGCATTCACAATATCTTAGAGCAATGTTTCTTAAGCGTTAACAGCAGTGTGTGTCATGTCTTATAAGTGTATGGTTTATAATGCTAGAGAAAAAACAATCATTAAAAATGTATTTTTGTTGTGGAGTACTTCTCTCTGGAACTTGACTTAGAAAATACTCCTTTGTATTAAGGTATGTTACATTAAAAACCATAATTTCACGAGGTATTATGCTCACTGTTATAACACCTCATAAACGTTGCTATAAGATGTTATTAATGCTTATTATAAGGGTTGTTCTTAAGCTGTATAAATGCATTTGAAATGCATTATAAATGTGTATCTGTGTGATGGACGGTCAGTTCATAAAAAGTGTTTGCTTGAGAATAGGTTGCTGTATTTTTTGCACTGTCATATGTTTCTTTACTTTGGTTTGTCATGACACCAACTATAAGTTTTAATGGCTGACTGGTGTATTATGAGTCCACAACTTCGGAGTCATTATTCAGGATATCCCTGTCGCTGTTGTTTATAATGATTACAGAATAATCCTTATCACTTAAAATTAATCTGGGAAAGGAATTCTACTGTCTCCTCAATGTATTTCACCTCAAATGATTTCTTTTAGGAAAGCAACCCAAGTCCAACCCAGACTGATGAAGATGGAGCAGAGGAATCTGGGCAGGAAATTGTAAACCCTGAGGCATACATCAAACACCCCCTCCAGAACAGGTGGGACTCTGAAAAAAACTTTTTTGACACCTGTTTCAGGGGTCAGTTTAAGGATAAGAGAATGACATGTTTAGTTTAGGTATGGTTTAGTGCTATTTTACCTTCACATAAATGTTTCTAGTTGGCAAAAGTTTTAGTTATATTAAAACACAAAATTATTTAACCATTTTTTTTGTAAAAAAAAACTTTAATGTATAAGTTAAGCCCCACAGGAAATACAGGTTTATGCTGTTATTGCCTTCTATGGTGTGAATATTTGCTGATTTTTCAATTTTTTTTACAACATATACACTAACTATTAAAGTGATTAAAGCGATTCTTTTGACAGAACATTTGAAGAAGTGACCCTTAAAAAAGAAAAGAGTGTGCATTTAAAATAAAAAGCTTTTGATTTTTCATGAACAATGAATGAAATAGTCTGTTGCCATAACTATTTGCCATTCTCATGTAAGTTGTGTTCAGGTTAAAACCAAGCTTTGCATTTATTTGATCTACTTGTAATTAGACTTCTAGTTTTCTGGTTTGACAGTTTTATCTCAAGCACTCTGGATGACAGTTGTTATGCTACTGAAATGAAAATGTCATGTTTTCCTGTTGTTGTCAATATTAACTTGTCACTCAGTTGTTAGATCAGTAAGCATGGTTCAAAAATTCTATGACCCTACTTCCAAATATCTGAATGATGGCACAAAACAAAACAAAAACCATGTCATGCTTTGCTTAAATCCAGAAAACAAAGTAGTCAAATTGTTTGAGCATTGTATAAGGTAAAATCATGCAAAAGAAAAGGCTATGAGAAGTACAAAATATACTTCACTCCAGGTATCAACACGTTTGCTATATATTTGAGAAAAAAAATCATGCTTGAGTAGAAAGACAACTTAAATAGGGTTGAAAATATCTGCAAATGATTTTCGAAAGGTTGAGTGTACACTGATAATTTCTTAAATTACCAGTGTCTTTTATCCACTTTAACAGTGATTGAAAGTGTAGCATAAAAATGTGATAATTCATATTTCTGTTTCCAGAGATGATGACTTATTGGTATGTAGTGTCACTTGTGGTTCGGATCTTTTCTGTTTGTTTTCACTTTCTTCAAGTATTACAGTGGATTTTCTCTCACCGTCCAAACAAAGACAGTCTGATGGACTGCAGGTTTTATATCCCCACAGTATTATTGTGATTGTGTTTGATGGGTCGTTGACATGTCCAGTGTGTTTCAGTATTTTCTTTCAGTCCATAGTCAGGTGCGGTTTCGGATTCCTACTGTACTGAATGCAAATGTGCAACAATTGAATATTTTCTGTGTATTTAAATCCCACCAAGATGTTTTTCTTCACAAGGATCAGACATCAAATCCAATCAAAATGCTAAAATGCCTAGGCAATAGTTAGACCTATACCACTATAATGTAATTTCAAAGTTTAATTGGTGGGTTTGCAGCACAGATTAAAGTTGATGTTTGCAGAAACTAATATTAAAGTAGTTACTGTAATAATAATAAAAAAAATTACAAAAGCTTCAAATTTTCACTTGTCTGGAACAATGAGTTTGATACTTAAATGAAGAAGTTTTCATGTTAATAGTCATTTAGTTGTAAATCGAGTTATTTAGTCTACAGCCACTTTTTTACAAGATCCGCCTGCTATTATACGGTATAATCCGGTGCATAAGCATTTATGAGAAGGCAAATAAACACTTTGAGGTCAATCTATGGCTGGTTTAAACCAAAAACAACAATAAAGGAAACTGTTGTTCAGCTTGGCAGAGAACACCAATGTACAAGCCGACTTATTTCATCAGGTTATTATTAAATCTACACTAGCTAGTTTAAGAAAATAAGGCACATCGCCCTTTTCAACAGTCAGTCAGCCTGCTGGTAGGGTCATTTGCTGACTGTCAGCAAGCCAAAAGCAATTACTATCCCCACAAGTCTATGCATGTTATAAAGAGGGGTTTTACAGAGAGTGTTACTTTGTGCTGTTACTTTGCTGAAATTGTTCTTTTTTTACCTATTTCTTTGGGCTCTTTTCTTTTTTGTCTTTTTTTTCTTTTTTTGTCTGTCTAAAAATGCAGTTGTAGCAAGTAACTCACTTTCCTCATTAATATTTAAAGACATTGTAATCAGCCACAGAGAAGCCTAGAAAGGAGGCAGTTCAAAAAAAAAAGAGACAGACTGTACTGTCTACTTGCACTGGTGCAATCTGATCTTAAACCATTTCATCTTCAATCTTTAGTCTGAATTTGACAGCTATTGATTGAATGGATCTTAAAAATATATGCTGAAATGTTATAGCCTTGAATTTGCCAGTTTGATAGAACACCAATACAGCTGTAATTCCAAAAAAGTTAAGACTCTGTGTAAAATGTTAATACAAACAGATTTGATTGCTTAAAAATCATTTTAAGACTGTATTTGATGTATGATTGTGCATTTCATAACACTTTGGACCGGAAATGTCTACCATTGTGTTGCACATATATACTTTTTCATTGTATTGTTGGCCGTGTTTCAATTTTTTAAATCACCGTTTTCCACCGTGTTTTGAATTATTTTGAATTGGGGTTGAATATTCACACAAGTAAAAAGGAATGACATACAAATGTGGACTGAACTGTGATGAGCTATGATAGAGTTGGCAGAGACCTTTATTTCTACACCTATTGTATGGAGCTTGAGATAGTTGATGAGTTTTGAGATATTTCATTTTAAAAAAGACACCATTTCACAATAGAGTCGTTTCTGATTCAGAACCAAGATATATCCATACTTCACTCTTTTCCAAAGCTCAATGGCGTTTGAGTACCTTGGTTTACCTTGTGTACCTTTTATCATGAACTTATTACACTTACGTAAATATCTTTTTTTTTTTTTTTTTACCCAACAGGTGGTCCCTGTGGTTCTTCAAAAATGATAAGAGCAAAACATGGCAGTCCAACCTGCGACTCATCTCTAAATTTGACACAGTTGAAGATTTCTGGGCGTAAGAGCAGTTGATATCTCTGAGTGTCAAGTGTTTTTTGTGCAACCATGAAGCAACTGTCACTAAATTGTCATGATGTTTTTTTTATTGTAGGGTAGTCACACTGGTGTGTAGCATGTTATATAAATAAATAATATATAAATAATGCTTTTCCCTCTTCATTTCAGTCTCTACAACCATATCCAGTTATCAAGTAACCTCATGTCAGGCTGTGATTACTCCCTATTTAAGGTAAATGTACATCATCATATCATTACCCTCATTCACAGTAGTTGACATCATTCATGCTTAAGTAGAAGTGAATTAAAAGTAGTTTACTATTGTACAATTATAGTTTCATAAAGGCATATTCTGTCAGTTTTTTACAAGCTCTGCTGTGTGAGTCAGATTACTAAGGCAAAGCTTGTGTAGAAGAGCAGATACACAACTTCCAATATTCAGCACCTGCTAGGTTCACATGAGTATTCAAGCTGCAAACCTTAAAGGCAGATTTAAGCATTTACTGCCGTTATCATTTCAAAGTTAGAACAGATACATTAGCCTTACAATTGAATTTCTCTTTGGGGATCAATGAAGTTCTTCTTGTCTAATTTGATCTCATCTTAAGGCAATGTTCAATCATGCTGACGACTTACTCATAAAGAAGAAGTTTTGCTGCTGTAGTTTGTGATGTGTGTTGACATTTTGAACTGTTGCTACAGGATGGCATTGAACCCATGTGGGAGGACGAGAGGAACAAGCGTGGTGGCCGCTGGCTGATCACACTCAACAAGCAGCAGAGGAGATTAGACCTGGACCGCTTTTGGCTGGAAACTGTAGGTTTGGCCTCTCTGCTGTGTTAACATTGTCCCCTAGCCTTTTTTTAATGTTGTTGCACTCACTCTAAATGTCAGTAAAATCATTTGCACGAGTGAATTACATGTAAATTCAAATAAAAATATTGTCATTTAGAACATTTATGGAAAATGGAAAATGGTCGAAATACCAAAAAAGGTCCTGTGTTTTCAGACCTCAAATATTCCCCCCAAAATGTTCATATTCATTTTTACATAACACATTACTCATGTTTTAACTTGAGTATTTGAATTGTTCAGAAATCAATATTTGGCGGAATAACACGGAATCGCAATCACAGCTTTCACACACGTTCCTTGTGCAGTTTAGCTTTTCGAACAGTTCAGCTTTGTTTGATGGCTCGTGACCATCCAACTTTCTCTTGATCACATTCCAGAGGTATTCAATGGGGTTCAGGTCTGGCCATAACAAGGTCTTAATCTGGTAGCCTGGCTGGGCCATCCTGTTGCATGAATCAGTTGACGTTCTTTCCCACCACAGTCTGGACTTCGGCCCATAGGGAGCGTGTATTTATTCCCGATCAGAAAATAACCGGGCCAATCAGAGACCGTGTTTCCACTGTTACCCGGACAACAGGGAATGGCAGCCCCTGATTGGTCCATGTGTAGATGGTGACGTCTAACACATGCTGCAGGACTTTTCAAAGCGCCGTTCATTCAAAACGCCGTTATTTCTGCAGTTTACTCTGCAAAGTCGGCAGAAATCGTTTAGATCCGACGTCTTCTGCGGATATAAATGATTTCTGTCGACTTTGCAAAGTCAACTGCAGAATCAACGGCGTTCTGAATGAACGGGGCTTTGAAAAGTCCCGCAACATGTGTTAGACATCACCATCTACACATGGACCAATCAGGGGCTGCCTTTCCCTGTTGTCCAGGTAACAGTGGAAACACAGTCTCTGATTGGCCCTGTTATTTTCTGATCGGGAATACACGCTCTCTATGGGCCGAAGTCCAGACTGTGGTGGGAAGGAACGTCAAGTGATTCATGCAACAGGATGGCCCAGCCAGGCTATTAATCTGGTTGTCCTTCATCCACACCTTGATTGACCTGACTGTGATGCATTGTCCTGCTCGAAAAACCACTCCTCAGAGTTGGAGAACATTTTAAGAGCAGAAGGCAGCAAGTTTTATTCCAGGTTAACCTTGTAAGTGGTTTGATTCATGTGTCCTTCGCAAAGACGAATCTGCTCAACCACAGTCTTGCTGAAACATCCCCAGATCATCACTGATTCTCCCGCAATTTCACAGTGGTTGCAAGACAATGTGGCTTGAAGGCCTCTCCAGGTCTCTGTCTAACCACCAGTGACAAGGTGTTGTACAAAGCTGGAAATTATAGTCATCAGAGAAGATGACTTTACTCTAGTCTTTTTCAGTCCCATCCTTATGGTCTTTTGCAAACTTCAGCCTGGCTCTTCTTTGCCTCTCTTAATAAAAGGGCTTTTTTCCTCGCTTTACACGACTTAAGCCCTGCCTCAAGGAACCTGTTTCAAAACTGTTCTTGCTGTGCACTTCACCGCTGCCATTTACTGCTATTTTTGTAGGTCACTTGAAGTGATCCTACGGTTCCTGAGTGACATTCGGATGAGGTGGCAATAATCCCGGTCAGTGGAGAGTTGTTTTCAGCTCTGCCAGAGTGTAGCTTTGTTGTTCCCAATGTCTGCTGCTTGACCTTGTTCTTATGAATTGTTGTCTTAGAGATGTTAAGGATGGAAGCAACCCAACGCTCACTGTATCCCTCTGTCAGTAAAGCTTGAATTAAACCTGTCTTTTCCTCACACAAAACCTTTTTTTTAATTTCATGGTCAACAGTTTGTTTTTATTCCAGTTACTGTTTGATGTATACTAGCACTGTTTTTGCCATCCAGTTGGTCCTATTGAAAGAGGATAGTGATGACCACAGCAATGGATTTTATACTTTTCCTTCTTAATTCAGATTTAGTTCAGGTGATAACCTCATCAGTACCTTATGGACAATGTGGCTCCGCCTACCACCATTGTACTTTTTCCAGGATTTTCTCCACTTCCTGAAACCAGCATTTGCACAGTAGTGGTCAGCGAGAGCGTCACCACAGTGACTCTCTCGCTGACAGGGAATGGCAGCCCCTGATTGGTCCATGTATAGATGGTGACGTCTAACACATGCTGCAGGACTTTTCAAAGCGCCGTTCATTCAAAACGCCGTTATTTCTGCAGTTGACTCTGCAAAGTCGGCAGAAATCGTTTAGATCCGACGTCTTCTGCGGATATAAATGATTTCTGTCGACTTTGCAAAGTCAACTGCAGAATCAACGGCGTTCTGAATGAATGGGGCTTTGAAAAGTCCCGCACCATGTGTTAGACATCACCATCTACACATGGACCAATCAGGGGCTGCCTTTCCCTGTTGTCCAGGTAACAGTGGAAACACAGTCTCTGATTGGCCCTGTTATTTTCTGATCGGGAATACACGCTCTCTATGGGCCGAAGTCCAGACTGTGGTGGGAAGGAACGTCAAGTGATTCATGCAACAGGATGGCCCAGCCAGGCTATTAATCTGGTTGTCCTTCATCCACACCTTGATTGACCTGACTGTCAGGAAGAGGATTTTCTCCACTTCCTGAAATCAGCATTTGCACAGCAGTGGTCAGCGAGAGAGTCACTGTGGTGACGCTCTGCTCAAACAGCATATTGCTGGATGATCTATGCAATCTTCTTATCCCCATATGCGATATCGCGCCTCAATCATAGAAAACGTGAACCCCTAATAATCTGTGACAATTGTTTGTAACTTTTGAGACTCCTGATGACATCTCTACTAAGGCTTGAATTTGTTCGGAAGAATTACAGTGATTTTGTGTTCTCAAAAAAATACCTTAAACCACAATTAAATTTTTGTTATAAATTTTTGTTGTTGATTATGATTTTTTTTTTCATTTTTCTTTGTCCCTTCACCAGCTTCTGTGCTTAGTTGGAGAGGCATTTGATGACTACAGTGATGATGTATGCGGAGCTGTGGTCAACATCCGCACAAAAGGAGATAAAATAGCCGTATGGACATCGGACTTTGAGAACTGGGAGGCTGTGACACACATAGGGTGAGACAGATTCCTCCTCTCTATGTAGATGTTTTAATTCTTTAGTATATGTTGTATTGTGAACCTTCTGACACTGATTTTATCCTGTCAACAGGCGAGTTTACAAAGAGCGCTTGGGGCTTCCCACGAAGATGACTATTGGCTATCAATCTCACACAGACACGGCTACCAAGAGTGGTTCAACCACCAAGAACAAATTTGTTATTTGAGATCTACCTTATGTGCCTTTTTAATTTTTCTTGTCTTATTTGTCATTGGTGCAAATGTTTACTTTAATGCAAAGACTCAGCAGAATGCAATCTGGAAATTACAACCACAGGCTACATGTCAAATGTTTTCCATAACCTCCCCAGGACTTGAAACACAGAAAAGAATCATGGAAAACAGATGACCAATGAATCCTTCAAAACACTAGCAATAAGAAGTATTAATTGTGGATGACACTTAGAAAAATGCACACTCTACAAAAGAAATTTGTGTTGATTTACTTTTAAATCAGAGAATGCTGTATGCAAAAAAATGAATATTTCCCTCTTGTGTTCTTCAGCAACGTTCTTTTGCTGTAATCTTTGATAACATTTAACCCTTTTAATTTATTATAAATTTTTTCCTGCATACAATTAGATTGTTAGGCTTTTGTTTTATGTTTTTTTTTGCCTTGAACTGTTGCATGTAATCAACTTTTTAAAGTATTTCATGGCTTATATTCATTTGAGTGTTAATATAATTGAAACATTGGTTTTGCAATTATAAATAGTCAAACTGTAAATATCCATTAGTTTTTCAATCTGTGGTTGGCACATTTGTTTTAAATGTTTTTTACAATGTGGATGCACTGTGGGATACAGCCTTTATTAGCTACAGAGGCTGTAATACACCATCCTGTTGTTTTCTCTTGGTGATAGACATAATGGCGACACAATCACTGAAAACAAAAAATATTTCCTGGGGAATTCATCATTTGTAGGTGTAGATCCGAAATTGAAACCCACCCACACCAAAATCCTCAGATCCATAAAGATCACATTATAATAAGAAAGGAAAAGGTTACTTTTGCCAACATGGCTCCCATCTCTGCCTAAATGTCACTTCAACATGACTAGCATCACGATTTTCTCTGTTATTGACATTCTCTATGCCAGCTGGCAAAGCAGACACATTTAGATCCCATTTGATCTGATGAAGCATTAAGTGACTGTAGGAGCCTCATCAAGTCACCTTTTTCATCAGTCATGTAACATGCTTTGCAACTACGACACTCTGATATAAACATATTTATCATTTACTCTTAAAGCAGACAGCACATGGTACCTTGCAATAATAGACGACCAACAAAATTAAAGCAACATAAAATCGAAAAAGATATAAACAAAGTTTGGGTAGGGAGTTTTAAACATACCTGCCACATTAAACATTATTTTTAATTTGTATGGCATTCAATCCACAAGAATGGTCTCACAAAACAGCTATCATTTATGCATAGGAGCTGTAACTGATAGGAATACCAAGGTAAGGATGCACTTGTTCTATCGAGACAATACAGCTGCACAAGGCCAATAACAAATGTGTGTAAAACTTAAAAAATATGTGATTTATTAATTATTAGAAAATACTAATAATGGTTTGAATTCACAGAATTGATATTTTACATTTTCCTAAATAATTTTAATATCAAAATTCAGTGACTTCAAATAATTTGTTTGTTGCCTGATACTTGCAGAATTATACATTTAAATTAAAAATATTAAACATCAAGGTCATTTGTTAAGTAAGTGTTGCTAAAAAAGCACATTTACTGTACACTGAACTACAATTCTATATACAGCTGAATTAAATGGAACTTTTCTGTTGCAGAAAAATTTGGACTTAGCTTTATCTTAAACCTGTACACTGAAGATTTTGGAGAATTCTCTCGTCTCATAACAAGGCATGATAATAATAATAATACACTTTATTTATTAACCGTTTTTCATCAGAGATACTGTACAATGCAAGAAGAAAACAATGCAGTTACTTATGTATGAACATTTACAGACAAAAAATCACAGGCAGACAAACACATCAACACAACCACATATAAAAAGCCTGTTTCAAAAGATGAATTCGCCGGAGTGTTTTGAATGTGGCCAAGTCTGTACAGCATGAGATGTATAACTGCAAACAGTGACAGGCATATCTTTTGCAGCAACCCTGTACATGCTTTTCCACATCGTTTATCTAAATGAAACTTGTCATTACAAATCTTAGATAAAAAGATCATTTAGGTCCTTTGTGAGTAATTGTGATTGGGTAGTATCAAAGTCAAATGTCTCATTCTCATGACCACTGACAGTCATTTTATGAAATGGGGCAACAAACTAACCTTGGCTGCAATGAATCCAATCACTGTTAAATTGAATCAGGCACAGTTTCTCAGTCTCCAGTTGGCACAAGACCCTGCAAAACCTCCTTGTTTTTCCATCAGAGTCCCTTACCATAATGCCAAAGTCTCTGATGTGAGACTTCAGGTCAAATCAATTGGACTGAAGGACATAATTCAACAGGGGAAATATAACATGAAGAGCCAAATCAGGATGGACTTGCCAAGGAAAAAATATTGCTAGAGAAATCTGTTTCCATGCTATAGAAGCCTGGATAAGGTAGCAAAGCACAAAGCTCTGAATATAAAGTTTTATTTCTGTGATGTTTCTTTCAAGCAGACTTGTTTTAGGGCTGCAGTGGGTATTTCTATTGATGCTGTCCCCCAAGGCAGTTTTTAATGGGTAATAATTCTATTGCTGTCCATCACTTTACACTGGAGGAAGCTGCATCCCTCTTTAGCTGAAAACTGGTGTTTGTAAGGCCAGTAGGCAGTACAGCAATAGATTTGTTTACAGCCCTAAGTCTGCCTCCTGTAGGCTTTCATCTTAAAAGACAGTAATTTAGAGGCTCAGGGCTATGTGGATTACACTGAGGTCTTGTCTGTCTAACTGTCTGGGTTTTTATATCCGGGGCTGAAATGGTGGCAGCTCACAAATCAGAAGGAACGAAATTAACTTTGACAAAAACACTTTCGGAAAAATGTATTGTTTGTGTGCTGAGGTGAAAAGGGAATTTCAGACAATCAAGAAAAAAACATCATATAGGGACCCTTTTTTGGTGTCATGAATGCCAGTGTTGTGAGAGGATAGTCATGTCTTATAACAGCTTATACTGGCAATGAGATCACACACTTTACTTCAAAGAAATGTATATTGCATATTGAGTATGCTGCCAGTAGCTATAATTAGGACATTACAGCGTGTGATACCAGTACAGCTGGAGGATCTAAGATAGGCCATTTGTGAGGCTCAATCCTTGATCAGCTCGCCACTGTGTAGATGGCCAATCAATTTCCCCTGGGTCCAATCTGGCACCCCTTTTTCTCTTTCAATAGTATCAAAATCAATGGTTGGATTTGTTAACTCAGATTACATGAATGAAGACGGTGATCAGAGAGGCAGCTGACCCACTTTGTGGTCTTGTAATTGAGAAGTCTTGGATTATGTTTAAAACTAAACATACTGTAAACAGAGAAGGACCCATGAGACACTATCACTGCAGAGCGTGAGGCTGATATTATACACAATGCAGTTTTCAGTATTGATGAAAGCTCACCTTTCTGACTGAGTGTGGACTTAAAATGAAACACTAAACCTCTGCAACTGACAGATTCAACTAAGGAAACACAGCTTATGTTGGCTTTATATCGCTGGCTTGATGTTAACATTTGACTGACCAACTTTAAGGCCCCTAACTTTCATCCCTCTGTCAGTCTGATCCTTTGGACCTAATGAGTCATTTATATACGTTTTGAACACAGCTTTCTGTTTTTACAGCCTATCCAAGCAGTTGAAAGACTATGCATTTCAGGAATGTCGCTAAATGAATTAAAAAGGTGTTGGTTTGATGCTTAAAGTTAGTTGATATAACCCCACCACACACATTAAAATGTTTCAGCATTTTCTAATGAAGTTTACTGGCTTTCCTTTCTTGTCTTTCATCTCTTTTTTCCTATTTTTTTAAATTCATGTTCAAAATTAAGCTTTGAATCAACATGTTAGTTTTAGGTGAAATGACAAACAGCTAGAGTAATCCAAACCAACAACAACACTTCAATTAGTGAAAATTCCAAACCTGCATTGGTGTGTGGTCATACATGGAATGAAGCACAAACAGCACTCAGACACACAGATGCATACACAAAAGACCAGGACTCTTAAACTTGCCACAGATGACGATAGCGTAAAATTACATAATTTACATAATTAAAAGATTAAAACAAATTTCAACTTAAAGCCAGACTAAAAAGGTAGGTCTTTAGTTTACTTTTAAAAATATGAACACTAGTGAACATTACTATGATATGAACATGACTTTGAGAATTAATATTGTTTATTAGTATGACTCTCCCTTTACACTGAAAGAAAGAACCTGACTTTGTTCTAAAGGGGTACAAAAGTACACATTGCACTCAAAATATCTGCACTCTAAATTGACTGAATTGGAAGAAGAAGAAAAAAAGTTTTTTTTTCTTGAAGTTTAAATGATAGCAAAGTCTAGTCATGTTTAATACATCCATGGTGATTACAGGTGTGCGTGACTTATCTTATATGTCATTTGCAACATGCACACTATAGCAGAATTGTGTCAGGGGATTACTGTGGGCTAACTTTGGGTTGAGTTGGCGTGATCCATGTAATGGATTATGGATGTCCAAAAATGGCTGAGGCAGCCACTGAAGCTGACAACACTGCCTCTACTGCTGCAGACACATGTGGCAAAATTAGTGGCACTACGATTAGCAACAAGATTTCAGCCAAAGTTAGCCTACCAGTTGTAAGAGTCAGGCAATTGCACTAGCTTGCTATCGCCCAAACCAATGGACTCACTAGCCTCTCTCAATCCCAGATCAGACTCAAATAACGTCCCCACTTAGTGACCATCCTGCTAGTCCCAGCTGACCTTATTGTTCAATAGATCACATCAAATTAGATTAGACAAGGTGAACAGGACTTCTGCTGAAATATTCGTGATGACTTTTGTGTCCTTAAATAGCTCTCCTCCCTCCTAGTCCTTACAGCTGGTGATTTGTAAAAATGCCAGGTAATAAAGACTGTTAGAAATACCACAACAACTGTAACATAACCAGTACATAACCAGTACCAATAACAGGGCAAACATGGAACAGATGAAAAAATGTATCTGCTTGTCTTATTGATTTTAAATCATTTTATGTCTTTTTGATTTTAAATTGCTCTAATCTCTCCTTTAAAAAAAAAAATGAATATCCTTGCGTCTGCAAAGCACTCTGAATTGCCTTGTGCATGAATGGTGCTAAACAAATAAACTTGCCTTGTCTTAAAATATAATCAGTAAGTGAGATTTCCATTCTCAGATTAAGTTAAAGGGAAATATCCTTGTGTAAATGCCTATTGTAGAGATATTAAAGTTGTCATTTAACTCTAGGCAAGAAAGCAGGTGTGTATTTCCCAATGTTTGCAACTGTTACTTTATGAAGACACTGAGCAATTACAAACTGTCATATAAGTCTTGACATGAGTTTAGATAGACCAGACATTTCTGTTGAGTAATTACTATGGAAGATGACCTTTAAGCAGATCTTAAGATGACCACCAAAGCTTGACCTTTAAGCTGACCACTCCAGGTGGCAATACACAACCTGGTTCAGCCACTGGACAACAGTGATATCCCTGCGGAGCACACAGGCTGGAGGAGCTGCTGCTTGTTTACAGTAAGGGTAAACTGTCACACAATCTAACACTGAAAGCTTTATGCAACCCCCCTGCCATTTTCCAGATCACCAGGAGGTCAGCCAGGCATCACCTCGGGACATGCCACTACATGAGTGGGGGGATAGATGCTCTTATGGACTGAGGATGGTTCATGTAACTTCACTTGGTTTAGCTTCAGTGCATAAAGTCAGTGATGCATATTGACAGTTTCAGAGAGATGTATCCATAAGAGAAGGAGAATTCCTCAAAGGGGTCTTGTGAGCTTCACCGGTATGCCCAAACATTGCCCGGTTAATATTAGTGGAAAATCATGTGCTGTGTACTCCATTATGACACCACCACTGAACACCGAGGACTTTATGTCCAAGGACTCACCCTGACGCATAATGTCTTTGGCATTATGAACTCAAGATGGCATAAAGACCCAATAATAAGGTTTCATTTACTGGTGTTTCCAGTTTCCTGCAATATGTGTCAGTGCAAGTGACTCCAGGATGTGCTGCTGACCATGAGGCCTCACTGCTCAGGGGCTCAGGGACAGTGGGCAGAGGTGCAATCTGGGTGGAGGTACTGTTCCGCAGCCTTCAACTTTGCTTCTGAATCTTTTCATGAATGTTTTTCCATTGCTTTTAGATAAAGAAATACTCGACTTTGAAGACTTATTTCCTATAAGTTATCTCTATAAATTAGCATTCAATTTCTCAACATACAAGTATAGAATATCCCTCTTCATTAGGTCAACAATAAAAACCAAGATTGTTAAATAAAAACACATTTTGACAGCTCAATTAATATGAAGGATGTCATTCAGGTGTCATGATTACTCTGGATTTAAGACTTGAGGGCATTATGGAGTCATTTTGTATGTGGAGTCTCTCTCTTTCCTATACAGAGGTTGGGCGGTTCCTCATCAGCGCTGGCTCCTCCCGCACCTTCGCACCTGATCTCCTAATCACCACATGCTTTTAAGCTCTGCTTTGAGGACCCAGACAGCTAATTGTCAGATTATTCTCTCATGCACTGTGTGTGTATCTCGACCAGTTTCTAGTGAAGTCTTTTGCAAAATTCTAAGATTTACCAGTGTACTGTATGTTTCTGCCTTTGATTTATCCCCGCTCTCCTCCTTTGTTACTTCAGTGCCTCTGCCAGCCACCAGTGTCTGCCCAACCTCTGTCAGGACTGCCACAGCCTCACTCCAGATTCACTCACCTGCAGTCTTCCCAAGGCCTTGGACCTCAGACCTCACATCACCTGCAATTTTGCAAAAAGACATCTGAAATCTCCCAAACGCATGTGGGAAAATGTCTTATGGTCTGATGAAACCAAAGTTGAACTTTTTGGGCATCATTGCAAAATGTATATTTGGTGTAAAATCAACACTGCTCCTCACCAAAAGAACACCATACCCACAGTGAAGCATGGTGGTGGCAGCATCATGCTTTGGGGCTGTTTTTCTTCAGCTGGAACTGGTGCCTTAGTCAGGGTGGAGGGAATTATGAACAGTTCCAATTACCAGTCAGTGTTGGCACAAAACCTTTGGCCTTCTGCTAGAAATCTGAAGATGAAGAGGAACTTCATCTTTCAGCAGGACAATGACCTAAAGCACACATCTAAATCAACAAAAGAATGGCTTCACCGGAATAAGATTGAGACTTTGGAATGGCCCAGCCAGAATCCAGACCTGAATCCCATCAAACATTTGTGGGGTGATCTGAAGAGGGCTGTGCATGAGAGATGCCCTCGCAATCTGTCAGATTTGGAGCGGTTTTGCAAAGAAGAGTGTGCAAATATTGCCACATCAAGATGTGCCACGCTGATAGACTCCTACCCAAAAAGACTGAGTGCTGTAATAAAAGCCAAAGGTTGCTGCAACCAAGTATTAGTTCAAGGGTGTGCATATTTATGCAACCAGGTTATTTTAACTTTTCTATTTTTTATCTTTCCCCTTAAAGTTTTCAGTTTGTTTTTCAATTGCATTGTACAGGTTATAGGACACATTAAATGTGGAAAAAGTTGTATGAAAAATATTTATCTTGCTGTCATTTTCTTACATCACTAAAACCTGGCCGTTGAACAGGGGTGTGTAGACTTTTTACATCCACTGTATGTATAACAGCATGTATGATAAGAACACACAATTTGTATTTTTTCAATCTTTTTGGATTGAAGTGCCATATATATAAATTTGAATTTGAATTTGGATGTGGGAAAACCTGAGCACCAGAAGAAAATCCTATAAATGATGTCAGGACTTGGGGTCCAACACTGCTGCTGCTGTACGCCTGTGGAGAACTAAGGCTTAAAACGCTCAGAGCTCCTGTGGGTGGGGACCTGATCCACCTCACATTTGAGCCACATGGTTCCTCTGCAAGAATAGCACCTCCTGTAGACTGATTGCAGTATAGGTCCTAAACCCTGCCTCCTAAAACAAACAGTATAATTTATAACTTTGAATCAAACTGATGAATTTAACTTATTTTAATCACTTAAAGGGATATTCCAGCATAAAATTAAGTTAGGGTCAAACACACCGTAACACAGACCAACTTAAGTAATGACCGCAGATAGCAATACAGAGAGCCACAGGCTCAACCAAAAAGCCACTCTATAGCCACAAATAATGCTCAGAACAGCACATATCTTCATCAGCAGTACATACAGGGTCCCAGCCATAGCACTAGCCACCAAACATCTTTTAAGCTTTTCCTGGTTTCTTTAGCAAAGAGACTCACCCTTTCTCCTCCAGCAGCCGCTTGTTTGTATGGAGACTTCCGGACGAGTCAATCAACTGCAGCGGGGGGACACAGCTCAAGGAAGAAATCAGGCATCTGTGGAGATCTAAGGCCTAAAACGCTCAGGGTTCCTGTGGGTGGGGACCTGATCCACCTCACTGTTATCCTGGTGATTTAACAGCAGCCTGTTCTGCTCCAGATGTTCTTTGATGAGGTGGGATTGTCTTGTTAAATTTCTGCCTAAAGGATCCCCTGTAATAGCTGAACAATAAGGGGATCTTTCAGTTCAAGCAGGTGGGTGGGGTTTTCCTGCAAGAGGATCTGACTGCCAAGGTCCCCGCCTTTGGCTACTGCCTGGCTTGTACTGCACTGGACCCTTTTGGCCTCTGGATGCCCTGGTCCGGGTGAGATTAGATCTTTGGTTTTGGTTTGACACTGAGGACCTCAGACTTGTGCTTCTCAGTGAGTTTCCTGTGAGCTGATTTATACCTTTCCAGTTCTTCTTGGAGGAAGTCTGTCTTCTTCCTCTCCTCCAAAATCATAGCTCTAAGTTGTCCAAGGCTCTCGTCATCTGTGGCTTAAAGCTCTGTTCTGCAGTTCTTCTGGATGATGAGCTGATTGTTTAGCTTCTCCAGCTCTGCCATCAACATCTGCTCCATCTGGGTTGCAGAAGGAGCAGATGTTGCTCCACTGATGTTACAACCACCTCTACACAACACACACACACGTACAACAAAAAAAGATGCACACTCAGCCATTCAAACATACAGTACAGCAGGTACACATTAAGGTGGTAGCCTGAGGAGGGGTAATATTATTTTTATTTATTTATTTGTGTGTGTGTGTGTGTGTGTGTGTGTGTGTGTGTGTGTGTGTGTGTGTGTGTGTGTGTGTGTGTGTGTGTTCTCAATATATTTACAATCAATTCATAATGTCAAAATGCAGAATGAGTCTTTTTCTTATCAGTCAAAAAAATTACACTTATAAGGCAGGAGTCTGCCATTGTTAAAACATGCTCCAAATACTATTCAAAATATTTTTACTCTCAGTCACTTATGCCCATTATACCACAAAACTTTGCTTCTTACAAAATGAATAAATCGATAAACAAATATTTGTTGTCAAAAATCAGATAATATCTTTAATTCCTCACAGACTGATTCTTGACAACTTTCCTAATGTGGGTGTTTCAGTTACCGCCCATCAAATTCAACGTTTTAATGGGGTATGATCAGTTAAAGGGCTAATCGAGTAACTTTATTACACAAATATCATGGATCAAACTGAAGGTATAGATTTAACATAAACATCATGAGTAAATGCTGTTTTCTGAATAATGAAAATTCAAAAGGGGAATCAGTGACAGTGAGTCTAGGATATGCTTTATTTCCTCCTCAGCACGGTTGTCATAGATGCCAGAGCAGTGTCTGTTCCTCTTTGGTCTCTGGTTCTGTTGTACTGCTTCTATTTTAGTCACTCTCTCAGTCAGGTACCTCAGGGGGTGGGGGAGTGGCAATCCAGTCTTTCACCACAGGGGGAAAAACAGGCGTTAGGTTGTCTAGCCAGAACCCCATGGAGACATTAGCCCCCACAGGTACATGCTAATGAAGACAATGAAATCTATATTCCTGCCATCCTCCTCACAGCAGCTCATAGACACACAGACAAAGACTGAGACACACACTCTTTGGTATTTCCATTCTTGTCGAGACTTTTTAGGTGATACAAGAAGTCTTAAAACCCTACTCCTCAAAGTTAAAACCTCAAATCATACTGCAAAGTATTCATCTTTTTGACCCAGCTTTCTTATTAGTTTCCTAACTGTGTTCAAAATCTGGTTCTGATTTGTCCAAACCCTACAACAACAACGAACTCTGAATAGCAAATGACACCAGGGACAACCAGATCGCACATAAATGGGACCCTTAACAATGTGAAACAAGTGTATGAACACTGTTATTTTGTTTATAAAGTGGTTAATGTTCATGTACCAAAGTATTTGTGGTATTTGAGGATGGTGTATTTGTGGTAAAATGAGTAAGGCTTAAACAGACACATCGGGCAGCTAATGGGTTGGTCTTTAAAACTCAAATGCACAGGTGTCTTTCATAAGACATGGATGCTCTGCAGTATGCAGCATTGCTAAACTGATGTGCTTGATCCCCTGGTCTTAAGAGTTTAAAGGGAGTCCTGTGTTTTGGTTCTTTGAGTTGAAGTTCACTTGCTTATTTGTTCTTTGCCCAATCTTTAATTATCATTCAATCATTTGATCCTTTGTCGGGTGGCACAGTGGTGTAGTGGTTAGTACTGTCGCCTCACAGCAAGAAGGTCCTGGGTTCGAATCTGGGTCAGGGCATTTCTGTTTGGAGTTTGCATGTTCTCCTTGTGTCTGCGTGGGTTTACTCCGGGTACTCCGGTTTCCCTTCCACATCCCAAAAACATGCCTAAGTGGGGTTAGGTTAATTGGCCACTTCCAAAATTGCCCATAGGCGTGAATGGTTGTTCATCTCTATGTCAGCCCTGCGATGAACTGATGACTTGTCCAGGGTGTCCCCTGCCTTCACCCAAAAGATGCTGGGATAGGCTCCAGCCCCCCCGTGACCCCGGGAACAGGAATAAGTGGCAGAAAATGGATGGATGGATGATCCCTTGTCTTTAATAATGCTAATAAATCCCATGGCCATTTTTTTAAGGTTCTTTCTGCTTGTTTCAATGGGTCACTCTGTGGTTAGTACAGGACTTAACACCATGCAAACAACAGTGGTAAAGTAATGCATAAATGCATATCAGGCAAGAATAAGGAAGAATTCCACCTCCAGAGCTTCAACAGTAAGTGTCCTCAGTTCTCAAACACTGACTGATTGTTGTTTAAAGGAAAGCTGATGTAACACAGTGGCAAACATGACCCTGCCCCAGCTTTTTAGGAATGTGCTGCTGGCAAATTCAGGATGAATGAATATTTGCGGGGAAAAAAAGAAAAAGTTTATCATTCTGAACATTAAATATTTTGTCTTCATAGTGCATTCAATCAAATATAGGTGGAAAAGGATTTGCAAATCATTGTATTTTTGTGTTTTACACAACATCCCAACTTCACTAGAATTGAGGTTTCATCGCGGGGTTATTTTGTCCTGTATTCACTTAAAACGAAGACAAAAAATAAGATCATAACAGTGATATTTTGTTCATTTCTACTGTTTTCTTTCTTCTTGTCCTTATACGTTTATAAAATTAATTCATGAAGATGATACTTTTTTTTTTTAGTTATTTTGATGCAAAGTAATATTTGATTGCAGCTTCATACAATTTTTTTTCTGTTGACATCTGACCATCTGCAAACTCTGCCTAATTTTCTATATGAAAATGGATCAGGATTATACATTATGGATCTTAATTTGGGATTTACCACCTTATTCTTTAATCTTAATCCACCCTTTCAAACCAAAATCCCTGATTTGGCATTCCTTTATGACCTGAAGCATA